AGGCTTAACGCCGTGGCTGGTGACAAGAGAGCTGGTTCTTTTCTCGCTCAAAGGTTAAGCATAACTATTCAGCGAAGAAATGCAGCTAGTGTTCTTGGCACCATGCAGCGTGGATTAGGTTTATTAGATAATATGTAATTTTAGATAGATTTAATCTTGTAAATATTAGATCAATAAAGATTGTAAATACTTAAAAAATATAGAAATCGTATCAAAAACGATATTTTTTTTTAAAACTGATTCAAAGCCATAAAAGGTTAAAATGAACGGAAAAAAACTGTGGTCTATTACTAGTATTGTCGCGGATGCAGAGTTGCATTTTGTACTATAATTATGGAATTTATACTACAATTTGATGCTTCGTACTTTACACTATCCATATCTTAGGTACAACATGGTATAAAGGTGTTACAAGTCATTCAATTGAACTACATCTAATATCTTTAAACGAGCAATTCTTGTGTATATATATTTAGTATGAGCATTGATTCGGTGTCGAAATATCTATCTAGCTAGGTTTCATTTTTAGAAAATGTCCTTTTATCCCTGTTTTCAAGGAATGAAAAATATCATTCGAATATGACGGTAAATTTCGCCAAAAAAAGAAATGTTATAATAGCTCGGTCAGTAATGGGAGGCCGCGAAACAGAGGGCCGCGGTTCGTGTCACGATCATTTACACACTTATTTTTTTACTTTTTTTCCTATATCAGGTCATTGCTTTCTTTATTTTTTTAATTTCCAAAATACACGATTTACCAAAAAAAACCGAGCTTCGCTAGGTATAAATAGAATGCAAAATATTAATGGCATCAACTAAAGTTACTTTAATTTAATATGTATGAAACGGCATAACCGATTTGGGTGCAACTTTAAATAATGAATTGTAGTACCTCACTTAACATTTAGTATTAGTTTTATTCAAATCGGTACATAAATAAAAAAGTTATATCAACTTAAAAAAAGTAATATCTACAGCTGAATTGGCTGAAACTATAGTTAACTATAATTATATTATGGTCTGTAAAATGATGATGATGGTTAGATTATATAAATTTAAAAACCAGCAAAGAGCGAGTCGCAATCGTGCACGAAGGGTTCCATATCATAATCTATAAAAAAGGCAAATGAATCATGTAATTGTCCCGTGTGAGAATCGAACCCACGCCGAAGGCAATGCCTTGACAACTGCGCCATGGTCAGTGATCAGGCGAGTGGTATTCGCGAAATTTTGACTGAGCCACACCCAGAGACGATCTCAGCTTGAATTATGTGCCTTTGTAGAAAAGTTACGTTTATATGAAGTTAAGTTCATATTAGGTTGAAAAATGGAATCCGCCATTGCACAATTTTACACCGACATTGCGCGGGATTCTACATTATGCAGAAAGGCCACTTGAAATAAGCGAACTTAAATTTGTGGCTTGGTCATTGCTTGCAGTGAGCATAATGCGTTCACATAACCAAGAATTATCCTGATATCATCAGGATAATTCTTGACTCTTTCAGTTTACTTTTTTACTTTACTTTAATGTCTATAACCTATAACTAACTATAATTTGCGAGATAATGGATGGCGTCAATGGCGAAAGGGGGATCAGCACTAAGGATTGTTGAGATCCAATCGTTCTCATTCTTTTTAATTCTATCGAGGCATTTTTTGTAATAAATACTATAAAAGGTCGATATTGAATGTAATATTTTTTTTTAATTTCAATTATTTAGAAAATACTACAAAATAAATATCTTAATTACAAAAAAAATATCAGATACAATTTGCGAGTCAGTGACAAAAGACAAACGTAATTTCCAAACCACAAACCAGTTAGTAATATCCGAATATTCTAGCCTAACCAAATCTATATTCCTAAACAGTGACAGATTTTTCCGTTGGTCGCCTTAGGCTCATTAAAGATTAAGAGAAAAGACTCACTGGAAGGCACAAAAAATTAAACAAAGAAAGTACATGATATTATGGAGCTGACGAACTTATTCTTAAAAAACCCCACTAATTTGCAGCCCCCTACATTTCGCCCGCCAAAGTACGCGGCCTATGGAGAAATCCACCACTGTTCCTAGCAACTAAAAAGTAAAAAATAAAGTAACAGCCTTTACAGTGTATCAGGGCATAGTCCACCATGCAGATTGGCGGACTTCACATACTTTCAAAAATTTTTTTCGTTATTATTTCGAAAACATGCAGGTTTTCTCACGATGTTTTCTTTCACTGTTGAGCACGTGATAAGTCAGCACTTAAAATTAAAAATTTCATTGGTGCCGGCATGGAGAATCGAACTCAGGTTGCTCGAGTATATTAAATTAAAAGGGAGCGCTCGGACAATGAGCTAACTCACGGCCTGACAAGTAACCAAATCGCAAAGCAAAATCAAGAACATCCGTATACCGAGCAAAACTAAAATCCAACCTATAGTATAAATCCCAATCGAAGAAATTCGCATTATTATTATTAAAATCAAATGGTCGGCGCTTGTTCCATAGTTAGCTTTTGAAAATATGTATATAATGCATTTAACGATTTTTTTTAAGTGGAACTGACTAGCGCTTGACTGCCATCCCACCGGATGGTAAGTGGCGATGCAGCCGTGGATGGTAAGCGCGCTAGCCCAGTAAAAACCTATGCACTCTTTATTTAACAACGCCATCTAGTTTTTCACGCGAACTATATTTATCTTACTTATAACTTATCTTCCTACCGTCACTTACTTATGATGGATTGTAATAGTATCAATTGAAGATATTGTTAAATCTAACTTTTTTTTATTATGAACCCGAAAATTCAAGTTATCGTAATTAAAATTTTATCACTGATACCACATTTTTATGGAAGGTAATTTTTTTGTATTGGGAGCTATATTATTTGAAAAAATTAAGAACTGTTCCAATTGATCCAGTAGCTAATAACGTATATATTATGTTTTAGTAAACTAATTACGATCAAACGATACATTTAAATATTGCGAGGAAGTTGTACTGTCAACCTGTCAATATAAATTAGTCCAGTAGTAGAATAAGTTACTGTGATAACTGTTTGCGACTGCACTGCTATAATCTTAAAACTCCCATATCTCCCGTTTGAGCCGAGCCTAGATGTTGCCCCAAGCTTTGCTTAAGTAACCAGTGAAAACAGCATCAAAATCCGATAAGTAGCTATCAAATTTATCGCTAACAGACAGACAGACAGAAAGACAAAAATTCCAAAAATGGTTTTTATGTTTCTGTTCAGTGTAATGTTAAATTGATCTAAACACTAGGTGTTATAGCTTAATTAATACCATAGAGTGCTAATAATTATAATTTGTTTTTTTTCTCTTCTTTAGAAATTGAGAAGCACTAGAAGAGTTGTAATTTATAATATAAAATTGTGCACCATAGTAGATATTAAATGAAATAACATTTACAATACTGCGTTTCTATTTCACTCTGCGCTATCAAACCTCAACAGTTTCCTATAACGCTTTTTATGATACCCTTTTTCATAAATATATTTAATGTACAGACAAGCCGATTCTACTCTTTTATTATAGTATAGATTAGTAGTTTTAATACTTTTAGTAAGAACAAAAAATACAATGAAAAAAATGCAGTACATATTGCATTAGAATTACATAGATTTGCAAGTATGGAATCCCTAGGAAATCTAAAACCCAAATAAAAGAAAGAAATAGATAACTAAAATACTATTTAATGCATGACGTTATAGGTTTCATTAATTTTATGGAGGTAAAGTATTAATACATTTACTATTCATATAAATAATTTAATTTTTGAAATAAGAATGGTCTGAAGAAAAGATGATGTAATAATATATAAATTTACCAGTAATAAATGATATCGATATATAGAAAAATATCAATATAAGCCTCTATATATCGATGCGAAAATATCGATATTTTCTCGTCAGCTCCGTTATATCCAAAAAAAGTTTTTTTAAGTATTAAATATTTGATACCTACGGGCTACGTGCTGCATTCAAATTAGAAAAACCATCAGTTTTTGATATGACTTGAATATTAAATATTTTGGATCGATATAGACGATCCAAATTTCGATATAAAAATGAAAAATATCGATATTTTTTGTCATCCCTACGTGATGGTCGATCTCGCTACTCGATCGACAGCATTGCGATAAATTTACAAGGGCAAGTATAAAAAATGTATCGATATTTATCGAATCAACCCCCATTGGGATGACAGCCCTGATACTCCATCTCCAAAACTTGTCTAATGTATTGTATCACAGAGTACTTTGTAATATATGTAAATATTGTATGGTATTGTATATTAGAAACATGCAAGACTACAAGTATTCCGAAAGCTCGATTGAAAAAGGCCAAGTCGGGACTTAAACAATAATTATATTAACAATTATTGAGAATGTAATTAATTCAGTAATGAATCAAATGTAATAATCTGCAAAGAGTTATTTAAACGTAACTAAAAGCTAAATTTTATTTATCTTACTAAAACAGAAAATTCATTTAAACAATATCTTTAAATAAAATACAGGGTTGTCTTGGGGCTTGTGAAAACTATATTTAGGCTTATTTAGGAGTTTTACATCTTGATTTTAAGAGCATTTTCTAATTTTCTTTAGTAGTTGGTAACACTGTTACATTATCTATTTAATATGTCACCGTCAATTTCTTTATGTTATAAATTATTAAAAAATAGTAAATACACATTTTGGTCGGGTCAGTACCAAAAAAAGTCCCGTGCCTAACTATAGGTCATACAAGCCCTAGTTCCTATAAAAACGTGCCTGATGGCAGCATACATAATGATATCAAACATGTGACTAAAACAGAAATATCAACATTAGTAATCAAAAATACGCAATGATTATGAAAAAAAAAAGATTACTTTCTAACGAAAAAGTTATAAATGTAATGCTCAATCATTAACTAATAACAAACTTATTATTATTATTAAGAATACGACAAATCGACAGATATTCCAAATGTCGGTTTACAAGTTTTTACCTTAAAATTTCGGTATTTGTTTTGTATAGAAGTACAATTTTATCTTTTAATGCGATGGTCCAGGACTTTTAAAGCGAGGATTATTTCGCGCACCACTAGATTTAGGACCCTTGTAGTTCTTATTTGATTGATTTTTTTCACGGTCATTACCTAACTTTTCAAATTTGTTTTTTGGTGCATTAGTTACCCTTTTAATCAAAAATTTGAAAGAAAATTTTTTGTTAAGAATAAATTGTGATAAAGAATTTAAGGGTAAAATTGCACACTTGCCAAAACGAAAAACACCATCTGCTGTAATAGCATCATTAAAGCAATGGTCGATAAATATCACTTTTCTTCTAGCATCTTGTTTACTAGTTAAGTGAATTTCATAAATATATTGCTGAGCCATATTCTTGCTCCCTATGTGCTGTACTACCCAATAAGCAACTTTTTGTAACACATCAATCTTCATCGTTACAATGAAAAGAAAATTGCTTTGGGACACTAAGTAGACAAACCGCTCATCTTCTTCGATTGAAATGTTTTTGTATTCCACCTCAGTGTCAGGGTTTATGTTGCAATGCTGAGGGTGACGTTCCTTAAAGTGATCCATCATCTCTTTTAGATTTCCTAATAATGATAACACAATAAAAGTCAAATAAAAATAAATCACTGCAAATGATAAGTGCGAGTGCTCATATTCTGCTTACCAGTCCAAGAACATTTTCCAAACACGGCTCCAAGAGGGCAAACCATCACACGGAATATGCACTCTTTAAGATGATTTTCCATATTTTGAGACGGCATGACATATTTACAGCCATGTAATTTATTTGGACATGGAACATTGGCCTATAAATAAAATAAATAAGTAGATCCGCATAACAAAGTCCACCACAATGAGTTGAAAAATCTCACCTTTGCTATAATCTCCTCAAGTTTCCAATTCCTCATTTGTGTCATTGGTTCGCGACAAATTGGACAATTTGGAGGACACAACACTTTTGTACAAGAATGACATAAGCTGTGTCCTGATTGACATAGAAATATAGGTGCAGACATAGCCTCCATACAAACTGGACATTCTTGCAGCTCCAATGATATAGCTGTTAATCTAGTTGAACAAAATGTAGCAATTAAATACTAAAAAAATATACTTTTGAGATTAAAAAATTAATGAATAAAGTAAAAGTTGCATTCTGTGGTTTTTCTATGCAAGCATACTGTTTTTCCACTATCCTAATATATAGGATTAAAGTATAACTATTTATGTGTCTATATTATTATGATAATGATATACTAGTATACTTGTATAAAATACACAGGATTGTATTTTTATACAGACACACTTTATGTACTTATGTTTACATAATATTGTTAGTCTAAATAATTATTTTATACAATTTTAAAGGACTTGGTGGTTCAATAGAGTGTGCAATATTTCTTACTTACTTATTTCCTGCCCTTGCTTTTGCCATTTTTCCTGAAGTACCTGTGGAAGAGAAATAGGTTTAATGATAGTTATGATATAGAATTGTAGACAGCTTTATTAGCTTATCTGTTCTAATTTTACCTCTTCACACTTTAAACTTACAGTAATTTAAATGACAGCTCAAGCTTCTAAAAATTGAAATGAAATTTAATAGACTTTCATTAAAGCTCTAAAATAATGTAGTGGTTATACCTCGGTCTAAAGAAAAAAATTGCGTTTGATGTCATTATGTGGGTATACTTACAAAACTTAGCTTTTATTAAACGAAAACAATACGTAATACTGCCTTTTTTAAATCAGTTCTCAACTTTGAAAAACAATACATTAAACGAGTGATTACGATAGGACCAGCGAACAATAGCTATAGTAACAAAGATAAACCTATTACACGTTATCAAGTCCGCTCCATTATAACCATAGACGATAAGGACAATAATGTTTTTTGTTTTAAACCAATGTGAACTTTATTGTATGGACGTTAATGCTTCTATTACAACTTCTTGATCGAACATTGATACTTGTTACCCATGGTCAAGTAATACTTGAACTTGGGTAACGGTTGGGTATTGGCTGGCTGGGTACTTACCGATCCTCACAGTAAAAGTTGCCAGCAGCAGACATTTTATAAAAAAAAAAAACAATAAAAGTTCGAATTTAACTCAGGTTAGCCAAATTAAGGGTTTTCCCCCCTTTATGGGGTTTGCGTTGTAAATTTTTAGGGAGGTTATATGTTTAGGGTTATTTTAAGGATATTTTAACTTCTTACATTTTTTTTACGCTATAACGATGGCTCTTAAGTAAAGGGGCGAAACTGCCGCTTACGCCTTTTTCTAATTATTAGCACAATAAGTTTACTTTGCCCTATTCTATGAAAATAATAAACAAAAGAAAATTTTCTTGCTAAATCCAAAAAAGGCGTATGTGCACAAAATAGTCGCGTCTAAGAAATGATCGGTCTTTGTACGGTGTAGAGCTGTAGAATAATCGCGTCGGAGATGTAGCGAAAGGGCGGAGGTACCGAGGTATTTGGCGATTGTCTTTTATAATAGTTAGCTCGTGCATTTTTAGCGAAAATTAATTTATAATTTAGCTGGTTTAAACGAAAACGATTTCAAAAAAAGGTGTGCAATTTACAAGAACCCCAAAAATTATAAATTAAATCATAAACACAACAGCACTGATTTAAGCATCGAAGATGAGCCTCATAACCAAAATAATGACATGGAATGTCCATGTAAAACATATTTATATGTGTACTCTTTAAATACAACATTATAGTAGTGAGTTCAAAATTTTATTTCACCGACACGAAATTTATTTTTATAACTGTTAATTTATTGAAAACGTGGTAATGAGGTATTTACGTACTTCGGTTTTCGTTAAATCATATGCGCCTTTTTGTGAACATTATATTTTTCGTAACTTATGAAAAATATTTTACAAATTTCATACACAATGAATATTACTACATAGTAATATTCATTATGTATTAAATTTGTAAAATTAAAAAAAGCCAGACACATACATGTCTGGCTTACTAAGATAACGCCCTCATTACTTAGGTATTACTATTGACTTAATAACATATTATTTGATATGATTTATTGTTATTCGTTTATGATTTTGGCTAGTGATAGTAACAGAGATTGCAATAAATATAAAATAAAAAAAAATAATATGAAACATATAGGTATTAATATTTATTCTCGTATATGGGTGGAAGCTCAGAAAAAGCCTTTTTACGTGGAAAAATAAAAAATGAATAATAGAAAATCAACGATGTAAAAAGTGGAAAGTGTAAAATCTCGAAATATATTTAAATTACCCAAAAAATAGTCTCAGCATAGTAAATACGCGACATGTTAAAACTTATTGCAAAATTTTTAAAAAATTGCTTCAATAGTTTACAAGATTTGGACCCAAAATACGTTTCTGGCTATTTTAAACTGCTCTCCTGTCAAGTTTGATTTTTTCACTTAGGGCAGTTTACATTAGAGCCATCGTTATTTCTTGTAATTTTCTTTGATGAAGAAAAAAAATGTATAAAAATAAAGATCCGGGAGTAACGCAATTTATCCAATCATATTTATTTGTTGATCTACCAACATCAAGGACGATTTTTCATTAGTTTCTAAGAATACGGAGTTGAACTATGGAGAGTAGACATAAAAAGTGTCCGTCAAAACGCATTTATATTATATTTACGCAGATAAATTTAAAGCCCGATCTATAGTGGTAAAGTGTTTATTAAAGTAGTGTAAACCATCGGACATTGGCGAATCAAGTTGGCTTGCAAGGGTTTTGGGTTAAGTTTCGAAGCAGCTTTCAACTTGCAAGCCTTTCTATCTTTTGGTGCAAGTCCACACCTCGCGCGTCAGCTTAAACCAACGCAGAGCATTTGACTCGTCACTTGCCGTAATGTAAACAGTCAAATTAGTACAGTAGCGGGCGACTTAAGCGTTCGTATCTCTAGCCTTAAACATGCACCAGATTTTTCCGAAGCCTTCTTAAAAATTGAAGAATGCATTCTTTGTGAGGAAAATGTCAAGGCTAGTCTTCCGGACGTTCTTGGTACTCATAAGCATGGCTAGTGTGCTGTAATAGGGACAATCTATAATATACATATATTAGCCCCAGAAGGCAAAAACATGAATGGGGTATACAAAGAAATATTCTAATGGATGTCTGTATTTGTCTGAATGTTATGCTTTCACCCTATTCTACCCGAACGTAGTGGCGGCAATATCTAGTTTAAAATAAAACTTGATTTAGGTACCTTTTTAATTTTCATATTTTGTTAATTCATAGTAATCGTTTTTTCATCTACTCTAAACTTTGATAAAAGAGTAGAATTGGTGTTGAATCGCTGTACATTGAATACATTTATGAAAAAATGAAATAGGGTATCACAAAAAGAGTTATAGAACACGTAAAAACCATTTTTTATCTGTCTGTCTGTTCACTAAAAACTTTTTGCGGTTTTCAGTGGTTACTTAAGCTATGCTTGGGGCGACATAGGGAGGCTTTTCTAAGTGTATCCATTTTTTTTAAATTAAATTGTAGACATAAATAATGTTAGCTAAAATATGATAAATATTTAACAATACTCGTAGTTAATTAAATACAATAATTTGAACTCATCTCAAAATGTGCGTGATTTATGGGCAACTCATTTATTTTACGCGCGATCATTCATAACTAACACGCACAAAAGTTCGTTTCAAAAGAATACGACGCATTTATGAATAGTCATTCACTGCATTGACAACAAGTTTTGTTTTTTAGGGAATAGAATGGCAATTTTTTTTAAAACAAAAGTTTGTTTTTATTTCAATAAACGATGTTACTACCGAGTGTGAACCTCCTGTGTGAATATGGGCACCTTTAGCCGAGGAGATTTAAGATTAACCCTTACAAAATTGACGCAAAATGTTGATAATTTATTATTAAAGTATCAGGTTCATCTTTCTCACTAAAAATATTGACTTATTGCTTATGCTATTTTATTTATAGTTTATTGAATGTTACGTATATTTTACATAATAGACACAAAATTTTATTTTGAGTAGTTTTAATTTAAATTCAATTAATAAATGTATAAATTAACATGTGTTTTTACTTCAAGTTTTTAACACTTAACTTCACTACAGTTAGAAATTTACAGGAAATCAATATCAGGTAAATAGGGGTCTACCCAACACGGAAAAACATGGCAAGAGGTCTACGACACAAAAAAGTTTGGGGAACTCTGCTCCAGAAGGAGATCGTCGAGCGGGAAAGGGAGAGGGCCGATGCCGCTCGGAGACAGCTCGGCCAGCAGGGGCAGCCCCATTCTAGAGCCCAGGATTACAGTACTGACGACGCAGCTCATGCAAAATAGGACTAAAGTATCTCCTGCCTGACGTAAAAGGCGACGTAAAGGGGACATGGACTGGCAGCAGCACAAAGTGGCCTCGAGCAGCTGCAAGATGGCGAGAGGAATAAGGGATGGTTTATCCTTCTCCGAGGCGTGCTCAAGCCCAGTACCGAGGGAGACCGGTGCGTTCCGTAGAAGAACCCGGATTAGGCATATCTCGTCCCTCGGGTTAGGCATATCTCGTTCGAATTATATTTACAAATTTTCTACAAATTTTATCGATCTATTTACTTTTTACACAGTAATTGTTTCGGGTCGGGCATAGGCGTATATAGCAGGGGGGCCGGGTGGGCCATGCCCACCCTAGTATCGTCTAGTGCCCACCCCAGGATTTTGGGTTACTGATTCAAAATTCTTGGGTACCTAAGAAACTTCATAAAAAATCATTGAAATGAAATAATGATTTACAGCCGAGAAATCGATGTAGATACTTATTTTTTATTATATACTATTTTACAATACATTTACTTGTGAATACACAATATAAAAATAATTAATGATAACGAACTGTTACTTTTTTAATGCGACTCATAGGGTTCGACATTTTTTTTAAGTTAAGGCCCGGGCCCTCCCTGAAAAATAACCCTTGATACGCCAATGGGGTCGGGGTGTTTGTTCACGCGAAATTTATATTATAAGGCGTCCTTACAACACTGGATAATCTTATCCTAAAGTAAGGGCAATGTTTAAAAAAAATAAAATCATTCTCAACTACTTCCCATTCCAATTAAAGCATATAGTATCAGCTTGCTTCGCGATGGTAAGTCTCAGGGACAGATCCTAAAAGTTAACTTCAGCCAGTCAGTATGTGGCCTGCTTGGGGTTATTAATACAGTCAGTTTATATACAGGGTGGCTTTTCTAAAGGTGCCCAAATCATACAGGAGGTTCACACTCGGTAGTATAATCGTTTATTGAAATTAAAACAAGTTTTTTTTTTTTCAAAAATGCCATTCCATTCCTTAGAAAACAGAACTTGTTGACAATGATGAACTTGTGTGTTAGTTATGTATGAATGATCGCGCGTAAAATGAGTTGCCCATAAATCACGCACTTTTTGAGATAAGTTCAAATGAATGTTTTAGTTAATTACGAGTGATTATAAATATTTATCATTTTTTATATAAAATTATTTGTCTAGAAATTAATAAAAAAAATGAATACACTTAAAAAAGGCACCCCGTATATTAGCCCGACAAAGCAAAACCATGAATGTGGTATAAAAAGCGATATTTTATTGTACAGAACTGTCTGAATTTTATGCTTTTACCCTACCACGCGGACGTAGTCGCAACAGCTAATCAATAATATTGTTTAAATGATTTTCATGTTAATTTTTTAAATAGCTGTTTTTTAACGTCTGTAATACTATTTGTAATGAAAATTGTTATGACATGTTAGAAAACACAGCTTTTACCGATTTATACAATTATTGACTCAACGATGAGTCAATAATTGAACGCGTACGTAAATAAAACATAAAAAATACCAACCCCCCACCCCATATATAGGGTATAGGAAATATCACGAAGCAATAGGTTTGATACCTACCAAACCTTTTAACAACACCTTTTAAACAACAGACTGTACTAATAAATTATTAATTACATTAAATATGTAACATAATTATAAAAATAGTTGAACTGAGGTAGGACCACGCAACAGTATTCGCTGTTGCACGAATGGGTAGATCCGTCCAGGTTAGTACCACGAATTCACATAAGGCCGGCGTAAAAGAGAAGGGTTACACTTCTGCGTTTCGTCTGGTGAGTGAGGTAGCCGGGCCCTACATTATTAAAAGGTAGCAACACATCTGCAATTGGTGTTGTCTGCAAATGTCAGGTAAACCGCCAGCTCACTTTCACACATAAAAAAAAGTAGTTAACAAAACAAAAATATTAACAATTCATTAATTACATTATTTAACATTTTGCTTTTTATTTACTCATTTTGGTCATTATTCATGTCCCTAAAACAAGCCCAATATGCATAATTTCACCCTAAAATTGAGAAGCCTACTCAGAATTAATAGATGTTTATCATAAATTGATAAATTTTTTTAAATTGATATTTTTTTTTAGGGAAGTTATTTTTTTTAAAAGGAATAGTGTTATTTATTTTGAGACAATAAAAAAGGAATTTAAGTTTTAAGTTTTTATTCTTACACTATTTATTTTTTAGCTTTAGCTTCCCGCGTGGCTTTCCTCTCGGCAGCACGTGCAAGCTGTTTGGCTGGTTTCAAGTTCCCCTTTTTGCAAAACCGTTGGTTTCTTAAGAATTTTGGATCCATCTGAAAGAAGCATGTGTAAATGATGCCTTGCCTATCATGATTTATGTAGCTGGACTAGTTTGCATTGGTTCTTTTTCAGCACTTCTTTCAGAATTTAAGTCTAAAATCATTAAAAAATAAGCAAACAAGTGGTTACTATTGCATGAAATGCAAAAAATGGTAACATAACTTTATAGGTATTTTGATGAATTGGCTGTTTGGAGAAATTCTCAAAATTATATTAAAAATAATATGCAATTGAATTTGAAAGCTATATGTTCTCCCTTTTAAATGGCATTTATATTTGATTGACAGCATTTACTGTTTTAAAGAAACAATTTTTCATCTAGTAATTTTTACACTAAGGAAAGTAGTCATTACATTTGACATCTGCTAAAGCTATAAAATTCAGTTTGAGATAGTAATACAGGGTAGTTAATTATCATAAATCACATTTATTTTTTCAAAACAAAGCATTATCAACTGTTACTGAAACTGAATTTAAATCAAATGAACAATTTTTAATACTTAGAAGAAAACTTTCATATAATCCACAAAAATCTTTTTGTTAATGTTAATTGAAAATTGAGATTGTCAAAAAGACTTTTTTTTTAATGTTAATTCAATAATCAATTACATATTGTAGTTTTCTGGGGCAATTGAATAGAAGTGAGGCATATTTATCGTAACAGGTTATTATAACAGGTATCTTGAGATAACAGTGTGTGTTACAAACAAACTTAAATAACAGTTCCTGTTCCACACAAATTGTTCCTTAACACCCTGTAACAAGCTTGCTTTTCTTTATACATGCATATGACTGTTATCTAGAGATAAAAACTGTTACACCCTGTCGCAGTTATTACTGAACAATTTGTCACTGTTACAAGCTCTTTCTTTTTCTTGCATCAGTCATATAGCTTTGTTAGAAAGAGAAGTATGGATGTTACCATAGAGTAACATACTGTAACAGCTTTTACAGTATGTTACTCTATTGTAACAGTTACAAAAATTGTCACAACTTAGTTTTAAATAACAGGATGTTATTTTGTAACAGGTATTTGTCACTGACCTGTTACTGTTAACAGGAACAGGTGTTCACACTAGGAATGAGGCATATATACTGGCACAGGTATAAATACCCAGTATGAACATACCAGTACGCACACCGGGTATGTACGGTAGAGGCCTGTTCCATACCCGATAGGTATGGCCGCCTCGTCCGACGGTGGCGGTATATACGCTCGCGACAACCCGCCCGCACACCGGGTATGTACCTACGGCAGAGGCCCATTCCATACCCGATAGGTATGGATGGCCGCCTCGTCCGACGGTGGCGGTATATACGCTCGCGACAACCCGCCGGCCGAATAGGTACGAAGTTCCCCGAACGCTTACGGCGGCTCTTCCCATTCATGCCCGAATTGAAACATATGATTTAGGCATTTTATACCAAATAATTCCTTGAGATAAATTTATTCTTTGTTTCTATGACCATAAGTTAAATAAATAATTGCATAATAAGGTTACAGTAAACAATAATATTTGTTTTGAATTACTTTTTTTTTTGATAATAGGGTTCGTTACGTTAGTAAAGATGGAGCTTATTTTAGACTGATTAAATCTCAATTTAAAAAAACTGATTGCTAATAAAACATTTAAATGTTCCAATTCCAACCAAAGGTTCAATTCGTTTGATTCGACCGCGTCTCCAAAAGGAGGCCTGAACATAACTAATACCTATAGGGATTTTGATACTGGGTTTTAGCACCGGGTATACGGCGATACCCGTACCTTTGAGGCCGGGTATAGAATATTGCAGGTATATTTCATGCCTAGTTCACACATCTGTTCCTTTAATACTTTTAATACATGTTAAGGTACTCGATTTAACCAAATATAACTCACTCCTACAATTGAATTAAATTTACGGTGGTAGGGCCTACATCACACAATCACTTCTAAAATATCTCAAATACTATTCCACCTCCACCAAAAGGTTGTCAACGCATCTGGTACCCTCAGATGTGGCAGATGTCCATGGACGGCGGTATTCACTTAACATCATGTGAACCGTCTGTTCGTTTGGCGACTTTCACATAAAAAAAAAAAAACTTCTAGAATGGACTTTAACCTTCATTTGGTATACCTTTTGCCATCTGGGTAGGTACTAAAATCAAAAACATCGGAGATTTTTCATCACAGAGAAATTACCATCAGTAATGTAAAAAATTACCGCCTAAACTTATTACCGAATTATTAATATAATTACATATTATTATCATATATTATTAAATTTTAATAAGAATTAAGAGCTTACACCAAGGGTAGACTCATGCCTGAACTTCGTAGGCTTCTTTATACCGTTTCGGTGAGCTTTCCGGTCTGAAAATAAATAAAGAAGAATAAGTGCCTCATTTTCAAACATCAATTTCAGAATTTTGATCAACACTCAATCTTTACTCACTTTGGTTATGATTTGTGTGGTTTTTAGACTTTGCCATAGTGTATGTCTTTAACTCTGAAATCAATAAATATTTATATGAATATAAACCGCTGACACATTTGGACTCACTCTGGACCAAAGTCACAAAATTTAATTTATGATGAAATAGATATTCATAGAAATAAAGTGTTATTAGACGTACCTAACTTTGAAACTTTGATTGAAAAGAGAAAGAATGAGACACACTGACAGGCAGACAGACCACTTGACTGACAGCTGACTGATGACAATTAATGTCAATCCAATTGTTAACATAGATAATACTACATATAACTCGTGTCATTGCCATTACTTCGTTTTTTATAACTTTTACTTATGGATATGACCCAAATAGCCAATTAGCAAAATTATGGATTGTAAAAATTACAATCACAGCAGAAAGGAAGTAAAAAAATGAGAATTTCATTAAAAGTTAGGCAAAATAAACAACCAGAAGTGTTCATTGGCGTATTCATTGAATTCCGCCAAAAAAGAAAAGAAGAGGAAGAAGAAGAATTAATTTTTTAAAGTTTTTTTTTTATACTGCTAATCTCTGCATTTAAGATTGAACATTAAAACATGTAGAAAAAGTACGAAAAGTACGTGGGTTCGATTCCCACAGCGGCGACAATCTTTTCGTACTTTTTCTACATGTTTTAAGATTTGAATTACTTTAAAATTGGAATGTTAGTTTTATTTCTTCAGATTCAGACTGAATTTTGTCATATTTGATTGATTCCGAGTAAAAATTGCTAAAAGAAGTAACATAACTTGTATTTTACACAAATTTCATAATGATTTTACGTTTTGTTAAAAATAAGTTCAAAATGTTTAAGTTGTAAAAAATAGTTTTCTTATAAGTCCTTAAGTATCTTTTTGATTTGAAAGTGATCCCATTAGCCACATCTACCATTCAAAACTTACAGTTTACGTTAGCAGTTAACTATTGGTCCAGATGTTTTGAAAACTTAGTTGAAACAGGTAGAAAGGCAGACGATTCGTGGACTTAGGAGAAAGATGTGCTTAGCGCAAGATGTTCACACCACGACACCGGATGAAAGGTGGATAATTTGAGTAAGAAGAGAAATACACGACGCTATCTTGGGGCGAAGTTCACCTTTATCAAAAACACAACAAATGATTATGACAAGAATCAATTAACGGAAACAAAAAAATTTTGAAAACATTTAATGTCCTAATCATAGATTGATCGATAGTATGTATACTTTCTATTGAATAATAAAATCGACCCGACGTAAGAGAACGAGCGAAGTATCGTGTGTAAACGACACAGACCACTACGCGACAAATGCGCTGAACCCTAAATGTTTTTAGTAATATGCCACATCTAGAGTTCCGCACTAAGCATTATGAAGCATCAACGGTTGTGGACCCGTTCGAATTTGTGTCCCCGCGTCCTTTACGACAAGCTTTCGGATAGAGCGGGAGCGGGATAATTAAGTTACTTATCGCCCGCGATAAAGTATCGTCCCTACTGTTTATTATATTACTGATATCATAATTTCATCGTATTCAAAAGCAGTGCTGAATATAAGTCTTACTCACAGACTGCCAAATGCCTGAGCCATCTGGATCCATTGACTTCTCGCAATTCTGCACGGAAAAAAAAAAGAAAAAAATTTTGTTTGTGAAAGAGACATTAAATGCAATTGATAACAGTTTTATTAAATAACTTGGAATTTTCAATAAATGTCAAAAAGTTGTTTTTCGTTGCCAGTCAAAGAGGTACCGGTGTTTTATGAAGTCTTCATCGACATAGTAACTTTTTACAAACTAAGATCAATCTGCGATCTTCTTAAATATGACTATGTGTCGGTATATCCTTCTCAATTGCAGTGGTTACCGATTCGCCAACCACGTTCTTTAAGAGCACTAACCACTGTTTATTACTTTTTAATTGTCCTACCCCATCTTATCTATCTCCTTACTTTTAATTCCTCTCATCTAAAAGCGATAATAACTTTGCTTATCCTATACTTTTTCCTTCACATTGTTCAAACTTCTTACACTCTTCTTTCTTTATTCATTCCATCCTTCTGTGGAACGCTTTTAAAAGCAAATTTCAAATATATCAAATTATCTATATGCTATTTATGTATGTTTACATAGTGTATGGATAATATTTTACCGTTCCACATGTCATATCTGTGCCCCTATCTCACTTTCTCTGCTCCTTCTTAAGGTTGACTGGTAGAAAATGCCATTGGCATCAAGTCTGCCCTTGTACTAGTGTGTGCGTAAAGTTTAAATAATTAAATCAAGAATAGTTTTTAGAACACAATAAAAAGAACTATAACTTCAAAAACAGCTGAGTACGCATTCTTTGTAATCAGTGAACGCTAATTAAATTAATTGTTAATAAATGGCACCACAATTATGCCACGGTACAGTTTTTCGTTATGTCATTTAAGAATAATAATGCTTCCATGTTTATTTGCGTTCTCTGGTGATAAGTTATATTGATTGTCGAAGAGCACACAACTTGGATAATATGTTCCCTATAAAGGGATTAATTTTCCTTCATGAACTTCACTTACTTATTCTAAGTAAAAATGTTTTTTTAATTCGTTTTCAATTAACTACAAATTATCATACAGTTTATTAATATAATATTTACAAGATTTAATCTATCTAAAATTACATATTATAAACCTAATCCACGCGGCATGGTGTCAGGAACGCTAGTTGCATTTCCTCGCTGAATAGTTATATAACCTTTGAGTGAGAAAAGAACCACCTCTCTTGTCACCAGCCGCGGCGTTAAGTCTAGGACATAAACTTTTCAAAAATTTTGATGTGCGTCGACCCCACGGATCTAAAGTCTCAACAGCAAATGGCACAAATACATAATCTAAACATAAATACTCATACTTGCGCCATTTACTCAATACAGCTGTATCCGATGCCACCCCGGACCCGACCGAAGTACCCCTTAAATGAGAGGCAGCCAAAGTGTCTACGCAAGTGACGTCCTAAACAAGAGCTTTGCCTCTCTCCCAAGGGATCAAAGTTAAACCTTCGGGTCTCTTACCATCGTCGCGAAAAATGCCACAAGGCTCTAAAATGGACGGAACATTGATGGAGCTCTACGGATGATGTCCTTCAGGGAACCGTGGTGGGAAAAGCGGCCAGCACTTTTTTGACAAGAAGCCCGTGGAGACCAAATTTGTCTACACTGACACCATAAGGGCATTGGTGTGGTTGTCACATCGGAATGCAATGTCCCCAGACGGATTACTACAGTAATGCCTAAGCTTTCATCATCAAGTAATGTGCCCAAGTTACTTGATGGTAAAGCGTGAAGCCAATAACTCTGTTCCTTAGATGAGATGCCTAGGAAACGGCCACGCTCCAGATTACTTTCTAAACATTGAAATGTATCTTTCTATACTCTCCGTACCGAAGGAACATCCCACTCTTTTTGTTTTTTTGGCGCGGGAAAGTTTAAGATTGGGCGGTATTTTTTCACAAATTTAAAATTTGTTATAAAAAGTTGTAAATTCTTATAATTTTATGTGAATATCCATTAATTCTATTGAACAGTTAGCATAATTACCTATATTACTGTAAATTTCTTTGTATATATAGTAAATTCTCAATAAAAAGGATTGATAGTAAGTAGCTGTTATCTACTTCTACATCATGGCGAAGACGAAGAAGCGGAAAAAAAAAGAAAAACCTCCGAACGCTGTAGCAGATGAAGATGCTTCGTCTTCATCGGCTGAATCGGATTATGCCGATGCAGTCCCCCGCCCGGAAGACGACATGGATAAGTACAAACCCTATATGGTTGCAGACTACAGTAGGCGCTACCCAGAAGATAGCTCTGCTGGCCACGAATTTGTGGTTTTTATAGAGAGTAATGACGAAAATAAACCTATGGGATCACGAGACATGCTCAGCTTGAGTGGACTCTTTCAGAGATTTGTAAAGGGTATAAAATATTTAAAAAAAGTTAATAAATATAAAATTGGAGTGGTCTTTGACAAACCCAACCTGGCAAATGGATTTTTAGATAATGTTTCTTTCTTAAAAGACCATAATATTATTGCATCAATCCCTGCATCGTCCACCGAGTTAACTGGGGTAATCTCTTCGGTACCTGTGGATATGTCCAACAAAAGAATTTTCAAAGCATTATCGCTTACTACTAAAAAAATTATCTGTGTAAAACGCATTATGCGAAAAATCAGAACTGATGGTAACATAGCCTTCCAACCCACGCAAGCAGTGGCGATTACCTTTGCGAGCTCAACTTCATTGCCAGATTATGTATATCTAAAGATGTGGAGATTGCCAGTGCTGCCTTTCATTCCTCCGGTAAAGCAGTGCTTTAAGTGTTTGAGGTATGGTCACCTATCTAAATATTGTAAAAATTCTGAAAGATGCTCTGTGTGCGGTGAGGGACACAGTTTCAAAACCTGCACGATTAGTATAGAGAAGGCTGTTTGTGTGAACTGTAAAGGTGATCACATAGCCATATCTGGGAAATGTCCGATCAAGCAAAAGAAAATAATAGAAAACAAAAATAATGTTATTCAACGCCCTTTTGCGGTGCTTTTCAATGAAAACAATTTTCCAGCTTTGAAAAAAGATCCTCAGGATATTTCTAAAGTGATATTGTCTGACAAAGTCATCTTAAATTTATTAGCTGAATCTTTATTGAAAATTATTTCTCGAAATAAGTCTGAAAATTTATCCATCAACACACAAAATATTGTTGATGTCATTAAGGACACATTTCAGTATAAAAACAAATCATCGTCACATTCACCACCCAGTCAACAATAAACATTATGCAATGGAATGCACAAAGCATATTACATCAAAAAAATTTATTTAAAAAATTTCTTAGTGACAATCATATACATATAGCATTAATATCAGAGACCTGGTTAAAAGCACACATGAAACTTAATATAAGGGGCTACACTATTGTGAGAAACGATTGTGGTAACGATCACAATGGTGTGGCTATAATTATACATAACAGTTTGAACTATCAAAATATTTCAACTTTTTTTGACAATTCTTTGCAAAACATTGTAGTACAAATACAAATCTATAACAAATTTATTTCTATAGTTAGTTGTTACAGTCCTCCGAATTCTACTCCAAGCTTTAATAAGGCAAAATTTAATAACTTAATTAAAAGTATTCCTAGCCCAATGATAGTAGCTGGTGACTTTAATGCACACCATACGGTGTGGGGTTGTGGTAATATTGATTCTCGTGCCAGAGACATCATCGATGTTATGGAGGAGAATGACTTAGTGCTCTTGAACGACGGAAATCCAACTACAATAGGCTCTAATCGTTGGAGGCCAAATGGTCTTGATCTAACTATGGTCTCGTCATCCTTGGTCCTTTCTTGCGAATGGCAGGTCTGTGAATCACCTCTTGGCAGTTATCATTTTCCCACTGTAACAAAGTATTCATTCTCATCAGTCAACTATATTCCTCTAGCTAATTCTAGTAGTGATGCTAAACGTATAAATCCTAATTTGATAGATTGGGCTAAATATACACAATATGTTAATAACATACGCTATCCAAATTTGTAAATTTATCTGATCCTATAGAGAATTATAATAGGTTTTGTCTAGTCTTATATTCTGCAGTCGATTCTTCGGTATTTTGCAAAACTAATGTAAATAATAATCAAGGCAATAGGTTTCAACAAGGTAGAGGAAAGAAAAAATTTTCACCTCTGCCTTGGTGGAACGAAAAATGCTCTAAAGTAGTTGACAATTGCAAACAAGCTTATTTGTCTTTCAAAATAACTCCTTCTTTAGGAAATTACATAGCATTCAAAAAAGCTCAAGCTGTAAAAAAGATTACGATTAGAAATGAATGTCGCTCAGCCTGGGAACAATTCTGTTCTTCTATAAATAGTTTAGTCCCCATGAAACATATTTGGGAAAAAATGAGAAAGTTTCATAGGACATATAACTACAATAACAAAAAATTTCTCAATAGTACATGGTTACATGACTTTTTGCATAAATACACACCTGATTCTGTAGAAAATGATCTTCCTCACTTTTGTTCCTCAAACTTCACATCCGCTAACACATACTTGATTAATAAATTCACCATAGTAGAACTCAAATCTGCCCTGAAATCAAGGAAAAATTCTACTAGTGGACTTGATGGCTTAACGTATAAAATGTTTAAACTTTTAGATCATGCTAATTTACAGATTTTTTTGAGTATTCTGAATAGCTTGTGGGAATCTAATTTAATACCAAAAGAATGGAAAACTGACTGCTTAGTTCCAATCCTTAAATCTGAAAAAGATCCTAATTTTGCTGACTCTTATCGCCCAATTACTCTAAGCTCTTGTGTAGGAAAAATTTTTGAACAATTAATCAAACAAAGGTTGGAATTCTTTATTGAACACAATCACATCTTACCTAGTAATCAATTTGGTTTCCGTCGTGGCCGTTCTGCCCGGGAGAGTCTAAGCCATTTGTTTCTTGACATTGATGGTGCGCTGCACGAGGATAAAATTGTAGCTTCCGTTTTTTTAGATATAGTTGGTGCTTTTAACAATGTAAATTTACATATACTCTCATCAATTTTATATTCTTTGCATTTACCTGAAAAGTTAATAAATTGGACTTTCAACTTTCTACATGGTAGAGTACTGTTTGTAAAATTTAATAACAAACTATTTGGTCCTCGACTATCTTATAAAGGTGTTAGTCAGGGAGGTATATTAAGTCCAATGTTTGTTTATACTTTATATTCATCAGTTGAATATGGTTCTTGGTTCTGATGTCAGCAATCTTCAATTTGCTGACGACTTGGTAGTCTATTGTACAGGTTCTAGCTCTCAAGAAATCAATTATAAACTCAATACAGCTCTTTTAAGACTGCAATCTTATTTTGATTCTCTTAACTTGGACGTCAGTCATGAAAAGAGTAAAACAATGGTTTTTCATGCAAATTTAACCAGGTCTATAAATATTTATTATAATCACAATCTAATACCATTAGTATCTTCCACAAAGTTTTTAGGAGTCCTGTTTCAAAATAATTTTTCAAATGGAAAAAATATGTTGATTTATTATCAGATAGAGCTTTAAAAGCATGTAATATCCTCAAATCCTTAGCACATACTTATTGGGGTTCTGATCCCAAAATACTACTAATTTTATATAAAAGTATAGTGAGAAGTCATTTTGAATATGGTTTTTTTTGCTACTCTCATAAAAAGAATTTAGTAGATGTATTGGATAAGATACAAAACAGATGCTTGCGGGTTATAATGGGTGCTATGATATCAACCCCCATTATTTCCATGCAGATTGAAGCTAACATACCTCCTTTACTGCTTCGTTTTAAATTTCTTGCTCATAAATTCCTTCTGAAACTTTCTTCTTTAACTAATCATCCTCTAGTCACCAAGTTACAGTATGCTTCAGAGCGTAATGCTTCCTCATTTCTTGCTCAACAACTTCCTGAAACAATAGAACTGAAAACTAATTGTGTCATTTATGAGGGTAACACTTTGGCCTGTTATAGTGGCTCCTTCTTTAGCAAATTTTGCTACATGAATATTATAATTGACAACTCGTTAAAGTTTAAACAAGATGTTTATAATAAATTGAATGAATTCATAGGTTATTATCATATGTATACTGATGGTGCGAAAAATAATGAAGCAGTTGCTATGTCGATTTATGATTTAAAATTGAGAATAGGTTCGGGCTATAAATTACCTAAAGCTGCTAGCATTTTTACAGCAGAATCTTCAGCGATTTTGGCTGCACTTGATTATATTCAGCAACATAATTATGATAAATGGATCATAGTCACAGATAGTATGAGTGTCTTGAAAGCTTTGGATAATCCTAAATATGATGCTAAATCCAACTACATTATTCATCTTATTAGAGAGAAGTATTTTCAGTTAACTCAATTAAAGTCCATAATTTTGTTTTGGACACCATCCCATGTAGGAGTTTTTGGAAATGACAGCGCAGACTTTCTTGCCAGAACAATTTCTAATACAGTTGATGTTGCCATAAAACAAATTCCCTTACCCGATTCTGATCTATTGTCAAATGTTAAATCCAAATTATCAAAAGATTTTAAATCTGCTTGGGACACAATTATAGAGACTAAAGGTAAATGGTATGCTGAAATTAATAATAGAATCAGTAAACCTTGGTTTATTAAATTCAAATACATTGGAAGGAAATTCTTAACAATCATTTGTCGTTTGCGTTTAGGGCATTGTAGATTTGCTGCTCATTTACACAGAATTAATATAGTTTCATCTCCAAATTGCATTCATTGTAATGATAATATCCCTCAAACTTTACATCACATCTTCTTTGATAAATTACTTGAAATTGAATTGGATTATAAGATTTGTACAAGGATTAAAAAATGACATTAACTTTACCGGATTATACGATAGGCATGAAATTACGGAATTACCTGGAAAAAATGAATGTAGAGAATAAAGACTTGGCTTCGGCCTTTACTGCATTTTGAAATTTGACAAAGAAGACGAAATACGGCTTCGGCCTTTTATTATTATCCTGAAGTTACATAAAGAAGATGAAAGACTTGGCTTCGGCCTTTATATACCCATTATCGACCAAGAAGTAAGAAGAAGATGAAAGAAGATACAGAATAGACAAGGCTGTATGGGCTAAGTTCCCTTTGCCTTCCCAAGTTCATTGTGATTGGGAAAAATTAACAACACACTGGAGACCTGTGCACTTGTGCAATGTGCTACCTAATTATGTCAAATGAACTGTCAAATATTAATGTCAAATTCGGTTAAAGTCAATTTGTGGGGACGTGTTTGATTTTGGTATTGTATAATATTTTTTTTTTAAAAAGATACATTTAATTAGTAAAACAGTACCAGACTTTACAACGGAAGCTTTTTATAATGGTAGTGGCAGAAAGTGTTGGTACTGATGTGAAACAATTAACAGGGGATGAAAATAAACAAGAATCAAAACCACCGAGTCTCTTGTCATTAGAAAGTATCCTTTTCAATATATTATGATTATCTTTTAATTAATTACACGACCAGGTGCCGTTTCGTCTCTAAGCAGATGTTATTTTTATGGCTTCGTTTCCGTATTCTTATGTACGTAAAGTTATTGTTATACTTTATACGCTTCATCAGTAATTGTTTGTGCAGAGATACCTAGAGTTTTTAATTGTTTAGTTTGCACACTTTTATATTTATATTTTCTTTGATAATATTGATGAATATAAAATATTTTTATTTTAGCATTTTATTAAGCTACAAAATTAACCGCCCGTAGTTTACTATACATGTATATCACATATGCTTAACTTACAGCCAAGAAAAATTTGCATTTTATAGTTATTAATGTATAATATAATTTAATTACAAGAGAGCTGGTTCTTTTCTCGCTCAAAGGTTAAGCTTAACTATTCAGCAAGCAAATGCGGCCAGCATTTTTAGCACCAAGCCGCATGGATTAGGTTTATTAGATAATATGTAATTTTAGATAGATTTAATCTTTAATATAATCTAAATTAGGCAGTTTATGAGCAAACATTTGTTTAAAAAGTTTAGCTAGTAATGTAAGAAAGTAAATATAAAACACAAAAAATTGCCTGTGTTGTTTATTACATTGACTTTTCTTGTTTCAAAATCTACAGTATATCCCTTTTGAACACTATCTTGTTAGTATGGAAAATATGAACTGAGTGAAATGAGTGAAATTATGAACTGATGAAAATGGTGAAATTATGAACTGCGTGAAATTTTTGTTATTTGTATTCTTTTAACAGTTTACAAAGTATTTTTACATGTCTTTTGATGATTGTTGTTGACCATGAATAAAGGTATATGCCTCATTCAGTATTTTGGAGTAATAAAACAGAGAACCTATCAGCTAAATAATGCTGCCTGCATACATGCACGATGCAGAAAAGTCATATCCAGTAATATTGGCACATATCTTTGAGGCTTATTATTTTGTAAACCAATGCACAGATCTTTAGTTTTGTACATTTCTATTCTCTCAATATTTAAAGTGCTTAAGAAACTTGTGTCTAATTTTCACTATGTGAGTTATGTGGGGTCCATATAACACTAGAATATTCTAATATGCTTCTGACATATGAAAAGTACCATCTTTTCCTCTTAAATGAAACATACTGAGACTTATTAGCATTAATAGTTAAAGTTAGTAAATGGCATAATATTGTACTATGTTGGAAGAAATAAACAGATGGAATCAAAATACTTATCTTCTTAAAAAAAATTATCTTCCTTGTCCTTTTTTTTGAGTTGTCTGCTAGATCTGGAGATGTCATATTTATTTTTTTAATTATCTTTTATATTTATTTTTTTTATTATAAGGCAAACACACCGAAAAATACCTATGTTCACAAAGTGAGTAAATACTGCAAAGACAGCAATTTTACTCCATGTTACCATATACATAATCAAAGGATATTACCATATTTTAATTACGAAATTTATTTTAATAATATAGGTACTTATACACAATATAATATGTTATTACTTTCCTCCATTTTTTTATTAATAATACCTTGTAAAACATTAAAGTAATTTGGGTCCATCTCTATATATTATTGTTCAATCAATTTTTCAATAATGACAATGTTTTAAGTTCAAATATTTGGAAATAAAACAAGTACCTGTCAATCCACTGTACTTTACAAAGTCTTTAATTCTCATGTTTCCTGAACTGCTTCAGTATTTCGCATCACTAAGGATGCTCAACAACAGCACGGTCTGCGTCACGGTGACTACCAACGCTACCGCGGCTATTGCTCGCGTCGCCTCCGTCGGATGCGTAAGGTTCTCAAGTTACCACAGGTATATTTGATTTTTATGTATTTGTACTTATATGATATACACAAAATGTTATGTAATGATATTTACAAAGAAAGTATATATGTGATGTGGCAAAATGTTATGTATGTGAAGTAGCATACCTTTCTAATTTATAATAGAGATTTTTTTATTTATTAAACATACATTACTAGAATTTCCATTATCCACATTTTTTATAGTTTACCATTTTTATGTAAGAGGTGGCAAGTGGGTCACCTTGTTGGTAAGGTATCACCGCCGCCCCCATGGGCGAATGGGAAGTGTCCATACACTTGCGATATTGGAAGAGTCAGAACTGCGTTGACAGCCTTTGAGATAGGAATATAGAGATCCTAAGTTTCGTGATATCCCTTTATTGCCAACCGCTCCCCTGAGAGAAAATGGTCAAATACCTACTTAGGAGTCACTTTCGACTCGCGTATGTCATTTACTACGCACATTAATAATGTTCGCAATAGAGCCGCGTTCGTCTCCGGCCGGTTACACAATTTAACTAACGCTAAAAGTAAAATGCCCTTAAGGCACAAATTATTATTATATAAGACCTGCGTACGACCTATTATATACTACGCATGCATAACCTTCGCCCACACACACCCTACTCGCTTGTAGAAGTTGCAAATAGTACAAAATAAGTTCATCCGCCGCGCAACCGGTGCGGTGTCGCGGCGGGACCTACACAGCGATTGCAGACTCCCGACGATTCGCGAATATTTTAAAGACCTGACCAAACGGTTCTTTGATAGAGCCGAACATCATCCCAACCCTCTGGGTGGTAAGGGCAGCAAATTATCAACCCGACAAAACACGAACGTCAACAAGCGTCGTCCGCGAAACGTCCTCATCGACCCGGTCGAGGAAGGGGACTCAGATACGTCGAACCCACCGCCGTTACCTACACCCACTGTTAGTGCAACAACAAACACTAGTTCGCCCTCGCCGTCGGGCACGACGAGACCAACACAACGCGTACACAAGGTACACCCGCGTTCCGGGGCGGTTCTCACCGCTCCCAGCCACCGATTAACTGTGCAGTCGACGGCCATCGGGGTTTCGGTCCGAACCGCGACCTTGATGGCCCTTAGATGACACACCATAGTTAAACGCACGCATGAGCACATGCGTGGCCCTAACCACAGCGGAGGGCCCAAACCCGTGGGTTCTGGCTAGCCAACCTGTTCTGCGTCAGATGAAGCTAAGCAGGCTAGCCAACCTGTTCTGCATCAGTTAATACAAGATACAAGAAGTTTCATGAAATCTTACTTTCCTTTGTGAGATATAGAAAGATGCTTAGAAGAAACTTAGAATAAAATTCTGTTGAAACCTTGAAAAAGTACCGTTGATTTGTTATACAAACACTAACTAAAAGGCCCACTAGAACCTTGTTGGTTTTTTGGTCTCCGTACCTCAAAAGGTACACGTATGTCTGTCCGTGTGTCATCACTGAGTTCCCTATTAGGTGAATAAAATGTTATGGTCCTGAGTCAACAAAATAATTTTTTTTGGTATTTACAGGATTTCCGCGAAATGTACCAAAATTTTCTTTTTTTTATTTTCGAAAATTTTCCTTTATTTGATCTGTAATACCTTGCTTTTTGCCAAATTACGTGATTCAAGATTAACGGGAACTACCATATAATTTTTGGACTCAAAATCTTTTAGGGTAGAACCGGTTGACCTAGAATTGTCAATTTTGGTCCACTCAGTTGTATAGGTGGTCATAGAATAAAATTACATACAAGATAATGGTACGGAACCCTGCGCGCTCGAGTCCGACAAGCAATTGGCCGGTTTTTTTAAAATAAAGAAAACAAATTACAACTCATAGGGCGGATGAGATGAGTCGTAACTATTACAAATGTTATTTAATAACTTTTAGGGTGACAGGCGACACTATCGCCGGCGTGACGTCACGGCCGCTCACCTGACTGCGGCAAACGCTGAGAATCGCCTGCTGTGTGTTCCCCTGCTGCAAGCGGAACGGGCCTGGGCGCACGCGATGCAGCTCAGGCAGGAGGCGAACACTGAGCCGAGGAAAAAGTTCCATCTGGTGGCGCGGTTGAGGAAGGCCTACGCCCACGCGCAGACTCTGTTGCAGCTGTGCGAGGTGATTTAATCTCAATTATCACTATCACTACATAGTATAAAACAAAGTCGTCCCGTTGTCTGTCTGTCCCTATGTATGCTTATATCTTTAAAACTACGCAACGGATCTTGATGCGGTTTTTTTACCAGATAGAGTAATTCAAGAGGAAGGTTTATTGATATAATACATTACACCCGTGCGAAGACGGGGCGGGTCGCTAGTCTCGCATGAAAAAGAGTGTCGTTTGCTTCAGAGCGGTGCTTGCGATGCCCGCACCCAGCTGGAGGCGGGAGCTTACGCGGCGTGGCTGGGAGGGGTGCTTCTGCTGGAGCTGCAGCAGTGGCGCGCTGCCGCAGACAGCCTGCAGCGCGCTCAGCTGGTGCTGGAGAACCTCAGCGCCGCGCTGCCGGACGACGAGCGCCACGTTTACCGGCAGAAGGTGAGCCCTTCGCGTCTACAGGCAGAAGGTGAACCCTTGCGTCTTTAGGGCGAAGGTGAGTCCTCGCGTCTACAAGCAGAAGGTGAGCCCTCGCGTCTACAGGCAGAAGGTAAGCCCTCGCGTGTACAGACGGAAGGTGAGCCCTTCTACAGGCAGAAGGTGAGACCTCGCGTCTACAGGCAGATGGTGAGCCCTCGCGTCTACAGGCAGAGGGCACATGGGTCTAACAGTGTAACGCCTTATTCATATCGGCGAAATTCAGTACTCTGTGGAGTACCGCTTTCGGATGACTTCAAATGGAGTGTAATCTAACGAACTTTTTGCAGCCCACGGACATCTTTAACACTCGACGGGTTGCAGAATTGTTGCAAACCAATAAAAAGAGGGCCGGTTATATAACACTTCCAGTTCACGCCGGTCTTCTGTAAAGCCGTGGCACTTTCCTGGATAGGCCTGCCCATATATGCAACTGCAGATGCTTCTACGTGGCCCTACCACAGCTGATCGGTTAAGGGAACTATTGTTCACTAAGGGAAAATTTATTTTGATTTTATTTAATAATATAGAGAAGTTTTAAATATCCCCTAACGATGTCCACGGGACATATTATGGAGTATAATTGATGGACTTTATATCCCGAGTGATGAATTAACAGGTGGAAGAGTTGAAGCCGAGCTTGAGGTACTGCGCTTACAACATCGGCGACCAGTCGGCTGCCGGTGATTTGGCTGCCATGCGTGGACAGGGGCTCATTGAAAACCTTGACACGCTCATGGCTCAAGCGAAGTGAGTATTCACATTTTTTTTTTTCTGATACCCACCAAAAACTCATGCCGAAACACTACCCATACGCAGCTTTTGCCTATGCCACATACGTGCATAGATAAGCTTAATAATCTATTGTTACTTTTATTCTATCATGGTCTAATGTCAATTGGTCTAAATAAGTGAATTATGTGTTTATCGCAATTTTAAGCGAGATATAATTTAGAAATAAACACAACACATTTTATCTTTATTATGAAACTCGCTTTTAGCTGATCGTTATCACTCCATGTTGTTGTAATTTTGCGTTGACGTGTGGAGTATTCCATGGAATTATTCTGATTACTTCCTACGGCTTAATTTTATAACGTCATCTGGATGGTTGAGGTCCCCCACCAATGTAGCACCGTCATCTGTCGTAATTGCAATAAATGTGTCTTACAGGGAATCGCGCTCCGGAATAATGCATGAGATCGAGTGGCGCGGGCGGCGGGTGACCGTGCGCCCGGAGAAAGTGAGGCTGTTCCTAATCGCTCTGCAGGACTACGACAAGTCCGTCGAAGGCGCGCAGAGCGTGGAGGCAAAGATCGAGATACTCGAGAACATCCTCATGGACTGCAAGGACGCGATCAGCTCCATCAGGGAAGACGTGAAGAACGATCCTAAGCTCAAGTCGACCACGGAAGCTCAAGCGTCCAGCATCTGCCACCTCTTCACGTACCTGATGTACATACGCTTGAAGCGCACCGTCCATCGCAACAACCTGCTCGTGCAGCAAGCGGAGGAGGCGCGCAAGCGGAACGCTCCGCTGGACGGCAAGAAGGTGCGGCCCCAAGACCTCACCAGGCTCTACGAGATCATACTGCAGAACTACGCGGAGCTGCAAATGCTGCCGGGGCTGGACGGCGACGCGGCGTACCAGAGGGAGGTGGAGACGGAGATGAAGGCGTACCGCGCGTTCCGCTGCTACTACATCGCTCAGGTGCTGACCGCGCTGCGCCGCTTCCGCGAGGCGCTCGCGATGCTCGAGCGCAGCAGCGGCTACGCGGCGGAGAGCCTCGCCAGCGAGCTGGACGACAAGCGGCTGCTCGCCAAGCTCGAGAACCTTCGCGGGGAGATAGAGAGCTGCAAGTTCGAAGTTCACGCCGACTCGGTGCTGGAGGACGACGACGAGGACGAGGAGGGCCGCTACACGAGCGGCAGGCCGTACAAGGACAAGAAGCCGCTGGCGGAGCGGCTGGACGAGTACCGCGAGGACACCCTGGCGCTCACCAAGAACCCCAACGTGTACAAGCTGCCGCCCGCCATGGAGGCGGTGCCGTGCAAGCCGCTCTTCTTCGACCTCGCGTGCAACTTCATCGAGTTCCCCAATTTGGAGGACAAGACCGGCGCGGCCGGCGGCAAGAAGCAGGCGGCCGGTATTACGGGCCTGGTGAAAGGCTTCCTGGGGTGGGGCAGCGAGAAATAGATCGTTTCCTTATATTGTATCCGCTTAATAAAACATGTTTATAAATTGTATTGTTATTATAGTGTCCTACTACTATTTATTCGTAATTTTTTTGACAAATGTGAATATATATAGTAGTAGTATCTGTTTTGGTCTTATTGAAGAATAGTTATAACGTTTATTAGTATAATTAATATTAGCCATCCGTTTCAAGCCAAAAAAGGGACCCTTTAAAATTAATGTCTATGAAAGCCGATTTTCAGACCACCGTGAGGTACTCGCTTGCCAAGCGAGCAGACGGTTCACCTGATGTTAAGTGATTACCGCCGCCCATGGTCATCTGCTACACCCGAGAGCGGTAGCGCTTTCGCTTTTAATTCAATATGATCGAGCAAACTCAGTTCGATCCCCGGATGAAATTGCAATGAAATTAATTTTAAACGCTACCTTATCATGTGCTTAGCGGCGAAGGAAAACATCGTGAAAAAACCTGCATATTTTCAAATTAATAAACAACAATATTTCGAAGATATGTGAACTGTTCAAAACATGATTATTGTTTTTTAATAGTGCAAAATTAGCCAGTACAATCGGCACTGGCTAATTTAGACATATAAATACTGAAATAAATGTGGGGGTCCAATCAACAAAAATACACAAGTTAAAAACATATAAATTGTAAACATGGACTATATTAATTATTTATCAGAACACATTCAACAGTAATAGAAGTATATAATTGAATCCTTGTAGTTGTTTTCTATCTATTATAGAATGACAGTCAACGCATAGCCTTTTTTGCAAAAAACACAGATAAGTTGTATGTCGCGAATAAAGATAGATCACAAGCTATTGCTTTTTTCAAGTAAAAAAAAATATAATCATTAAAATTAAAACAAAATATTTTACAATGCGTAACATTTACATTTTACATAATCACATTTGTCTTATTAATTGCGATACTGTTTCTCTCCGAACAGTGTAGTTTTATTGTATACATGTATTGTTCAAGCCCAACCTTAGACTGCTTTCAACGAAACTTTTTATTTATAATTAGTTTATTATCAAACGAGCAAACCGAAAAAGAAACCTAATTTCATCAAAGCTTGAATGTGGCACAATATGTGGTGAACAATGACAAAAAGAAATCTCAATGATATTTACCAACATTTAATGCCGAGTGAAACATTACAAAGCGCCAAGTGCGCGATAGTGAGGACCCATTGTTCGAGACTACTAGAGTGCGGCACATGTGCTCGCGGGTACTTCACTGCGAACGCGTTCGGCTTATTCATTGTGTTTATGTCGTATACAGAGTATGCTCTAGCGGGGCGCCAGGGGGGGCCAGTGTGCGGTCTCGTGGGCAACACGATCCGCGATCGCCAGCAGTTGGCCGCATGTCGCGCACACGTGCAGCCGATCGCCGACGCTCCTGCCCACCATGAGCTCCTGCTGCTTGGCGATGTCCGGCAGCAGGGCGACCAGGTCCGGGAACACGTGGTCCAGATGAGCGCCGAGCGCGGACTGGCAGTGCCTGTAGAACTCGTCGGCGCTTATGACGCCGTCGCGGAACGCGCGCGACGCCACCTTGAAGCTCTGCAGCGCTTCGGCGCTGCCGAGGGCCACGGCGAACTTGCTCACCAGCGCGTGGTTGCGCCGCTCGAAGTCGGGCGGCGATATGTACGTGTGCACGGGCGCCGAGAACGCTTGGCCGGCCGAGTTTATGAAGGTCATGCCGTCGCACTTGGGCGCGCGGGGACTGAAGCCGGGCGGCGCGTTGCCGTTCGGTACGCCCCTGATCGGGATGCGGTTGTCGTTGCGCGGCGCGAGCGGCGGGTACTCCTTCATGGCGAGGGTGAAGCTCTGGCCGCTGCGGTTCGTCTGGGCGTTGTGGGCGTTCTGGGCGGCGGCGGGCGCTCGCTCGGCGACGGTCTTTATCTTCCTGTCCCCCGCGGCGCTCTCGTTGTTGCTGTTCACGCTCGGGTTGATGTACGACAGCTCCCAATTCTTGTTGTCGCCGAGGCCGTTCACCAATTCCGCATCGAACACGTTCTCCTTCTTGGAGTTGTTGTTGTTGTTCTGCTTCTTCTTCTCCTTCTTGCTCTTCGCGTTCTCGTGGGGAACGGTGGCGATGGGCGCCGGTTGCGGCGGGCTCTTTTTCGCTTTCGCTTTGGCCGTATTGACGGGCAGCGTTGGGAAGTCGGCGACTTGGTTGAAAGAAGGCTCTTTCGGTGCAGGCGCCGGCTGTTCCGAGCGGTGTTTCGGTTTGTCCTTCGACTTGGAGACGTTGATCCATTTGGGCGGGGCCGCCGGGGCCGATGCCGAAGTCAGCGCGGGGAAGGCCTCGGTATTGAAGCTAGACTTCTTCGGCTGGTGGTGGGTGTTGCTGTTTTTAAACGCCTGCATTTCCTCGCTATTGATCATCGCGACCTTGGAAAGGATAAAAACAAAATGTTTAATTCTAAATAAAGTTAATGACTTTTACCTATTTCACTTCTATGCATCTCAATCTAATCAAAAATCAAAATCAAAATCAAAAATATATTTATTCAAATAGACGCTTGCGCGCTCTTATGAATCGTCAAATTTTACATCAAAGATTATGTGTACAGGTTCGTAAGGTACCACCGGTTCGGAAAGCGGTTTCTGTTGAGAAGAGACCGGCAAGAAACTCAACAGTTGCTCTTTTTCAAAAATATCAGGGTACAATATAATATACAGGTATAATAGTCTACTAATACCTTTAAACGAGCAATTCTTGTATATATATAATCGGAATCTCGAAAACGGCTCCAGCGATTTTCATGAAATTTAGTATGTGCGTAGGTTTGGGGGCAATAAATCGATCTAGCTAGGTTTCATTTTTAGAAAATGTTCTTTTATCCCTTTTCAGGGAATGAAAAATATCATTCTAATATGACGGTAAATTTCGCCGAAATAAAAAATGTTATAATAGCTCGGTCGGTAATCGGGCGGCCCCGAAACAGAATGCTGCGGTTCGTGTCACGATCATTTACACACTTATTTTTTTCTATACCAGATCATTGCTTTCTTTATTTTTTTAATTTACAAAAAACACAATTTACAAAAAAAAACGGTCCTCCAGGTACAAAACTGATATATGCTAACAAAACATCAGAAGGCATTGACATTATATTTCAAAAGAAGGTTGGATTATTCTGGATTACTATTCAGCGAGGAAATGCAGCTAGCGTTCTTGGCACCATGCCGCGTGGATTAGGTTTATAAGATAATATGTAATTATAGATAGATTTAATCTTGTAAATATTAGATCAATAAAGGTTGTAAATAATTGTAAAACAAGGTACAAAGTTACCTTCTCCTATCTTACCTACCTTTTGGTGCCGGATCTGTGTTTATCCGCGTGAAATTTATGTACGTGAAGCGTCCTTACAACACAGTATAATTTATCCTACGGCAAGGGCAATGTTTTAATATAGAAAAAAAAAACCTTCGGCGGCTGCGTTGTTCCGGCGCCGATGCTCGGGTGGTCGTCCCGGCCGAGGCCCAGTGAGGGGAAGTCGTCGTCGCTCAGAGGCGACTGCTTCTTCTGCGCCGGTATTGATATGCGGTTGGCGCTGGTCTGCGTCAGACGGAAGTTGCTCGCGCTCGCCGGCTGGCTGTGCAGCTGTATGGAGACGCTCGGCTTCGCTGCACACGTTGGAGCCCGAGATCAGCGAGATGGAACGACCGCGACGCGATCAATTATCACATTAAGACCTAACATTTCCTATGGTGGTAGGGCCACGCAGCGGCCTCGGCTGTTGCACGAATGGGCAGGCTCAGAAGACCGGCGTATAGTGGAAGTATAATACTTTCGCGTTTCAAAAGGTTGTCAACGCATCTGGAACCCTCGGGTGTAGCAGCTCTCCAAGGGGGCGGCGGTTTTCACTTAACATCAGGTGAACCGTCTGCTCGCTTGGCAACTTTTCAGATTAAAAAAAAATCATCTAATATTGATAGGTATAATGCCGGTCGAATGTTAATTGTTGAATTTGTTTTTTGGTATTAAATTTGCCACCGAAATCTAGCATTGCATTTAAATGGCCCGGAGCGTAAGGGTAAAACTTGTGCCAAGTCCATTTTAGAATTGCCCCCCCCCTAAAATTCAAATTATCTCGCTGTGGGGCGTGGGCCCCACGTTGAAACACTGATCTAACATGTGTCTTAAGCCACTTTGAAGGGTAAAACGTTAGTTTACGGGTGAAAGTGTTAGTTTACACTTGTTGCATATTATATTGATTGTATGTATAAATATACTTTGTTATACACACAAACAAAAAGTAATTAAATACCTAAGGGATGTCAAAAAGGAAATTGGATCCTTACTGGTAAAATTCACGCTCGCTATAACAAATGTGAAATAATTTCCTTCAATGAAAACAAAATAATACGGTAAAAAATCGAGATTTAGGCTAATGTTGCCGACACACTATTGCCATGATTGGAGTTCATTGACGTCTTCTGTCTGCATAAATAATGTGGATATCGATAAACTTTAAGCACAGGCTTTTTTCACTACCTCAAAGATTTGAAATAAATCATATTAAAATAAATATTTTTTTCAAATTCCGAATCCGGCACAGAGTCCGTAGATGACAAATATTAAATACTTGACGTACCTTTTTTTGACAACGGATCCTAAACAGAAAATATCGATCTCTTCGAAGTATCGAGGCCGATATTGATATTTCACTGTATAAATCCCTAGCGCCACACAACACAAGGGCGAGTCATTGTTTAATACGCACAGTTCCTTAGCAGAGTCGCGGCTACGGGCTGAGCGGGGCGGGGCGCGGGGGCGGGGGCAGGGGCGCCGCGCGAAGAGCCCGCCCCTCCCTCCAGAGCGGGGAAGTTCTTGTCGTTGCGAGTCAGACCGCCGCCGGCACCTGTACCATTTTGTAATAAACATTATGGTATTTAAATATATTTAAATATAATTATAGTAACATTAGTAAGGCTTTAACTTAATAATATAGTGGACCTTTGTAAGCCTTGCTTGCCGCCATCATAAGGTTGGGCGCTGGTTGCGCTGTGGAGAGGCGAGGAAATTGCTCGTCGCTCCGCGTGTCTATGTGCGGCGCTGGGGGCGGAGCGCTAGCTGGCGGGGGCTCCGCCCTATCCCTGCCAAGGCCCACAGTGCACATAAAACACAAACGTTCTTAATACAAACAAATCCCCGTATAACATAACAATCTTAATTTTAATTTACAAACTTAATTTTTTCTATAATAAAACTTACTTTTCTATAATAATATATTTGATTAACATTTTGGACTTAAAAGCCGAAATTTATAAGTTATTAACCTAATTTTTAGTTAGATATACTAACTGTAAATTAGAGTACATTTTAAGTCAGTAAAAATAAGACTCTTGAAACCAAATTTTCAACGGTTGACCTTACATACTAGAGCCGGGTCGTTCTAGCTAAAACAAGTACTGAGTCTTATGAGTACAAGTACGTGTAAATACCAAAGACTAGCTCTATAAGTATTTAGAAGTAAACATCTTGGCAGCAAAGTTTTACCAAGTACCGCCGCGTTCCATAGCGTCTACGAGTACCAGTTACGATACTCGGTTTCACTCAATACATCTCAAGACTATCAAGGTACGATATTCGATAGTCTTGAGATGTATTGAGTCCACTTTAGGATGAAACCTAGTATCAAAACCTGTTTTAGTATATACGCCACACCTCTACTACTGGCTCTCAAATGTAAATTGTTCATATACAATTAATCCAATTACATATTGCATACTTTAATTCAAAGTAATATAGGTTCATTATTTAATATACTTTCGGTTTAACTTGTTAAAACGCGACGTAAAATAAGTGCTGGAGAAAACATATTGTTTTTGCTAGTGGTTCTGTTTGAGACACGCAAGAATAAGACCACTTTACTTTGTTCTCATAATTAGTGTTACACTCTTTAAAGGCAAACTTTACAAATCCAAGTAAACTGCCAATAATAATAGTTGTATTTTGAGTCCTGCGTTTGCTCCTATAACATAAATCGACTCATTTCGATGTATTGCATGAACATATCGTAAGATCAGAGCTCAGCGGGATATAAACAGATAGACCAAGCTATTACGTAAACTCAAATGCGACGCAACACAAGAACTGAACATATGATATGAATTCGTTTGCAGAGAATGCTAGAGCAGTCATTAACTCCACTGTTTGACTAAATTTTTTTTTTTATGTGTACGGTAGCAAAGGAACTGGCAGTTCACTGATGCTAAGTCACGACCGCCGCCGATTAAAATTTGTAACAGCCCTAGGGTCTCAGATGCGTTGCCACCTTTAATAAAATGGGCGTAGGCTGCCTCACTCACCAGACGAAACTCAGATTTTTTTTAAACTATAATATAAAAATGATTATAACACTTTCACTTCACGCCGGTCCTTTGCGAGTAAGTACCACGACCATCGACGGACCTGCCCATTCGTACAACAACGAAGTTTAATTTTACATGTGCTGTCAATTACCGTAAGCTAAAAGGCCCTTAATGATTAACTTATAAGTAATTACCGCCGCTAGTACATCAACAACCATTAAGATAGTGGATACCAAATTTTTTTTTAATGTGAAAAGTTGCCAAGCGAGCAGTCGGTTCACCTGATGTTAAGTGAATACCGCCACCCATGGACATCTGCTACACCCGAGGGTTGCAGATGCGTTGACAACCTGAAAATTGGGCTCCGGCCACCTCACTCACCAGACGAAACGCGAAAGTATTATACTTCCACTGTACGCCGGTCTTCTGTGAGATCATGGTACTTACCCGGACGAGCCAGCCCATTCGTGCAACGGCCGAGGCTGCTGCATGGCCCTACCACCGCATACTCGTTGAAAACCAAAACAAACGAAAGTATAACAACGAATAAAAGTACAATTCCTACTCCACGTCAGTCTACCGTGGCCACAGTTTGTGTAACGGTAGATGGCGTTGCGGGACCCTACGACTGAAAACGCTCACCTAGGCGCCCTCTGCACGACCGCATGCGGCGTGATGTTGAACTGCAGCTCCAGGGTTCTGGCCTGTCGCGCGGCGCCTCGGTTCAGACCGCGGCCGTGCACCGTCGCCTTGTGCGCTGCAGGCCAAAATAGTCCTTATTGAACGCACGTCACGGTAAATAATGCTCTGATTAGACTGAACCAGGTGATATCTCATTTGTCCTCTTTCTTCTTCGCAGATAGATAGAGTTAAGGAATATTTATCGCTGTTAGCGAGTAATGCCAACGCTCGACGTCATCTGTGGTGTGAAGACGTGTCGCTTCTTGTCCCGCAAGTTATGCCTCAATTAACGATACTGTTCTCGAACAACATCTCGACTTTAACTTGGTATGCAGGCCGCCGAATTGTCCCCTAAAACATTGCATGTAAATTGCGGCGATTGCTCACGGCATGTCTTTTCTTGTAAATATAAGACTTGAAAAATGAAGATGATATTAGCTTATGTAAATTTAGAGGGGCCTCCCGGGGCTAGGTCAAATTTTATGGGATTCCTGCCAACAAGATTTCATTCGGCGGCCACTGACAGCACTTTAGAAGGAGATTGCTTACGGAACGCATTGTTTACTCTGCGCAGTGAACCTTAACTCGTCCTAGGTCCTAGTGTCTCTCAAAGCCCTGTTGTAGTAACTGGGAATGAACCGTCACCATAAGATTCCAAAAATTCCCCTTGTTCTTACAGTCGTGTTGGTCATCCAAAATCTACCCGACCTATCAGATTTCAGATCATCTCTTGGTACAAATCCAACAGTGAAACGTTCATGTGCAACATACACAGCTTTCCTCTGAAAGCGTATCGCATCTCGGCGTTTGTCCACGTGAAATTTGTGTTTGTAAAGCGTGCCTACAACACGGGATAACGCTATCCTAAAGTAAGGGTGTTGTTTTTAAATAAAAAGAAAAGTAAATCGCACCCTTCAGGTCGATCTCGCTGCGGAATACCGCGGTGAGGTGCTCGTTGGCGCACTCTCCCTCCTCGCAGAGGTAGTGGTCGGAGCGGAAGTGCTGCGCGAGCGCGGAGTGGGACGCGTAGTAGAGGTTCCTCCCGTCGGCGTCGCACAGGTGGCAGTAGAGGTGCTCCTTGCGCAGGTGCCGGTACAACTCGTCGGCGTCCATGAACCGCTCCTCGCAAAACTCGCAGAGCGGGTGGCCCCTGCGCACGGAAACTGGCACATATTAACCGACGGATGCGCCCGCTCTTATATTGGTGACCATCCTTTGTCTTATTGATGGACACGCCAGTGTTCAACAGATGCTCAGGTACGATTTCCGTGGGCAGCTGCGACTCTAGCGCCATCGGGTTATTCACTTCTTACTTTTACTTTTCCGTAATAAACAGAGACTTCATTAAACTGTGATTCTATAGTGAGCCGCACTGGATTTGTTTCTGAATATGTATATCATAGTATATATAAATTATGTGACATGTTGTTTGTCCGCGGTGGACTCCTAAACTACTTAACTGTAGTTAAGTAATTTAAGAGTAGTTATGTCTAAATTTGCACACCGTAGCAGTTTGATCCAACTTGAAAGATAATACATAGCTTACATCTCAATTTATAGTCTCAATATTATTTTATTGCAAATTATTTGTTTATTAGATGACAAAGATCTTGTATCTTGTATTAACTGATGTTTTTGCTTTCAGTCCCGAGACTATTAAAGCTTCATCTGACGCAGAACCGGTGGGCTAGCCAGAACCCACGGGTTTGGGCTCTCCGCTGTCGGTAGGGCCGAATGAAAAAGAGTTATAGTTATCTGTGAGTTCCATAAGATTTTAACAGATGTAGTTTGTAATGATAATAATATAGATGACGCTAAGTTAAAAGTCAAAACGTATGGAACCGGTAGATTTGGCGAAGACGAAGTTGCACGAGCCAGCTAGTAACAAATCAATTTACATAAAAAAAATCTGTAAGTGGTATTAAACCTCATTTGTGTCTGAACTTAGCAATCCACTTAGGATAAAAATATATGTCCAATTTATACATATTTATCACCAACCATTTTATTGTAGTCTTAGAAGTCCAATCATTTCAATGTTTAATTAGCAGTTTAAAATAGTTGATAACTAATGATATCCCAAATACATTATATACATTACTAACAATACAATTAGCATTATCAAGGTCTTTTTTAAGTCAAAATATGTGACACATTTAATCTACCCACAATGATAATAAGCCAGGTTGAAGTTTTGATAGTGAACCAGCTTAGTTAGTTCCTATGCCTATTCCAATACTTTGGTAAAACATAGTTGTAATATAAACCCCCGAAATAGATATATGAGGGGCTGATAGGAAATATTCAAACTTTGAGTAATGGTTATATTAAGATGATTAATGACTATTTAATTACATTTAATAAGTACCTATCTGCAACATTGGTATGGTAGCAAAGCTATGGTGTGAGGAGTCTGCGAGACAAACTAAAATTGAAAAACATTTGGCTTGATTGATTTTTTAGTGACGGATGTTTTATGTTTTATGTGAAAACTTGCCAAGGGAGCAGATGGTTCACCTGATGTTAAGTGAATACCGCCACCCATAGACATCTGCTACACCCGAGGGTTGCAGATGCGTTGACAACCTTTTGAAAATTGGGCTGCGGCCACCTCACTCACCAGACAAAACGCGAAAGTATTATACTTCCATTTGACGACAGTCTTCTGTGAGGTTGTGGTACTTACCCAGACGAACCTGCCCATTCTTGCAAAAGAAGTGAACCTACTACCGTAAAAGTTATTACTTTACCTTTTTACATATTATGTAATTTTCCATTCTAGTGTACCCGAACCGATACTTGTTACTTTACTTTTTTTTACATATTGTGTAATTTTCCATTCTAATGTACTAATCATATATAGCGTGTCGTTACCATCACGACAATAAATGAAGACACGTCTAACGCTACTTGCCAATAATCATAAAAAAATATTAATGTTAAACAAAATCCATAATTAAAAAAATTTGTAACATCCTATACAACTCGCACCACAGCGTCGCATTACAAACCTCTCCTTCTAACAGTATGTTTTTTTCTCTTTTAAATTCATTCAACCCATTCACATGCTTTGTGACCTTTACAAATGAACTTTACGTTACATTCTTTGTTTTGGAAAATTTAATAACTCTGTAAATATTGATGTTTAAAGAATGTAAATGTTTAATACAATTTTAAAAAGTTATCCCCTATATGTGTGTTCATTTATTGTTGAGATTGTAAAGATGCTGTATAACAAAGGTGCCAATTAAGTAAAGAGAAAGACATTTACTAAATTGGAGTGAAATGTAGAGAATGTAAACTTAGTTAAGTTGATACAGGATCTAATATAGTAAGATGGTCATGGAATCAATAATTACCTGTGCGATGTGTCATCTAAGTCTCCTTTCCGTCGATGATGTGCCAGCTCTTGGCGTGTGTAACATCTCCTTTCACTTGTGAATATCTAAAAACACTTTGTCTATTTTTTAGTGTTTTTAACATAAAGCATTCAAAATAAAAGAAAAATACAATGACTGGCTTATAAGCCTAAATTGACATAATAGGCAATGGATAATACTCATACTCCATGTTAAATATTATAAGTTAATTAATATTGAACATGTTCAATATTATGAGTTAATTGTAATGATATTACAATTAAACAAAATCAAGATAATTTCATTTTATACTTGTTGCATGTTTCAATTGCAGTGGTGTATAAAAAACTAACAATAAAGGGAATAATATTGGTGTCATTCAAATACATTTTAAAATAATTTGATTTAGGAAATAATAAAATATGATAAAAATATAATATAAATAATAAAAATTTTAATGAAAACATCAATAAAGAATGGAAAAGAATTTTAAGCTAACATTATATTCTTATAAGAACAGAATTATAGGTCAGAATTTTTACAAAGTAAATTATTTTATTTTATAGTAATGAAATTATTGTTTTTCATAAGTATTGATATAAAACTTCCTTACCTTCAAATGTTTAACACAAAGGTCACAAAAATATCGCTCATGCACCCGCCTTACATGGTCACTCAGTAAAGTAAAAGTGCGGAAAGGTGGATTTTTATCACAAATTTTACAGCGATGTTCCAGTAATTTTTCATAGGCATTTTTTATCTCTTCACTTGAAAACCCTATTTTGAACTGCCGCTCAAACAGTCTATCACTGAATACTCTGTTACGTAGCTCTTTGTATGGTTGAATGGATTCAGTGAATACAACCTATAAAATTAAACATGGCATTAGAAAGAAAATTATTAATTTCTACAATTTTTTTATTCATTGAAAATTGTATAATGTTATGACACAAATGTGGGATATTTTTGATAAATATTACCCTTGAAAGATCCTGACGACAGATTGGGCACTCATTTTGCAAGCAGAGAACTCGCATTCGAGTAGAACACTCAAAACAAACAGGGTGGTCACATTCGCCAATTGAGTAATACAAGACATTCTTGAAGCAAACTACGCAAGTGTTATTATCGTTCGATGGGGACTCGGCCATGATTCTTATAAGGTTTCTGTAAAATTACAAATGTTTAATCAAAAAATCCAAATCATTTATGGACACATGGTGTAGACACGTACCTACCAAGAAGAGTTTATACGGGTTACAGATGTTAAAACCGGAGAGTCCCGAGAAAAATTATGACTGCTGAACGTTTAAATGACAGACCAAGGACCGACTGACAGTGCCGTGTGTATGTGTACCGAAGTCCATGACAGTTTTACATGTATTATTTTGCATCGTTCCGAAACAATATTAGGCAATAATATTATAACAATATTTGATCAAATAAAGAAAACACAGTTACGACAAACGAAAGTGTCACTAACTGCAGGCAATATGAATTCTGACTCGATTGTAGACGCACGCGCTGTCACGCTTGTCGTCCTGCTCATAAATCCTATCGTAATTTGTAATGCCGTATTGTGTAATTTATGAGTGCAAAAATAATAGCCGAAAAAATTTCTCAAAAAGGGGTGTTATTTTAGTATATTTTACAAAATAAAACAATTTCAAGAAAATCGATAATTTAATTTGAACTACAGTCAAGAGGCAAACTAATGTAAAACAAGTTAAAGTGTATAATGTCTTGCAGCTGAAACGTGCAGCTCATAGATAATAACTATATACTTTTTTAGTAAGTCCGTGGTCTCAAACTTCTATAATATTGTAGATATTTATTTCTTTTCGCACTCGTGCTTGTGGCGTTCGCCATTATCTGTGAGATATAAGGTTGTGTGGCCCCGGCTTTATCTGTGCACTATGGTTCCGCTTATTGGAAACAGATTGTCTAGGTGCAATCTCCAATTTTCATGACAGGCAGGATTCTTCCCCTGTGACAAAAAAGCTTGTGACTTAAATTCAACGACAGCACACGCATATTAATTGTAACCATGTTATAAGTTGATACCGATTATAGTTCAGTGAAATACCTGCCTATTTTTCATTGATCCTCTATCATACGCCATGCTCTGATCATTATCAACTACAAATAGTGGGAGAGGAAACCTCAGCGTCGCAATACTACCTTTACGATGCTGACAACATTCCCTCACGAGCACCCTAAACGCTTGTACTCGGTGCCTTGTCAAACGACATTTAACTTAATAATAGCACTTCACAACTCTAAACTTGAAGGAACTTTATCTTCGAAGTAAAGAAAATGAATGAAGAAATAAATCCTGAACTCCTGACGATATAGACAAGTGAATTCCCGAGAGGGAAAGCCCTTAAAACACGTAGGACTTAAGGGTATTCCCTGAAGTACCTATATGGAACATTCCGCAATAACTACACCTTGTGGAACGTCTTCACAAACTTTGTGGAACGTCTTACTCATACCTTGTTCACAGACACTGGGTATTCAACCGGCTGGTGTCGCATGAAATTAACTTCAAACGAATACGGAGACTGGTCCTCGTCCAATCCAGACTTAATTCAGTTGGGTTATTAAATATGGCAGCACTTGGAGGAAAAGGCTGGCTTATGATTTGGAGTCACTCCTGGTATCTTTGATCAAAGCAGTCCCCGATATTGAATCTATGGGTTCATTTAGAATAAGCTTAGTTAGAATAAAAAATGTATATTCTATCTAGTAAGTTTCTTTTGGTAAATAATTACAAATACATTTCGTTTTATTGAATTATTAATTACTAATAATTTATTAAAATTACGCATAAAAAATATTCCTTATAGATGGAACTTTCATGAAGTCAAAAATGTAACATTTTTTTATAACTTACTACTAAGTACTTGTACTAGTAAGTACTTGCAAATTTCGCAGCGTGGTTATGTTAAAAATTTTAAGTTAATTGATAATATTCAATAAATGCTAAAACTTTATAAAGTACGTCATGATTTTGGCGTATATTGTACTCTACGTATTTTTCATATCTACAACTTCTTTGCTCTGCTAATAGTTTGAAGTGATTCTACGTTTGGCACGATTGGAAAAAATTGTGATACTAAAATTTTTTCGCTACACCGAAACCGACATGATGAAATTGCTACAAAGCGACCAACTAATTACGTAAACCTAATGATAATTGGCTCGCTTATTACAATAGCCATTGTAATAATCTGTCGACGTTTCAATCTGTGGAGATGCAGTAAGTCGCAACAGCAGAGCAGCCAGCCGCCGGTACCTGGGAAGCTTTCCTATGAAGATCCTAAAAACCCGAAAGCTTATCCAGCAACATTTTTCCTCAATGTCGGAAAATAGTCGCTGAAATGTGGGGGGAGGAATTACGTAAACCTACTTAAAACTGTGTCGCCTACTTAAAAACGCACACGGCGGAGCCGCGTAACCTACTTAAAGACGCGGCGGAGCCACATGTCACGAAGCACCGAGTCAGCAGGCCCGACGCCCTTGCAAGAATCACGTAGTTCCAAATATCCAACCTAGTTAAAGACGGAATCGGAATCGGAATTCATTATTCTTCGGTCCCACTTCGACCAAGATAATCACTTTACTTTAGTTTAGTTGTAGAATTATTGTAATTTTTCTTTTTTATTAAATTTATATTTTAAGAATTGGTTTTCTTGAAGTCCTGCGGCTGCAGCTAACGTAATTAATTTCATGGTATTGCGATATGTCTTATATCTGGTACAACGGATAAAATTTTAAGATATTTCTTTTTTGTTATGGTAAAGAAGTCTAACTTCTTACGCGCGTACATTACAAAACAAATCTAATTTTTTTTTCATTTCATCCCATAGAGTCATAGACTACAGATAATTGTAATTTTGTGTTGACGGTTTCTACAGTTTGTTTAAAATTCAAATCAACAATCAACTTATTACCGTATTTTCCTAACGTTTATGTGTTAATCTTTTTAAAATGTGTGTAACTTATTATTAAAGTGATTAAAATACATACATGTTGTTTAATTTATGATTAAAGATGTATTTTCAAGTAAGTGCCAAAATACGTATTTTTTTGTTTTGAATCAGTATGTGAAATTATTTGGCTTAATTTTTTTTCACTTCTTGACTTCTTGTAGATTGAAAATACTCCAGAACATATTAGAAGAGCTCGCAGAACAGAAATTGTGCAAGAGGAAGAACCAAAAGAGGAGTGCCCGCGTTTAATTCTTGCACCATTTTCTAAGCCTCCCCAAGTTGTGTTTGAAAATGTACTTATCGGCTCGTCCTGTGAAAGAAAATTGGAAATATTTAATCCAACTAAACATATACAACAGGTATATAAATAATTATTACTTAAAATTAATAGGAAATTTTTTATCATATTTGACGACGCTAGAACCAGAGTGATCTAAGTGATCTTTAAATACAAATTAAGACAAGTATAGTAAAATCATAATTCTTTCATGAATTCATGCCACACTTATCGTAATGTTCAGCATGCCCTGTATATTTTTCTTTTAGGGATCACAACATAAACATGGTTTGCAAAGTTGAGGCATGCCAGACTGATCAAGTAATTGAATATTTAATGAGGCACACTTAGATCACTGTGGTTGCAAGTTTACAATTTCTCATACAAAACTAATTGGTGCTGACTATGTACTATAAACTATATAAAGGCATAAAATGTATTTAGGTATGTAATTACATAAAAAAGATTAAAAGGACCATTGAAAGTCCAATATCATACTTTAACTACAAAGTTAAAGTATGATACTGGACTTTCAATATATGTTCAAGTAATTATGAATTAAATAGGTATTATGGAAATTAATTGATTACAATCTGTTTAATATATGATTGATTTTACTTATATGAAATAGTATATATTATAATATATGTTTTGTATTATTAATAAAAAAATGACCAAAAATAATTTTTGGGTGCCTACTATCACACACTCATGAAGTAATTTAGATAAATTTATTATTTACAAAATGTAATCACTTTTAATGTTGTATACTTATCATTAACTTATTTTTTTTAAATATCATGCTGCAATATTCACAAGTATAATATAGGTACTTTTGAAAATGTTACATTTTCGACTTAATAAAATATATCTAAAATTAATGTTTTTATGTATTTATCATTTCTTTAATTATTTTAGATTTAATTTTATCATACCATTACTCCTTGAATTAAGAAGAAAGGTTATTGTAAATAAAGTCAACCCCATACAAATTATATAATTTATAAAGTATAACACTAGTTACTCTCTAAAACTGAGGAGGCAATTGTTTTGATAGTGTATTCTAAATACTATAGGTATTTAATATTTTCATTACTAATCATTATTTAATTTGGTACAATCTTTATTAACTAATTAATTTCTTTCAATTTATAAAATATTTTTGGCATCTAAATCTGTTTGCTATTAAACGATCTATTTTTCTCTAAATTTTACCTTAAATTGTCATAAGCAATATTTTAAAACATAGCTGTTATTTACAGATCACACTCAGCCGTTCTCTACCACCAGGCCTGGTGATTCAGTTGCCCAGTGAATGGCTTTACTTAGAACCGGAAACATGTTATTCCCTCACCATGATGTGGACCCCCTTGCAACCAACTGCTATGCGGGAGACAATTCGTTTTACAAATGAAAATAGGGGCAGATATGATGTTATAGTTGTGTTGAAATCAGTTATGGTAATTATATTCAGAAATAAAAATGTTTTAGAACTGAAAGAATATCTTAATTAATAATTTTAGCTTTTATATTATTTCATAAATAATGATTGATAAAATCCAAAGAAAACTAAATTTATTATTTTTATCAATTTTTCTTCAAATATCTTCCTAGGATATTTAAAATGATTATATGTTCATGTAATCATGTCTTTAAAAACTCATGTTTTATACAGCAGTACCTTTAACTGATACAAAGTCATTTTTTTATTTATTTTTTCAGATTGTCAAAGGTAAGGGTAATTCAAAAGCCCTGAAAATTTCTCCAGGTAAAGTTAAGAAGAAAGTAGCAAAAAGATCTCCGGTTGGTGTAAACAAGAGGAAGGCGGTTATTTATAACTCAACTAAAGTGAAAACCACAGTCAATATGGTTCAATCAACCCAGTACAGAACTTGTAAAATGTCTGACAAGGAAAATATTTCTATATCCCAACATTCTGTTGACACTTACCCAACTAAATGTCCATTCGACTCTCCCACAAGCTTTGAATTAAATTTCAATACATCTGAAATATTTTCCAATATGAGGAAACCCAATATGGATATCTTAGAAGACACATATGACAAAACATACAATACAGGAAGCAATAATAACTTAACTAATTTGCAACCTAATTTGCAGCAAAACATTTTGAAACCATCAAACAAACAAGCATTAAATAGATCGGGTACAGATATTTTTGACAATTTAACATTCACTCCATTCAAAACTTTGCCAGACAAAGCTGATAAATTAGTGAAAGGCCCTAAGATAGTACTAAGCATGAACTCAGAAAGTGACTTCGACGACAGTCTTGATATGAAAAATTCAAACAAGGAAAATGAGACACATTCCATCATATGTGTAACTTCATCGCAACCGCCCAACAAATGGCTTACTGTGAACCACTCGCACCACGAAAACCAGACCGTTGAAACTCCGATAATACAGAATAAGAAAATACCAAATACATCTTCACCCAAGGAGCTAAATAGTCCCAATTTCTCCATAAACACTGACTTCTCACGCATCAGTGACTTGTCGTTCTTCCCCCAAAGATTCTCGACAGAAAGAAAAATTTTACCGAAAATCAACAACGAAACTCACGAACTTATCAACGACAGTCACATAAATATCAAGCTTAGCTCGGATACCTACACCAAAGATTCGCCAAATACAATAGCGGATCAACATCAAGTCAATTCGGAAGCGAGACATCCATTCTTCGTCAGGGATCACTATCCTAAATTGTGCAGGCAATCCTTGTTCAAAGAAAATCAGCAGTATAGAGAGGCATACGAAAGGAATTTCGTCAATTGCTACGAGCCGAATATGTGGCATAGCGACTTAAGGGCAGACAGGTCCCCGCCAAGATCTCTTACCCCACCCCTGCAATCTATACCGGAGGAAAGCTGTCCGATGTCGGATACACAGACTTTAGATAGACCGGACAGACAGACGAATACTTTTACGATAAATCGAACATTCGACAAAACAATGGACAAGAGTGGATCGTACGCTCTAGCGAAACAGTCGTGGTCGAAGAAAGCCGTGAGGGCAGAACCAGAGCTCTGGAAAGTTCCCATGCCATTGACGAAGAAAATCGTTAAAGGTCAACCAAAAAGTAAAGAGTCGATGTCCGGCAAGATATCAAATAAAACATTCGAAGCGAACAAAAGCGTCACTCAGAATATTTCGCTTAACCAAGTGGGGAACGTGTACTCTCAGTCTCTCACGGTGGATCCGTTCTTGTCGTCAACATACTTCTACGACGAGGAAGCGGTAGACAAGTTTGAACAGGAGTTCAAACGATGGCTCAACTATATATTGACACCACCCGCCGACCTCGACAGCAATGTTGAACAGAAAATTGATGTCGGTAAAGCGTGGATTGAAAATAGGAACAAAGATATACCCGCTGCACCTACTAAAGAACAAGTCAGCAGCATCTTTCATAACAGTCATAGGTTGGAAAGCTTGCGACGCTCAGCTAGAGCGTTGTTGTTGAGTCCGGAAATATCGCAAGTATTCATAAAGCTAAATGTCCAAATAGAGAAAAAGCTTATAGCAATACGCAACGACAGGAACCTCCATTTAGACATAGGATTGCAAAAGACCATAATGGAATTGCTACTCTCGTATAATCCGCTATGGCTTCGCATAGGTCTGGAAGCGATTTACGGACTTGTATTACCTCTAAAATCGAACAGTGACATCGAGGGCTTAACAACATTCATTATCCAGAGGATGTTCAAGAACCCCCACCTTAAGAACAAACATTCCAAATCGAGCGCCCCGAATATGCTACTGCCCGCCTATATGGAGGCCATAAAAAAGTTCACGCTGAAAAAGTTCTTTATGCTCGTTTTCTTTTTAGACCAAGCGAAGCAGAGGAAGCTGATATCGCACGACCCCTGCCTATTCTGCAGGAACGCAATATGCAAGGAAAGCAGGGAGGTCGTGATACGTTTCACGAGGGAGCTAATCGCCGGTATCGGCGACATAACGAAGCACTTGCGGCCCCTCGGCTACGTCGTCAGCCACAAGCAGTCTTACTTAGACGAGTACAAACACGCGGTGCACAATATCGCCGTGGACATCAGGGACGGCGTGAGGCTGACCAAGGTGATGGAGGTGATCCTGCTGAAGGGCGGCTTGGTGAACCAGCTGCGGACCCCAGCTATATCGCGCCTGCAGAAAATACACAACGTTCAAGTAGCCTTGAACGCGTTGAAAGAGGCGAACTTCGTGATCGTCGGCGAAATAACTGCGGCGGATATCGCCGATGGGCACAGGGAGAAGACCCTCTCCCTCTTGTGGCAGCTCATACACGTGTTCCGCGCGCCGCTCTTCGTCAAGGCGGCCAACGTCATACAGACTTGGTGGCGGAAGAAGTATGCGGTTGTGGTAGAGAGGAGGAGGCAGGAAGCTGAGCTTCGCGAGAGGCTCGAGAACGCAGCGAGCGCGATACAGATGTGGTGGCGACGGATTCAGTATAAGCGCATGGTTGAGCTTAAGATGCAGCAATTGACGCGCGCGAGCGTTACTATACAGAAGTATTACCGCCGCTGGTCGTGCCGCAACCGCTTCCAGAAGATGAAGGGCGTGGTCATCGCCATCGAAAACTGGTATCACGGTGTGAGGAAGATCAGGGAAGCGCGCGAAGTGCTCAATATGTTGCGTTCACGGCGCGAAGAACAAAGGCGGCAAGCGGCGATTACCATTCAAGCTTGCGTTAGGCGCTGGATCTCGATGAGACGCTACCAATTGTTGGTTAAAAGGGTTATAGTTATCCAAAGCGTGTTCCGATGTTTTATTTTAAGAAAGCAATATTTGCGCTTGAAAACGTCAGTCTCTTATGTCCAAGAGAAATACCGAGGTAGGTTATTAATGAAGGAGCAAATGAAAAAGTTAGCAATGAAAGTCAAAAGTATAATCGTCATACAGAGCTGTTTTAGAATGGTAAAACAACGCAGATTATTTATAGCCACTAAACGCGCTGTGAGAAATATTGAAGAGCGATACAGCGCTTTGATGGAAATGAGACGACAAAGAAATAATTATTTGCATCTTAAACAGGCGACCGTTAAAATTCAAGCTGTTTATAGAGGCTCTAAATGTCGCTGCGAATATAAAAGACTTAGAAATTTAATCATCAAAATACAAAGAAGTGTTCGAGCGCAACGGATGATGCTACAAGAAAGGAGAAAGTATTTAAAAATCAAATCAGCGACTGTGATCATTCAAAGATGCTTAAGAGCATATTTGTCTATGAAGAAAGCGAGAACCGCCTATCTTCGACAACGGGAATCTGCAATTCTAATACAGAAATATTTCCGTTCTTATCAAATATCCAAGGTTGAGAGAATGAGGTATTTACAACTACGGAACGCAGCTATTATATTACAGATCCGATACAGGAGTCTTTTAAAAATGCGCATTGTTAAAAATGAATACGAAAATCTGAGAAACGCAACCATTGTATTACAGAGGCGTTATAGGGCCCTTAGGGCCATGAAGACTTGTCGGAACATGTACATGCAAATACGTAATGCAACCATTGTTATTCAAAGACGGTATAGGGCTCAAATTCGGATGCGTGAGGAACGGTTAAAGTTTTTGAAAGTGAAAAAATCTTGTATCACAATTCAAAATGCATATAGAGCTTACGTCACAGGAACGCGACAAAGGCAAACATATATGAGACTGAGGGAATCTGTGATAAAAATACAGAATTGGTTCAGGTCTTGTAAAAAAGGTATCGAAACTAAACAACAATACATAAGAACGAAGCAAGCTTGTGTTGTTATACAAACGAGATATAAAGCTTATATTCTCGGGAGGAGTATAAGGCATGAGTTTACCCGCATTAAAACTGCAACAATCTGTATACAGAACTATTATAGGAATTATATCTTAACTAAAAGAGTTAGGCAAGAATTTATTACAATGAAGACTGCTACTGTTACGATTCAAAGATATTATAGAGGTTATGTAGAAACAAGTAAGCAGCGACAACAATATCTAGAAATTAAAACAGCCGCCACACAAATCCAACATTATTACAGACGATATAAAGAGATGCGAGAAATTAGACTGAGTTATATTGAGCTTAGAACAGCAACAGTCCAAATCCAGAGAAGATTTAGGGTGTTGCTTGCGATGAGAACTCAACGCAGACGCTATTTGAAACTAACGAACTGCGTGGATATTATTCAAAAACGATATAGGGCTTTAGTCGGAATGCGATCTCAAAGGCGATCATACTTGGAGCTCCGTTCGGCTACTATTAACATTCAACGCAGATTTAGAGCGCAAAAGTCCATGAAAGAACAGAGGGACCGTTATTCCTCTATCATTGAAGCATGTAAGATGATTCAACGGAAGTATAGAGCTTACAAAATAGGAAGGACGCATCGCCTCGACTTTTTAAAATTGAGGACTGCGGCAATACAGCTTCAACAGAAATACAGAGCGCTGCTTATGATGAGGACGGTTAGAACCGATTATTTGGCTCTACGGTCTTCTGCTGTCCTTATTCAGCGAAAGTTTAAAGCAAATAAACTCATGTCCATAGAGCGCAGCAGATACAGAGACATATTAAAAGCTGTCCTTGTCATACAGAGAAGGTACAGGGCTTATGTCCTTGGCAAACAGATACGAGAAGATTTCTTGAATATGAAATCTGCCGCTATCGTGATTCAGAAGCATTACAGAGGTTTCATTGAGACGAACAAAATTAGAAGCCATTACGTTAAATACATTGATACTGTAAAATTCGTACAAAGGCATATCAGAGTAAGGAATGCTATCCGAATCAAACGCCGTGACGAAGCGGCTAGGAAAATACAAAGCTGGTATTTTGCAACAAAACTGCGTAATAAATGTAGAAATGACTATTTAGAAATCAGAAAGAAAATTGTTATAATACAATCACTAATTCGCATGCATATTAAACATAAACAATACGTCGAGTTAAGGAGCGCAACAATTACATTACAGGAACGTTATCGATTATATAAACTCGCCACAAATCAAAGGCGTAATTATATAAAAATCAGATTCTCCATCATAAAACTTCAAGCGTATGTAAGGAGTTACATCCAAAGAAGGTGGTTCTTAAAAATTCGGTCAGCTGTTTTAGTCGTTCAAGCTGTGTATAGACTCAAAAAGCATAGGGATCTTATGAGGCAACAAAGAGAAAATGCTGCCATTTGTATACAAAGTAATATCAGATGTTATCTTGCAAAGAAAAGGTATGTGACTTATAAGGACCATGTTCGGTATATTCAACAGCTATGGAGAGGGAAGCTTGTGACAAGAATGATACGATGGGAGTTCCTGCAAAAGAGGCAAACGATAGTCAAACTGCAGGCTCTCGCTAGAGGATATTTAGTAAGAAAGAAAGTTGATTTGCAAAAGGAGACTTTAAAAAAATTGAAAGAGGAACAAAGAAGAAATTTGGCTGCTTCAAAAATTCAGGTACTTATAATTTAATAATAGATTTCGTTAACTGAACGCCGTTATATATATATACTGGAATTTTGTATAGTATTGGCAAAATATGTTACACTAATTTTTCCCATAGTAAAATGCATTTTTAGCAAAACTAATTACAAAGACTACCTTATATTGATGGGGGTTATAAATAATCGGAATCACAGGCATAATGATTATATTTTATTTTAGTTCATTTTGTTGTTATAAATGACGGACTTTTTAAATACACTAGTATTAACTGGTATTTAAAAAGTCCGTGATTCCGAACAGGTCAGCGCCCACGTGTATTCGACTTTCGGAATTTAAACTAATAATAAGTAGAAGTAGAAGTCACGGGGTTTTTTAAGTATTACATTAAATAATTTTTATGCATACTTCAGGCTCTCTTCCGAGGTCATCGCGCTCGGATCAACACCATGGATCGCTGCGTGAATGAATTGCGTCGCAGATGGCGCGAAGGCGCTCTAAAATCCTCGCAAGCGTCCCTCAAGGAGCGCAACGAGGAAGCTTTGATTGTGCTCCGTAATATGTCCGATATCGAGACTGTCATAAGGGCGTTTAAATCTCTAGGTGTGTAGAAGCTACTAACTTTTTGATTGTAGTTTTCTATTAGCCCGCCGACGGACAAATTCGTCAGAGGAGGTCCACGGGTAATCCCATAATCAGGAGAAAGAATAACTCCGAAGACGACACGATAACTCATTCCGCTCCGCGGCATCTTCGCAAACCTTGTTAAAATTGAAAAATTTGACCCTCGGTTTCGAGGGCTCTCGACTATAGCCCCTATCTAGAGGAAGTAATAAGGTTCGCATTGCCAATTAATTACGAGACATACCTACGATAGGTTATGAAGATTAAATTGCGAAAAAAAAAATTAACGCAATTAATTATTTACCAGAACACGGACAAGGCGAGAATAATCAATACGCCGAAACCATTTTTCAAAAAAAAATATTTCGTATTTAATTACGCGAAGATCTAACGAAAGTATGTCGATTTGCTATTAGATAACAATAATAAGTATGTAGGATTTATTTCTTAAAGATCCTCATTTTTAAATTGCTCGAAACATTTCAGATAAATGAATAAGCAAACATGTAATCGAACTCCAGCATATATTTTAAATATTTTATTTCATCATATTTAAAATTTACGTTGCAGTTTTTACATCAGCAAATAAAATCTATTTCTATAGACAATATAGATTTTTTAATGTTTTTTACATTCCTGACGACATTCTTAATATGGTGTTACATCCCCGTGCTAATTAAATAGACTGATTACTGCAAATACTATTAAAATAAAATAAAAATTTTATTATAATAGAAAGGTATCGATGTTATTTTCCTTGAATTTGCAGAGTTGCTGACGGAAGTTTTTCCAATGATGTACGAGAGCAATGCATCTTCCGTTGTTCGTTGCGTATACATTTACATGTCCGTGACAAATAGATCCATTTCGAGTATAGAAGTGTTGAAATCTGCGGCGTCATTGCTCGTTAATCTGACCAGGTACAAAACTACCGGCCCCAAAGTATACGAGGTAAGGCATAACGTGGTTTAGAAACACGGCTAAAACTTTGAATTTTAAATATAAAAAGAATGATTATCTATTTTATATTTTCAGAGAGGTCGTATCCCACCAGTTCTCAAATTCATGTGGCGTTTTAGCAATAGCGAAACTCAGCTGTTCTGTATATTATCCACGTACCTGTGGCTATTTTCAAAATACAATAATATTAAACAGGTAATCATACATTTTCATGCCTTTTTTAAAAGGTTCATTATTTATCTTTAATGTTTTTATGATATAATTAATATTTAATTTCAGGATCTCACTGAATTCCTCCACATTCCCGAAAACCATAAAATATTAGTGACGATAAAAAGTAATGTTGACAGAATGAAGAGAATGGCACACAATGCGACGAAAAACCGGTTCCATACCCCTCAGCCCACTAAATTTATATCTCACACAAACCACCAATCATTTAGGGATAATAATATGAATCATAGTTTATGTAATACAAGTAATGTTTCCAACATGACTATTGTATTACCTTCGTTGGAGCCTGACTACGGAATTATTAGGGCTGATAAGCCACGGTACTTTGAAGATGCCCAGCAAGCCATCAATTGCCTATTCAAGACTTACAAGTTATAAGAACTAATTTGTATGATAATCTTTAGTCATAGACATATTTAATTTTATTGTTTTATGGAATTTATTAACTATTAAGCTTTTGATCAACTATTAACCATTCTTGAGTTTAGCATTTACCATTATTAAGGGTTAAAATGTAATTATTGTTTGTATTTTATTAAATTAAACAGTTGTAACTGACTTTTCCTTTTTATCGCTCAGTGACCAGTGAGCATATAAAGCAAAGTCATCGAAGTTCTCCCTGCTTAAAGCTCCAATATTATGTTTACGTGCGACTAATGTTTACGCATTTTAGCCGTCTTAGCCGATATGGGCGGTCCATGTCGGACTCGCAGTGACAAAACTCTTACGATGTTCCACCTAGATCGCACTTTCACACACACCTTCTCTTCCGGCCCGGGCCACCTAAGCAACCCTTCAATTCACGAACTTCAAGGAGTCACGTATGATATTATATATCCGTTGTGCACAGGAGATTATTGCTAAGTTAAAACAATAATATAATTTCGTAACTAGCTATCGATACGTTGTTGATTCGTTATTTAATATCAATTCAAACCCGTTGTAAGAAATTCTAAAGCGGCGTGACAGTTATCATGTGCGGTGAGACATTGCACACGGTGAGTATAAGTTGCCGCTCTTAGGGTATTGTTGGTGCCGTCATTCAACCGTTCCGTTAAGTCTGTTCTGCGGTCTAGCAGTTACCAATGTTTATAAAATGAAGGTATTTAAAACATTTTGTTTCGTTAAAAATTTATCCCAGCTATATTCAACCTGCGGCCCATGAACCGCATGTGGTCAGGGACAGACTCATCAGGTCATGAATCAGACTACAGGATCCCCTTTCCTTGGCTTCCAAACTTTTATATACAGTCTCGTCCAAACTGATATGATATTTTTGTTTTGTGGTTCTAGGTATTTTGTTAGAATAAATACTAATATTTTACAGGCTTTCTAATAACACATCTCAAGGAACTAAATATAGTAATAATAGTAAAATAAACTGGGGAATCTGTTCATAGTTTATTTCAATTTGCAAGATTCGCAAATACCCTAGTAAATCTTTACCAATTTTTTGCGGCCCTAGAGACCACTACTATTAACAGGTGATTGTGGCTCCTGTGAAAAAAAATGTTTTATACCAATTTTAGTTCATCGGCATCATGTCAAAATTCTAAGTACCAATTAGCTTATTTCATACGTATTTTATAACGTGTAAAATTATAGCTATTATTATCTTTCTAGTCTCAGTTAATAATTAATCTGATTAATTATAGTACATCATTATTATTTACTACTAATATGCAAGAAAAATGAAACTATAATTTTACACGTTCTTCCCTAGCTATATAGTTATTTCCTTAATGGGGCAATAATCATATAGTAAAATTACATCATTACGACAAATTTCCATGGTGGGAAATATTGTCAACCCGCATAAATCGCAGCAATTTGTATTTAATTTTGTTACAGAGCAAAAAACAAGTTGAGTTACCAAATTTTCGGCTGTAACTAATATATCGATAAATTTAACTATGAACAGAACCCTAACAAACTTTGTATCAAGTTTCGAATTTCTTTTAATTTTCTAAAGAAGAAATATCCCATACCGTACTCAAAGTACAGCGTTATTGTGACTTGTTTTAATGTTTTATTGAACGTAGCAAGTAGTATTAAGGTAAAAGCAATAGTATCGGTAGTCTATCGATAGTATTGTCACGTGTCAATACTGTCGATACTATCGATGATTTTGTAATATCAATTGCCTTTTACTGGCTATCGATAGTACAAACCTATCGAGGCTATTGATAGTATCGATAGTTTTTGTCAAAAAATAATGGAAATTGCAATACTAAGTATAGAAACCATGGTTAGAAGATGAAAAAATCAATCTCTATGGTATGTTTTAGTAATATTATGTTGGCTTAAAGAACTTGGTGCCAGGCCATAATATCCTTATTAAAAAAAATCTTGTCAAAAATTTTGACAGATACAGATTGTCAAAATGCAAAAGCAATGTCAAACCTCAAAAGCAAAACTAGCCTTAATTTAAGTTTTATAGAAAGGAAGAAGAAGCACTCTTTTGCTTGATAAATAAGTAACCACGATTGTAATTACAAAACATTTTTGCATTAAAGACAAAATTGTTCTAACTACTAGTGATGGATGAATTTGTTAATTATATACTACTAATATTGGTCATACTACCAGTGCTCTTGTTTATTAATTTATGGGCTGGTATTGGATGGGAATTATTTGTGAACAACTGAAATTTGTCGGTGATTTATTGTTATAGTATTAGATAAAAACCGAATCGATTTGTATGTAAACAAACAGCGTCAATAAAAATTTTCCAAAGAGGTGTATAGGTATTAAATGGATAATAAATAATTAGTTAAACTATAAATACATTTTAATAAATGTGAAATCTACTCGTTTTCTTTATCGATTTTGAAGTAATAAAATTATTACATAAAGTACCTAAACATAAAGAAGCTATTAGTGACTTAAATTGTTTGAGCTTGTAATAAATTGTTAACAAATAAACAAAATTAAAGACTTAATACTTATTACACATACAGCCCATGTCAATTTATCTTGCTAGTAAATGATGAAGCGATTTGCATAAAGCATAACAAAAAAAATGCTAAAATACAATGTAGATAAAAGACGTTAAAGACTTCCGTCAGTGTGGCAATCAGCTGTTTAGTTTAGTGGCTATAGTGTCAGGCCACGAATGCCGAAGACAGGTTCGATTCCCACAGCAGCGACAATGTTTTCGTACTTTTTCAACAAATTTTATTACGTCTGTATTTCTTCTGTTGAGAGAAGTAACCTGTGCCACTTTATTAAAAGGTAAATGTCAATGAGAGGCAATTATCACTTCTCACAAAAAAAAGGTTCATATGACATATTATCCATTTGTAACAAGCTCTAACATTGCTTATTGTATTGATAAAAACATTTTATTACATCTTATACCTTTAAACAAGCAATTCTTGTATATATATATATACTCGGAATCTCGGAAACGGCTCCAGCGATTTTCATGAAATTTAGTATGTGCGTATATTCGGGGGCGAAAAATCGATCTGGCTAGGTTTCATTTGTAGAAAATGTCGTTTTATCCCAGATTTCAGGGACTGTAAAAATATCATTGGAATACGACAGTAAATTTCACCGAAAAAAAGTTATAATAGCTCGGTGGTAATCGGGCAGCCCCGAAATAGAAGGCCGTGGTTCATGTCACGATCATTTACACACTTATTTTTTTACTTTTTTTTCGATTCCAGATCATTGCTTTCTTTATTTTTTATTTTTGTCGATTTGCCTATTGTTTTCCCTTTTTTTAAACTTCTTTCTTTTGTGAAAAACACCAGTTCATATTTTCTTATTATTATGTCGGTAAGATCAAAAATATGATGCATATTTCATTACTCAGTAATTTGTATGTAAATGTAATTTCCAAAATACACGATTTACAAAAAAAAAAAAAAAAAAACCAATCCTCCAGTCCTCCAGGTACTTAACAGCAGTTTACTGTTCAGTAACAAAATCTGTAAACATGTAGTTTAGTTAAAATTAATTTTTCTTTATTAAGATAAACATCCCTTTTGTGTTTTCTTATACTTTAATAGGTTCTCTTTGTGGCATAAATAATATCAAAATCTATACAAATTTCAACCCTTACTAAACTATATTTCACTAGATAATAATAATTCCTCCATTCCCATATGTCCTCGATGTCTCCAGACTCTATACCGAGCTATGTCTTTTCGTGTCACCATACCAACTACCTGCAAAACATTAAAAATGCACTAAACTAAAACATCATTTTCTTGATTAAATGAAAATATAACAGGAGATTTTTTGAAAAGGGCCCAAATTTACACAGGAGGTTCAGACTTGGTAGTATAATCGTTCATTGAAATAAAAAACAAAGATTTTTTTTTCCAAAAAAAATGCCATTCTATTCCCTAAAAAACATAATGTGTCGACAATGCGGTAGTCATTTGTCATTATTTGTAATTAATACTAAAAGTAAATGAAGATATAAATTGCACAAGAAAAAGAGGCCTAAGAAATAAATATAGAACGTACTTCATTGACGTCGTTTACAATGGGCAGGTGTCTTAGCCCCAAGGCTCTAAACAATTTAAATAGACGGGGTAATGATGCACGGTGTGGTAATGTGTATGGAGATGGATTCATGAAGGGTCTTAAATCTATTGTGCAAGTCTTCTCCCACTCCTCGATTTCTAACTGCAACAAACATACACACACAATATTATAAATATCATTTTGTACTTCAATAGCAATAAGACATCTTGGTGCCCTCACTTCTATTATAATATATAAATTATATTTTAGCAAGACATATATAATTATATTTCGGAAAGTAATTTGATATTTTTTAGTGACTAACTTTTGATCAACTATTAATTAATGGTTGTTTTTAATCTCTGGCATATTTTGAGATTTTACAGTGATGGATGTGTAGAGTAGTAGACTTGTTATTGATTACTAATAAATATTTTTTTTATAAAAATAAAATTAAATAAATATATTTTTCAAAAATAGTAATCTTACCTCTTCAATAGATGGATAGCGGGGATATTCTTTCCGGTACATATCCATATCAACTTTCAAGTTTGACCATGAGGTATTGGCATTCTCATTGTAAATTTTGTTTTGTAGCAGCACTATCAACTGCGATCGCAGAATCAAGCCCCTCAGGCGTTTGTATGTGGTCACTTCTGCCTATAATTGAAATAACAAACTGACAGACCCTGTCAATCATTATTATTCATAAAAAGAATAACACTCTTAATGATAATCATATTATTCTTAATCGGGTGAACAAACAAAACAACATTTTGACACCAAATATCTACAAAAACGTATGAAATGGACACAGATCACAACACACAATCCATGCCTTCACAGATCAGTATGTTTATATATAAATGAAACTAATTTTTACGGATTTATCGCGTTTAAATAAAATATCCGTAAAAATTAGTTTCATTTATAATGTGTAATCGCGTAAATACAAGAAATTATTATGTTTATATATAGTCTAGATACTTTACAATTGTTTCAAGTTTTCCACTAAGCTCGCAAAATGTTCACCAAATGTTCTCGCATAGCCATAATCACAGACAAGGGGACAATAATAAGACTCCGGTAGAGATAAATGAGTTGTCTTGTAGGCCTTTTTACTGTGTGTAGGTACGAATAGGCAGGTCCATTCGGGTGAGTACCACGACCTCACAGAAGACAGGCGTGAAGTTGAAGTGTACTTCCGCGTTTCGTCTGTCGAGTGAGGCAGCCGGGGTCCAGTATATTAAAAGGCGTCAGTCGAGCTTCACCCCTACGGATGTCTCGAATGTCATTGGGCTGCTATTATCACTTAACATCGGGTGAACCGCCGGCTCGCTTGCCATCTTCTCAGATAAAAAGAAAGCCCAATGCTGATCAAGGTTGGCGCCGAGCGGTGCTCACGTGGTCGGAGAGCGGCGGGTCGACGACCGGGAACCCGTTGTAGGAGACGAGGCGCAGCAGCTCGAGCACGTGGCCGACGCTCTCGACGGTGCGCAGCGTGAACACCGGGTGCGACATCACCTCCGAGGCGTACACCGTGTGCGTGAGCGGCGGCGGCTCCCACCCGAGGAGGGGCACCCCCGCCAGCTGGATGTGGATGTCGTAGATGCCCTGAGGGGTTACACCTAGTCAGAGACGTCGGCGGATTGGTATGGGCACATTATGTAGGATGAAAGTCATGTGACTAGAAGAGTGATGTGACAGGGGAAAGATTGAATGGACTGTGAAGAATGATATATCTTTGAAAGGGGTGAGTATTGAGATGAGCGCTGATGGAGGAAAGTGGAAGGAAATAAAATATTGTTCCGACCCCACCTAGTGTGGGATAAGGGCAGGAGAAGATAAACGTCGAATTAAGCCACTCGAATGGATCGTATAGGCATTGTTTTTTACGTTCGTCACCTCAAACTCTTATTTGATTTATCCTTTTAAATTACCCGCGAGTTCGTTTCCCAACGCGACAAGTTGTTTCCCAGGAGGTATGATTCACATGTTCTGCCGATCCCACTATGTTACTTTTGATAGTTACTGTACAAGTGTGCGAGAAGCACATAAATAGCACAGATAATGCTATACGAAGCAGAAATCAGCCGATTACGTGTCCGTAAAAAATACGTATTGTTTTTGTCTCCAAGGCAATCTAGCTATAAGATGTAACACCCAAATTTTTTATCCGATGTATATCCAATTGATGGTTAAACAAACGATTTATTGTTATTTAAAGAAAATGTATTATTTCGTCGTTCACCTCATTAAAGAAGTCGCCGGTCCACTTGGCGACGACCAGCGTGACGATGATCGGCAACGCGTTCGATATCTGACCCGTGGTCTCGATGATGATGACCGTGAGCGATATCGTCATTCGCACCACACCGCCCAGCTGCGCCGCCGCGCCCACCAAAGCGTACTTGGCCGGGTTGATGCTCTGCGAATCATATGTTTAGTGAATCAAAAAAGCCTCGGAATCTTGACATAAGCGCCATCTAGTGACATATTTTTGCCACACTGCAGCATTGTCTAAAAATGTAATCAAAACTAAGATGAGCATGTTTAGATTTTCATCGATGCCATTTAGCTTAGTAGCTATAACGTCAGGCGCGTATTCAAATCTTTGCAGCGAAATACACGGGTGCGCTGATACCTGAAACCCTACATGTACCGACTTACTACTAACTTTGACTAACTACTTTTAAATGTAGTTTAGCAAAGTTAAGAAGTATGTAAGTTTGAGATTTAAAAAAAAACAGAAAAAATATACACTGCTGTAGCTGTAAGACGTAATTAAAGCATTTTTTGTAGTTTTAAGAGTACCCTAATATGGTATTATGTTTTATAATAGCATCAAAACAATGTTAAAAAGGTACGGACCAAATGTCTGTAATGAAAAACTTATTTATCAAAGAAAATCCTTGCAGCGGGTAAAAACTTTTCGCCCATTTAAAAAAATCATGAAGCTTTGAATTTCACCTGCGGTCTGGGTGGGCAGAGCTCATTGTTAAAGTACGCAACGTGTTTTAGACCTTACATATTAAAAAAATGTAGAAAGTAGCGGAGAGTTTCAGGTGAGGAGAGTTTATTTTACTGGTGGTAGGGTCACGTAGCAGCTTCTACTGCTGCAAGAATGAACTCTGAATGGCTCATCCGGAGAAGTACAACTGTTTCATAAGTCGGGAACACATCTAAAACCTCTTCGCAACGTCTGTGGGACGCGGTAATCGCTAACCGTCACGTGATCCGCCGCACGAAAACCTTAGATAACATAGTATTTCGCCGGTAGAAGGGTCTCATTTGTGCAAAACGATTTTCGCTGTTACACGAATGGGCAGGTCCGACGAAGCACCACGACTTCACAGAAGACTGGTGTAGTCAAAGTGTTATACTTATGCATTTCGTCTGGTAAGTGCGGTAGCCGGGGCTCCATTTTATCAATGGGTGGCAACGCATCTGCAACCCTGCGGTTGTGGCAAATGCTCATGGGCGGCGGTTGTCACTCAACATCATGTGAACCACCAGCTCGCTCGACCCCACATAACAAAATCTTGATCATCTTCGGCTGCGCTGTACAAAGGCTCACATTGGACGGCATCATGTACTGGATGAGGATGGCGAGGAGCCTGCCCCACGCGGCGCCGGTGAGCAGGTTCGGTATGAAGAGGCCGCTGGAGACCGCCAGCCCGAAGGTCCACGTGGACAGCAGGAAGTAGCACACGATGAAGACCAGGAGCGACCACGGCTTGTAGGAGCCGATGGGGTCGTGCAGGAACGAGCGGACCGACGCCTCGGGCGTTTGGAACCAGATCGCCGCCAACGCGTTGTATTCGCCGTCCGCGCAGAACAGCTGCCGTTTCCAACAAAATGGTATTATACAGCATGTCGTTACCATCGCGACAATAAATGAACACACATATAGGGGATAAATTTTTAAAGTTGTATTAAACATTTAAATTCTTTAAACATCAATATTTACAGGGTTATTAAATTTTCCAAAACAAAGAATTTTAGAACAACCTTACCTATAAGTAACGTAAAGTTCATTTGCAAAGGTCACAAAGCATATGAATGGGTTGAATAAATTTAAAAGAGACAAAACATACTGTTAGAATGAGAGAATATTTTTTTATAATTATTGGCAAGTAGCGTTAGACGTGTGTTCATTTATTGTTGCGATGGTAACGACATGCTGTATATTTTTTGTTTAAATAATATCGTGTATGCCTTAGTAAAGGCAAAAGTGCTGTAAGTAATTACCGATTTTATTAAACCGACTTTTAAATTAATATTGATGTTCATAAACGTAAAAAGGTAGGTACGTGACGTACCGTACGTCTAGTTTTTTTACAGGGACGGTGAAAAATATAGTATGAAGACAAACACCACACGTTATTGAATGAAACGATAGCATTCATCGCGATTGATACGAATTTAAAATCCCTCTTTTGCGAATAGTTCAAGATACATGTCCTTTCGCACGCATATTTTGCCCCTGTAGGGATCCCATCCCTACAGGGGCCAGTCACACCAGATATTCAGCCAAGTTCCAACTTGGCTGAATACTTGGTGTGGGCTCTGGGGAGGGAAATGAGCGAATACCTGTAGGGGGTTTCTGGTGAGGGGCACGAGTGATTACCTGGAGTGGGTTCTGGGGAGGGACACGAGTGAATATCTGGAGGGATTATGAGGGCACGGCTGAATACCCGTAAGGAGTTCTAGGGAGGGACACGGCTGAAAACCTAGAGGGGGTTCTAGGGCAGGACACAGCAGAATACCTGAAGGGGATTCTTGGTGGGGTCCTCGCCGAGAGGCCGGCAGTCGTTCAGCAGGAACATCATAAGGAAGCCACAGGTCGCACTCGCCGCTGCCACTAGACAAGCCTCCACCACGCGCAGCCAAGGAGCGCTCACGTACCTAAGTGGGGTTGCCATCATCATCGTCATCATTATCAGATGGAAAACTTCCACTATTTAACGAAGGCCATACCGAACGACACTTTTGCCATATGCATCCACCTTTGAGCAAGATAAGTTGCCAACCGAACTGATATACTCATAGCATTGACCTGTATTTCGGGTCCACGTATTATAAATTAATGTTTAAAGGTGGTTCTAAGTCAGTGTTTCTCAAACTTTTTTGGTGTACCGCCGACTTTAGAAAAAAATTAATACCCAACGCCTCCCAGAAACTCATTTAAATTCTTTAGGGAAATGTGTAGGGATATAAACAATAACGTGCTACTTATTGCTTTTATTTAAAAACTACTTAAGCCGCTTACCATTTTTACTTGATACTTTTCACTAATATTACAGTTGTGTTGCAACCTTAATAACTTTCAAATTAGTGAAATGTCTGGATAGTCAATATTGTCAATATTGAATCTGTAGTCAGAGCTCCGGGATTCGGTTTTTCCTGTTTCTCAATTTATAATATTCAGTAATTTTTCGTTGTTTACTTTATTAGAGGCCCTTTTATTTCTCAAATGTAATGACTTGGAGGCTAAACACACTTTTTATATTTTTGAGTATTTTTAACATAATATTTAGATGTCTAAGAATTATTATTTATTAACAAATAATAATGATAAAATAACTTGGGGATCCCTGTTGTATCTCCGTAGCCCACGGTCTGATAAAAATAAAATTAATGTGGGTCCAAAAGGGAGTTCAATAGAACCCAATGCAAAAAGATTTTTTAAAATTAATTCATAAATGATGGAGTACTGAAGTAGCAAATATAAAGAAACAGCCGAATTGAGAATCTCCTCCTTTTTTAAAGTTGGTTAAAAAATAAGAAAGGCTAAAAATGTAATAAAACTGACGCAAAAATTTTCGCCGTTGACATAGTTTTATCTACCCATTTTCAAGTTTCATCTTAAGTGCAGGTTAGCATCAAAAATTAAAGCTAGTTAATGAACATTAACTTTACTCTCTCACCCTCACCCGCTCACCTTATCCTAAACACGGAGAGTTTGTAATTGATGTAGTTCCACAGCGCGCCCATTATTCCGCCAACAGCGCCGAACAGCATGAACACTGGCAGCTCGTAGAACTGGAAGGGGAATGGCTCCATCTTGCCCAGGTTCAACAGACCTGAGGGGCGGGATTGAGATTTTTCTGGACCATCCACCATCTTTTTTTTTAATACAATAGATTTATTGGTTGTTCGTATGGAGAAATCGACACCTGCAGCACCCGTGGGGTAGCAGATGCGTTGCCACCTCACAAAACCGGGCCCCGGTTACCTCATTCACCAGCCAAGACGTTGAAGTATAAAGGCTGTATTGAATTTAAATAAAATATCAGGTCGCTTTCATTATCATCATAATTTTTGCCTGTTTGTGTCCTCTGAACAAAGATCCCCCAACAGACAGCAATGAAGCATCCTGAGCCATTCCAGCGCCACTCCATCTAGTGACAGTCGTCCTATTACACTACGATGGCCAATACGAGAGATTGCCACTCCAGAACCTTTACCCACCGGTCTCCGAATAATAATATAATTTTTGATGCAAAGAGCATCAAATTTTTTTGAATGAGTGTTTTTCGTCGTCGGCTTTAACTCTATTTGTAGTAAAATAAAACGAGGCCAACGTTTTGTAATGCGAAACGTATACATGAAAAACATGATATTTGGAATGTAACAAATATGGTCCAATAGAACTTCTTACCCGGATAACTCAACTCCCCGGGATGCCCGTGATATGCAGACAGAGCAAAGTTTAAAGTAAAAGTTGACACAACAGTGCCGAAGAACGTCCTCCATGTCAATGCTTGATTCCAGAAACTTGTGCCCTCTTCCAGTGAGAAAAGGACGCCACCTTAAACGATAGTCATTATTTTAAAAGTGAGTTTATTTTCAGACAAATTGTCGAAAATATTTTTTCCGGGTAACACACCCAGACGCACGAATCTCGACATCTATCTCTACTTTCTTTATTGCTTCTTTAGCAATGCTTGAAGCCATCTAATGTGCATACTTTACAGGATGCAACCACCATATTTACAATGAATACCTGAACGAGAGATGTCGCTGTTTTAAATTTATGATTAATTTTAATTTTTGTGCTAATCTCTGTACTCGAGAAACTTAAAATGTGAATTCACTATAAACAATTTATTATAATTTTTTAATTTCTTTATTGTGTGAAGGTGGATGAGGGCCGATCTCTCACCGATTGGGGCCCCGAAGGCCGCTGAGACACCAGCGGCGGCGCCGGCGGACACGAAGTCACGTTTCTCGTGGTCCTCGCGGAAATACTGGAATATCTTAAAGTCCTTGTTGAACGTCGTGCTCTTCCCTTGTGATATGCCCGCCGCAACCACCGCCCCGCTGTGTATCATCGGACCTTCCTGGAATGTACAAAATCAAACAAAATACTTTTATCAGACGGTCTTACAATTCATATCTTAGGATAAACTTGCAGTACAAAAAAAATCTTTTTATAAACCCGACGATAAGTGTAATTACTGAAATCACAGACACATTTACATGTATATTTTATTTAATATTTATAAAACTATTTCTTGGGGGGTGGGACATATTACCAATACTGAAAATGGTTAGTTTTTTTCCATCTGGAGCACAAATGGCACTCTATGTCAATTGGTAAGGCACCATCATTTAATCAATTTTGCATAATGACGAGTGATCTTTTGACTTATATGTATAGCGCAAGCAGTTTCATATTTTTATCATACAGTAATTATTGTATAAAATTCCTTATGTTAAAGTAACAGTAAAAAGGTGGACCACGAGTAACTCACGCACTAGACGATAGGCTAGACTTTAATAATTCACTTCACGACGATCTACTGACAGGCCGTCGTACTTCCGTGGGCGAGCCTGCCCATTCCTTCAACAACGAAGCTGCATTGTGAGCCTACCATATTAAAAAAATTATGTGTCTGAAGAAAATTGTAACCTTGAATTCACTTGTCTACCTTGCCACCGGCTAGGCCTCCAACCACAGCAGTAATAACACCAACAGCCTTGACTATTAATGTCTTTATTCGCACAACTCTTGGCACTTTGACACCATTTAAGTAACATTTCACTTGAGGAATTCCACTGCCGGCAGCTACTGGCTGGTGAAAAAAATATTCAGGAATTAAAACAAACCAAAATATAAAATTAAAATCCTAACCAAATGTATATGTATGTAAAATAAAGCATGCATTTATGTATTATAAAGGGAAAATCTGTTTTAATGATAATAAAGTGATGTGAAGCATATATTTATTATTATTTGTTAGATTGATATTGATTTTTATTGCTACCTTTTAATAAAATACGTACTAATCACCTCACTCACAAAACAAAAGATAGAATTATATCTCTTCTAGTTCACTTTGGTCTTCTTGAAGGTCATAGTACTTCTCCAGGCGAAACCCTTCCATTTGTGCATCAGCAAAGACTGCTGCATCACCCTACCACAGTTCTTCTTTCATTGTGATTAAGTAGTATTAAACATAGGCCTCCATATAAAATGATAAAATTATCTCACCTCAACATACGCCACCAGTACTGACCCGAAAAATACAATACATATATTTGATAACACCCACAATAGATAAGGTATATAAAGTTTGTCTTCTAAAACATAGATGTCCACAGCTGAATAGATTGGTTTAGGAAATAGTTTATTTATATTAAAAGACATGTTATGATATCCAAGAAAAGTGATTAACAGAGTATAATAAAATTAAAATCAATAGCCATATATAATTATTACTTTAAAATGCCTCACTAACTATACAAAACCCATTTGTTCAACAGTAAAGCTGATGCCTCGCAGCATAGTATAATATATATATAATATATATTAATATATATTTTTTAAATAATTTTAAAGGATACATTTTTTCAGTTGCTTGTATTTTATCCCCGAAAATTCTTCTATACAAATATCAATTATGAAGGCTAAGAGAGCTGTCACAACTCCTATTAGCAAAATTATGAACCAGCGAGCTATATCCTTCCAAATTATAAAGGGGTAGCCTCTCTTGCGTTCTTCATCAAGCAGCAAATGATTTTCGCATGTATCATAGTCCAAACTCTATTGTATAGAAGAGATGACATTAGTAATTTCAACATGTATCAGTATTAGATACAGGTAATCACTTTAACATACCTCATATTTTGCTGATAGTATATTCATGGAGCCTGGCTCAAATTTTTGTACTGGCTGTCTCCGTCTGACTCCATGACTACCATGCAGTTCATCATCATCAGATTGCTTGAAAAGGAATTCTCCACTTATTTTTTTAATTAATGATAGCAAAATCCTATAAAATAATTCTTACACACAATTTAATATCAAATCAAATCAGCATCAGCCTTTTACATATGGTGAATGAATTAGAACATAATGTTAGAAAAATAAATTATTCTAATTATTCTTCCAAAACTGATATAATTATCATCCAGCAATTGTCCTATTCATATTTAAAAATTTTAATTTTACATCAAAGTCATGATTGAACTAATACAATTTTCAGCGGGTTATAACAGCAGTTAGATTTTCATTAATGCTATTTTGCTTCTTTATTTTTAAAGAGGGGAGGATTTTATGCAGGAAATAAACTGAGTAATTTGGATTCCTGATTATTAGACACATACCTGATATGTAACTGATCTATTTAGCTGTGTGTAATTGGATGTGCTTGCTTCTTCATTGCTTAGTAATTGCGCAGTGTCCGATGTGGTTACGCTTATTGTGTCTTCCGCAAGATTTGATCGAAAATCACTGCTCATTTTGTCAAAATTCTTACTATTATTTAATAAATTAAATTTTATAACTTCAGAACTTCATTGTAACAATATTTCCCTAAAAGTACATACTTAAAAACCACCAATAATAACAAGTTAAAAAGTAAACTGTTATATTTTTTGTTTATTGTTCTATACTTTGTTTTGTTCTTTCATTTCCTATTGTCCTGTGCATTTGTCCATAAACTAAAATGACATGACTTAATGACTTTGAATATTGACATTTAGTAACAATCAAGGTACGTCAACAATGACATTTAAAATGTATAAGGGTAGCTAGGGAGTTCATAGATGTAGCATCTCAATAAAATAAGGTGTCATTAATATACCATAACGGCTACATTAAAACAGTGCCAAAAATTGTTAGAAACGAAAAAAAATAAATGAAGTCAGTGTATATCCGTTCTGTAACATCTTAGATGTATTATTTCATAAAAAAATTAAAAAAATATGTCTAAATTTAACTTTTTCTCCTCTTCTTTCTTGCTTCATGACCTACACCATGAAGTGCGATATTTTTTGGTTATCCCTTAAATTACTAAGTAATACAAAATAGTAATCGAGTTATTGGCTTCACGCTTTATCATCAAGTAACTTGGGCGCATTACTTGACGATGAAAGATGAAAGCTTACGCATTGCTGTAGGAATCCGTCTAGGGGCACCGATTTGTCAACCATACCAATGTGTTAGTGTAGACAAATTTGGTCTCCACGGGCTTTCTTGTCAAAAAAGTGCCGTTTTTCCCGCCACGGTTCCCTGAACGACATCATCCGTAGGGCTCTTGTTTCCATCAATGTTCCATCTATTTTAGAGCCCTGTGGCATTTTTTGCGACGATGGTATGAGACCCGACGGTTTAACATTGATCCCTTGTGTAGACACTTTGGCTGCGTGTCATGTAAAGGGTACTTCGGTCAGGGCCGGGGCTGCATCGGAGGTAGCTGAAGTAAGTAAATGGCGCAAATATGAGTCTTTATGTTTAGATTATGTATTTGTGCCATTTGCTGTTGAAACTTTAGGTCCGTAGGGTCCCCGCACAACAATATTTTTTTAAAGTTTATGTCCTAGGCTTAACGCCGCGGCTGGTGACAAAAGAGCTGGTTCTTTTCTCAATAATGTAAGATATGCTTCAATATTGTAAGATATGCTTCTTGTAAAAGACTATTTATCAATTGTTGCAACTAATTTTATTTTACTATATACCTTTACTTTTATATAATTTTTAATAAAATAATTTACATGCTTTTTAAGATTTGAATGATTATTTGGTCATTCGCAGGAATACCCATATTCTCTCTGCTTTGTGCAGCGTGTTGTTTAATCCCTCTACTCCAAAATACTTAAAAGATCGCTTCGAGTATCTTTCCTTGTCCTTTCGTTCTTCTGCCAATCTCTCCCTCCAAACTCATGTACATTCCTCTTTCTTCTTCAAAAAATCTTTTACAGTGACAGCTGTGTGTTTGTGGAATTCTTTACCCCTTCACATTCGACAAGCTAAGTCACTTCTTTCTTTTAGAACCCTATTAAAATGCATGCTTTCCTTTTTCCTTTCCTATTTTTCCGGAAATCTTTGACTATCTCATTGATCTATAAATGCCTTCATAAGTGATTCATGTACACCTCTGTCTGCTCTCTTCTTTATGTCTCATTAGCAAATATTCTTTTCGCAATGGTTGTCTGAAAGAAATCGCTTTCTGAGCGATAAGACGCTATTGTACTTCCTTTTATATTCATTTGTAATTTGCTTTTTATATATTTTTATTTTTGGTGTACAATAAAGTATAAATAAATAAATAAATGTACAATTTACCGTTTGGTTTTACGAAATGTTTACACTTTGAAGCTTATTTATAACACTCATAATGAAATAGATTGTTAATAAGCTAATTAAAGTAATTGTATTCATCATCATCATCATTTCAGCCTGTTTGAGTCCACTGCTGAACATAGGCCTCCCCCGTAGACTGTAATTGTTAACTATTAATTGTATTATTAATATAAAAATATAGGTTTAATATTGCCAGATTCGAGATAAAATATAAATTTTGCTTAAAAAACTAAAACTTTGTATTATAAATAATACAAAGTTTTAACTGCTTGTATATTGTTATACTTCTGTTTTCGGGGATTTGCTTGGATTTTTTATAACTTTCTTCTCTAGTATATCCATGATAAGAGTTTTGTTATCAGTAATTAGTTAGGCTGAGGATAATTTTGACGTCACTTTCAATGATTATCTGCTTATTACAGTCAAAAACCTTACGGTTTTACAGAAATTGTAAATCTCAAAATCTTAATATTTAGATTACTGATAGCAGAAATCACTTGTCAATGTTATCATTTTATCAGTATGTCAACTTGATGAACACTAGCGCCATAACCACGCGCTTACACGCGCATTAATCAACGTACCGTAAACAATGGGGTGTTTCTGTGTGTGTGTAGCTTGCTCGTTCGTTTGGTTGACAATCGCGATGTGATGTATTCTACACCATCGCATGCTGAGTTATATTTTCAACAAACATTTTAATTTTTGTATTAGTTAAAACATTAATTTCTAAATGTTTTCTTTCGTTGTGATTAGGTTTCTCTATTTTGATTTCTAAATATGTGTAATTTGCCGCCGAAGTTCCATTCAGTGTGTCGCCTTTGTTTATCATTCTGTGGCGATAATTGCAGTGATGTTAAACTTCCAATATTCGATCGTGATAAGGATAAATCATGTCTCTCTGAGATGATAATGACATATTTATCAATAATGGTAATACATTACGTCGTTTTTTATACGTGACCACTTAGATGATGCCGTTTTCTCATGTGAAAGTTTAGTCTAAGCGTAAGAGATTGTGGATACTGATAAGCGCCATTAACTTTCTCGCGGGTGTTGGGTATTTTCGCGTTGTGATATCATATTACGGCCCACGCATTGAGTGCTCGAGCGTATGACTAATGTCGTTCGTGGAAGTGATAGGCGAGGCGGGTGGCGGTCGCCGTATCAGCCGCCGCTGATAACAAAGGAGCGCGCGGAGATCACTGCGCTCGGCGGCGGCTCCTTTCGCGTTCCGCCCGCCCGCCCCCCGCGAGACATGTCTCGGCCATCCATGAAACGAATACTCCCTACACTTAGTACATTCTTTTTTCATCCATATACTCCCTGCTATTCTCAGAATCAATTTTCTCTAAATTTAGACATATTTTGATGTGGGGGACTGTACTCGCCCAGTGCTATCCCAAATTTAGATTATATTGAGAATAAACAGGAATAGATTAATATTTTTATGTTGTATACTATCAGATTAGCAAGTAATGACTCATCATCTATGATTATACTTGCAAAAGGTCACTGGCCACATCATCTTTTTTAATGAATGATGTATTGTCAAGCCAATGTATGCAATATACTTATGTAGGATCTTATTTTTAGGTAACACCATCAGACATGCTGCCACAGGTGGTATGTGGAAGTTGTGTACATAAGCTTGAGGAATTTCACACTTTTAGAGAACTAACACATAAATCAGAAAGGCTCTTGGAACAGTTTCTTCAGTATGCAAATTCACTTTCTGGGCCAAAAGAGGTGAGTGAAAATGAAAAAACATTATAAATTGCATTTTTATTCTTATCACTAATCAATAATGTGTTAACAATTTATATTAATATAATTTTATCTAATCAATACTATAATGGTGTAATTTACACAATTTTATTGTAAATGTTATTATACACATTTACTGTTATCAAGCAAAGCTTGAATCTGTGTGTAGATTAATGTAACGAATAGGCTGGCTTCTCATTTTTGTATTTAGAGCTTTGATTTTATTAACAAGCAGGCCTATCAACATACCAATGCAAACAATTGTGGCAACACCTAAAATACTCCAGAGAACATGTTTTGGTCTCAAATTTGAAAGAGAGAAACCTCTTTTTGAGGCAAATGTTGTATCAAATGTGGGGCAGAATGCCATTGATATATTTGTGATATAAGTGCCAGTCATTTTCATTGGTGCTGCACAGCTGAAAAAATTATAATTGGAGATTACTTCATAATTAAACAAAAAAAAATTCCATAACAAGTTCCATATAACTAAACCTTTATTAAATAATGCTGTACAAAGAAATATTCATCTAAATTTGTTATAGAACTTTTTTGATATAGCATGGTATTATGATTTTTTGATATAGTGTAGGAAATGAACATGTGATGTTTATTTTTCAGTGGTTTATTCAAAAATATGCATGTTGATCATTATACAGCACATGCCTGGTGTATAATTTTAATGTAATGAATTTTTACTTGGTTCAATATGGTTTACCATAATTTACCATTGGTTACTTACTATGGAATGTCTCCACCTTTGAATTTTGTTCCTGCTTCTTGCTTTGTGACAATATTAGCTAGATCACAATTGCAAAGCCAACTGTTGCCTGTCATTCCCAATATGTCTAATTTATTCCAAGGCATTAAGTCTGTGGATAGTTCACTCAAATTGTTATCATCCAAGTATACCTGTAACAATTATGCATATTGATTGAAAAGTATGTGAAAACTTTCATCAAATGTTACAATTATTCAAATTAAATACATTTTTGACCTAGTTTCGAGAACAAAAAAAAATTGCAAAAATTGATAATATCTAAATAAGCATGCAGTGAATAATCAGACGACCCAGTTGTAAAGCTGTCATGTAAGCATTCCAAAGTGGGCCAATTCAAATTGCACATACTTTAATGATTATATTGTGTGATTGCAAGATTAAGCAAAAATAAAATTGTGTTAATAAACTTTAATCATGGCTTGGCTTTGATCGAAACCATACTAATACTATACTAGTATGAATCAAAACCATACTAGTATTTTTTTAATACTTTTTGCTCTTATCTAATATTATATTAACTCATTATCAAATACCTATTACCTTAGTTCTTAGTTTGAAATCAGTTTCGTATAAGTGGAATCGCAGCAGAAAAAAAATAGTTTTCAGTTTACTATCTTATGACCACGACTTTGTCTTTGTCTTAAACAATGAAGCATATACGCAAAAGTATTAACATTAAAAGTGAACTTTTATTTACTCAGTACAAATTTTTATTGTTAATATCTTCCGAACCAGATATTATTTTTTTGATACTTTGAATATATTCAATAATATATTTAATAATTCTTGAGGAAGGTTATAAGGTGTTTTACCATCAAGTTACGAGTTACAGGGGTGAAGTAGTAACTTTTCTCATGGATGAAATAGCCTGGATCAGATAGATTGCATATACACAATTAGATAATAGTGTGCTTTTTGTTATTTTTTATATGCATTTAGAAGTAATCCATTGATTATTATAATATATTGATTACTATTATTTGCAGTTACCATTATGTCTTAATCGTGACGCTTCTACGCGGAGCTAATCGCCGTACAGGATGTACGGCGATTAGCCAATCCTACCAATATTATTAATCGCGAAAGTTTGTATGTATGGATATTTGTTACTCATTCACGCAAAAACTACTGAATGAATTTTTATGAAACTTTACAATAATATATCAGAATAATCCAGGCTCTCATTTATGAAGATACAAGGGTCTCTTAAAGTAACTTTGTCTGTCTGTTACGCCTTCACGACTAAACCGCCGAACTAATTATTACAAATTTTGATATAAAGATATATACCTAGGACCTTGGAGAAGAAAACAAACTACTCGAATAATAGCTAATCCCGCGCAGACGAAGTCGCGGGTACCAGCTAGTTTTATTATAAATTTTTACCTCCTTCAGTGTCCATTTTTCCTTCAGATTGCGAAAAGCATTATGGCTAATGTACCTCAGATTCGCATTGTGACAGAGGTGGAGTATGCGCAACTTTTTTAACGGCGTGAACGTACCCCGCTTTACTTCCTCTAAGTAATCATTTTCCCCGACTTCTAATTGCACCAGATTTGTTAATCCTGTGAAAAAAAAAGATATTTACATTTAATTTACAATTAAAAAGGCAAAAACCGTTACCGTTGTGGTAAATTTCGTCCCTTTCACCTGTTTCTGAGGGAACTTTTGAAGAATCACGATAGCATGTTTTACATTTAAACATAAAAGGCCAAATACTAATGTTTATAATTTTTTTTAACTAAATGGCGAGTACTTTTATTAGAATCTGAACTTATTTCAAAAAACACTCATTCCAAAATACCGTAATCTTTGAGCGATGATATCGTAACATGTTTATCCGCCCTTACCCATCCGCAGTTGGCGTAATTCCATTAATGCAACATTGTAAATTTAATAAATACATAGATATTTAGTTTTTTTGAAGTAATTTATTTTCAAGTATAATTTTTTAGATAAGGTAAAAACCCTTGCGCCCCGAAGACGCAAGTTTTGGAATTGCCCTAAAGACCGAAAGTTTTTGTTCATTTATCTACAAAAATTCACAATTTAAAGTTTCAGTTTGAGCGTAAATATAGCAAGCACTATATTAAGCACTAAAATATAAATTAATACTAAATTATTTTAATTTGCCCGGTAATGTCTCATCTTTTGTCATCGGCGGAATTTTGATACGTGAAGTACGAAACATCGATCGGAATATTTAATTTTTTTGACACGATATAAAAGACATTATATATAAATGATAATATGATAAGAGAAGCCGATATAAAATAATTTTTTAGCATTTTATGCAGAAAAATAACTTAACTATTAGGAAATTAAAACCGCATTATTCTATTTGTATATAATCATATTAATAACCGCGTATAACTCGATACTTCCAATAGAAAGTTACATCGTCTTCTTGTATCGTGCAATTAGATTGTGCTTGCGTAATAATAAACTAACGCTCGGTTTCTGAAACACTGATCATCGTCGATGTTAACTAATCAGCTATCAAATGACTTTTCAAATGTCATTTTAGTTGCCAAAAGGATGGTTAAACTCTTTGAATTGATCATTCTGATCGTTAAGAAAATATCTTTAGAATGAAGACTTGAACCATCCTTTAGGCAACTCTAATGAAATTTGAAAAGCCATTTGACAGCTGATTAGTTAACATGTACGATGATCATTGTTTCAGAAACCGGTCGTTAGTGTTAGATAATGAAGCATAAAGCTTCCCAGTTTTCCTAATTCAAATGTAAAGAGTAAAAAATCTAATTATGCGATTGTGTCGATATTGTTTTTAACTTAAACCAAAAACATTTTAGCTTAAGTTATGCGTTGGTGGGTTAGCCGATCGGATATAGGGGAGTACCGTTACTCAGCAAATATATCATTCGATTGTCCTAATTGAAAATGTTGAACTCGCAACGACTTTGCATATTTATGATTTTTTTCTTGTGAGAGAGTGGCAAGTTAGCTGGCGTTTCATCTGATGCTAAGTTATAACTGCCGTCCACGGACAACTGCAACACCCGAAGGGTTTCAAATGCGTTGCCACCTTTTAACTAAGTGCGTGCGAGTTATCTCACTCAGAAGACAAAACGCGGAAATATAACACAAGCTATTTTATATATGCTGTCGGTTTCAATCACGAGAGACAAATCATAAGATGTTATTAGTGGGTGAATCTAAATCAAAATTAAACTCCATAAATCCCTTTGTATAGTTTTGTTTAATAATATTAAAACTACTCAATACGAAATGCGTTCCGATTCCGCAACTAAAGATAATCAAGTCATAATGGAAAATTATTGAATATGAACTTAAATTTTCGCATGATATTAGTCATGATAACGTTGATTTCGAAAGCGATGACTTCCGCTTTATATCGAAAATTATGATTGAGCGATTACATTCTGTATGTCATTTATAAAGAAAATGTATTTCGTTTCATATAATTCAATAAATTATACCGTTAATAATTCTATTTATTAAAACTATTGTGAAGTCAAAAGGTACATTGATACCTCTATATATAACTGATATCTATGAAACCGATTTATATATCTGTGCCCTTTACCGCTTGTCAGTGTAATAGCCGAAATGTCTAAAGTTTTGTCGATCTTTATCGATACGTTGGAAACAAACAAAATAAATCCGGAGAATTTTGCCGCCAATCGTGACAGATAGTTTTTCGCCATAATGTTGCCATTCCATATTTGTTTATCACGGCTGCCTATTTTTTTTGGATTATCTCTTATGCCAAAAGCCGTAGTCGCGACAGCAGCTTTAATTTAGATAAAAAAATAAGTTCTTGCACCGTGAAATTGTAATTTACCTAATGACGCTCACCCAATAACTTAATCGTAAATGTATATTGAAATCTTTCATTATCTCATTGCATTATTAACTGTAGATTTACCGTTGTAATTATCAACATGGTTGCTGGATCGTAACTCATTTTTATCGCACTTTATTTCGGGCTAGAGGTCTCAGCGTTGGAGCTATAATTCTACTCTTTATTAGAATTCGGTTTAATTGTATTACCTGTCATTAAACCTACCTAAATTATCGATTATTGCTCATAAAACAAACAAATGGTTACATCTGGCTTTAATTTTTATTTTGACATATAACGTTTCAATATAGTCTTAAAACTAATGAGTATTTCTTAAACCTCATGACTTGATTTGTATGTGTCATTCGGCATATACATATACTAAAGGAAAAAACATTAAGATAACCCATGGCCTTCATCCGTATCCATATTTACAATATCAGATATTATATAAATAAGTATTTGTCACTTGTATCACAAGCAAAAATACTGTTTCGATAACAAACGTATCCAATTCAATAATAAATTACACAAGCTAAATATGACTGTGATTTTATCGTATATAAATAATTAATAATTTTTAATCTCTCATAACGTCACCCGTAGTTCGTCTGAGTTATTGAATAATATTGAATTTTATAAGAATATTGAAAGGGCTAAACGGGGGGACCATTTATTGTATTTTCGTTCGCGCCGCCTTCGGAGTTTCTTTCTATCCTACTCCAACAACACTATATAATAGGTGGAGCGTACAACATTGTTATAAGCTTTCATGATTTTTTCTAGTTTATTAACACTGGGTGTTTTTATGCGAAAAGACGTAAAGCGAGCAAACGGTTCACCTGATGTTAAGAGATTACCGCCGCCCATGGACATGTACAAAACCTGACGGGTTGCAGATGCGTTGAAAAACTTTAAATTAAGTGAGTCTCGGCTACTGCAACCACCAAACGAAACGCGAAAATATAATACTTCCATTGCACCTCAGCCTTCTATGAGGTTATGGTACTAAGCCGGACGAGCATTCCCATTTGTGCCACAGCCGAAGCTACTGTGTACCACGGCTACAGCAGATCCATTAAGTAACTTTAGCACTCTGGTACACACTTCGTGCTTGAGGACACAACTACGCTTCGGCGCATTTAGGCGCGTTCTACCTGCAAAATTGGAAACTTACCAACAAAGCTGTCATCGTTGAGTTCCACTATGGGATTGTTGTTGAATGTGAGATACTGCAGTGTGCTGCCGACCAAGCTCAGGCTCTCGGGCACGTTCACGAATTTATTTCCAGAAAGATCGATCTGTTGCAAGTTAACCAGACCTCTGAAAGCGTCTAAGGGTATCGTGCTGATGTCGGTGCTAGCCAAATCTAGAACCTGGAAATGTGCACCGATTAAAATAGTCATTTTAACGGTTAGAACTTAAATTCAAATTTAGGTTAGAATCAAAGCTAAAGTTGAAACTTAATTATATGCCTCGAAAAACATTTTTACGATTAAAATCAATTAGCGTGCCGTATTATCTCGTCGCGTTTAATTGATGTCCATAATAATTGACTTCATTTGCGTAAGGTTCGGTTCCTTTTCCTTCTTTATTCATTTCATTAACTGAGTAATTATGATAGCAACGCTCTTGTCTTACATTCATTTCAAGATTTATTTCTGTTATTTTATTCTGAAATATATTTATCAATAAAGACGGACGTCTGATTGTGAATTCCTTGATTTAAATAATAATTTTAATGATATTAACTATATTAGTCAATATCATGTACCTAATAACATTATAATTAATAATTTTTCGTGTAAACAAACCTGAGATATATTTGTTATGTTTCAGATATAAATTAATGAAAAGAAATCTAATCTAATAAGAATTACATTATTATAACTAATATCTCTTTCTGCAACTATTTAGACAATGTGGTATTTTCTTGTGTAAACGGCAAAATTATTTCGCTGGTTGTCTTGATTCATATATAAAATATATAAACCATTTAAAACCAGTACAATGTTTTAATCTTTTTCCATATGTAGTAGATACTCGGACTGTGGCGAAAATAGCTTGCGACCGAGAATTTTAACGTAAACAACATTTTGGTGACGTGACGTTTGATTGCAGATTAATAACAGCCAAGGGAGCGTGTTCGTTTTCGCGCCATTCCACTTCTCCATTGTTCTATGTCACAGGTGTTATATATTGATTGTTTATGGAACGACATGGGGAATTTCCCGGTTACAAGTAACGCGTCATTTCGACACAATTTACGATCCTGTTCGAACCGGTGCAATAATTCTATACGTCCGCTGATAACGAGGCGTATCTGTTGTTTTTTGTTTTAAGATAACTTATTTTTGTTATTTGATTCGCGCGTCGTCGATTCTAAATGGTAAAGGTAAAGATTCATCTCGTAGCCAATTCTATCGTGTTAATAAATTAAAAAGTTTTGCTGGTATCGTGAAATTATTTCAAAGTTTTGAAATTAAGCCTCATTGTTTCCTGCCGTTATGTGCTTATGATAGGGTAGAAGGTACTCGGAGGTATAGGTAAACGGTGACTCCATTTCTCGGGTGCCACAATTGATCGAAAGAAAAAAATATTGGCATTTGTAATTGGTTTTAATGACATTTAAGTTGTGGGGAGTACGTTTCTACGTTTATGAATCGATGTGCCAAGCTGCCAAGATTGAGTTAACATAATAATATGTGATAAACGACATTGACACCCGGTTTCTGAAACACTGGTCATCGTAGAAGTTAGCTTAGATCAGAAAAATGATCAATTCAAAGGGTTTGGCAATCCTTTGGCATTTGACAAGCCATTTGATAGATGAATAGTTAGTTTCTACGATAATCAGTGTTTCAAAAACCGGGCATGAGACCTTTTACTAGTAACGATAATGTAATGATAAGCTTTATTTTATTTTACGTGAGTTTCATCCATGTCAATCAAAATTAGGTATTATTATTATTATAGGTCCTAAATATAATTAATTTGCATAAAATCCACAATTACGTGAAGCTTCCTAAAGTAATGTAAATAAATCCTTTCTCGTTCGCGTGAGAATCGTGCCACCGCAACCGGTTTTTTTTTTAAGAATTTCTGTTTATAACTATATAATCCTTAATGCTGTTCATAAATCAACTAAAGATAGCAGTAAGCCACGTCGAGAACGTTAATCGTCGTGTTCAACCTTTTGCACTGAAGTAATAATTCGTTAAGATGCTGATTACAACAACGTCTCTCTCGATTTCATTGCCCTGTTATTTTACGATTAAGGAGGTAACAGAAATAAAATAATCGTAATTAAACACTTTACATTTGATAACGATTTCAGGGCGTGTGAAAATATGAAATTATAAAAATTAATAAATATATTGATTATTAAAAAAAAATTAACATATTTATTTAATAATGTGCGTTAACTTTTATAGATACACTAAAGCTTGCACAATATACAAAGTAAATGAAGAGATTAGTGACAACTCTACAATAATAACACGAATATGTTTATTAAACATTTACTCGGAATGTTTGATTGACGATTTCGAGGAATTCGAACGCCTGATAATGACTTGATTACAAATCCGATACGCATGAATGTTATTGCAGTACACACTCAGATAATATATTAGCTGCAAAATAATATGTGATTGTAAAGAAAAACCACTTAGAAGATTGATCTAACCGCTACTGAAGAGTGAGACGGGAAAAGTTCGTATTGAACTACGTTTGTCAGACGTGCCAAATCGTATTTAAATTCCAAATACTTAATTTTAAACCCTCATTGAAATATAATAAAATTGTTTTAATCAAAATAAGATTGATCCGTCTTAATGGTCAATGGTTAAAGCCTGGTCGAAAATTTCACTACGAAACTTAACAATCTCAAGAACAGCTCAATTGTATTTTAAATAAACATCATAAATCTTAATAAAAGTTTCACCTAACCGGCCAATTATGAAGCGCAATACATCGGAATGTCTTACCTCCAAGTTGGTTGCACTGGACAGCGCCAGGACTGTGACGTGGTCGAGCAGTTCCATGGGGTTGTTGTTGAGATAAAGCCGCGTGAGGTTTGGCGTGTACTTGAACAGGTATCGGTCCAATGAATGTATCTCGTTGTGTCCGAGGTTCAACGTTTCCAGAGCGATGCTATTGTACACTCCATCGTTGTAAGGCCCTTGGAATATTTCGGTCCTCAGCACTTCGCCTGAAACGATTTTACTAGTGATAACTTTACATCTTTTGGACCCTCGAAAGCAGACCCTGGCATTAGCCGGGATTAATGCTAAGTGGTGGAAGAATCATGATCTTTTGGATCACCGCATAGTATAATTTTTATGATTGACGGTACAGACAGGCTTGGCGTTTCTCTTGACATCGACAACTTGTTATAGTTATTGTTTAACGTCCTGGGGATTTCTCCGTATGGAATATTCATCGATTTAGATATCGACAACGCTCTAGGGGCTTACCTGCAGTTGGTTTACCTTTCTATTCAATTTTATCAAACTATAAATTACCAGTTCCCATATGTATTTTTGTAAAATTAAAAGCTTAAGATTTAATCTTCTATCGGGTATTTTAACACGTAACAACATATTTAAATATAAGTCTGGTGTGTATGTGTTATTATCATAAAAACGAATGTTCTCGATTGCTAAACGATTTGTGCGCTAACGGCTCACGAAATGCTATCCAATTTCCGTCAGATTTAACGAGTTTAACGTCGACGCTTAGGACGAAATTGTTATTTACATACGTTCATTATAGTTTCGGGCGATCCTAGTTCAATGGAACATAACGAAAAAACTTTTATGATTGTGGTTGGTTTTTTTAAAGGCGCTTGGTTTTCAAGCGTCTCTGTATTCCGTTAATCTTCCGGCCATTTGTTCGTAATGAATGTCGAAAATGAATATTTTATGAAAATTGTCTCCACTGCTTTTACAGCGAGTGGCGCCCATACACACGGACGTCAATTAGGACTTAGCGAACATTAAACTTGTTCTTGCAATATCATGTCGTTAAGACTAATTTTACAGTTAAACTGATTTAATATTCTGTAGTCAACTCCTAATGTAGTCTTGAGTGCGATCGTAATTTGCCTATTTGAGTGCAGTATTTCTCCGTTGTAATCGCTAAGGGATTGTATTAGACGAGGATGTCAAATAACTACTTTTACGGCGTCATTATTTCTCCCAAGGTGGGGGTCTTTGTACGACGCTGTTTTCGCCTTGGTTGTTTAGGTGTTGTTTAGGGTAGATTAGATGCGGCACCAGGTCTTGGTCTTAGCAAAGCTTCATTAAGCACCGTGTGGGGATGTCGAAAGTTAAGAAATATGTCGACATATTAATGTATCGATATTTGTAAAAATTTCAATACTGGCCTCGATATATCGAAGATAAAATATCGATACCTCGGTTATAGTTCTAGAAACCTGTCCGAAAAATAGGTATGTCAAATAATAAATATTTGACACCTGTTGACGGACTCTGTGCCTTTGATAGTTTTGATGGTTTTTGATACGATTTTCGATGTTGAATATTTTATACAGACAGACGTTGTCGACATACACACGAATTAAATGCGACAAAAACTAATAAATAAAAAGAATTGTAGTGGTCCGAATTATCAATCTAAACAATTCTCGAATTGACCTGAAGACACACAAAAAATTTCATTAAAATCGGTTTAGCAGGAGTTCAGTGACGTACACACGCACAGAAGAACTGTATATATATATAAAGAAATCGATATATAGAATCATAAATATCGTTATACTTTTTCGACATCCCTATCATAGAGCCCGAAAGGCGGCTTAGCTTTTCAGTTGACGTAGGTTGTTGACGTGCGAGATTGTTTCGACCAACAATCCAATCGTCCGTTTCCTTTGACCGCTAATGATTGGACATTCGGTTCTGCGGCGTGAAGATTCGTCTGTTCCGTCACTGCATTGACTAGCCACTTCGGGCCTGACGTGGCGCACCTTATTAGCGATTCCGCACGACCCATTAAAGTCGCACGTCCAAGAGAAAGCCGGCTAACTGGGCCGGATGGCTATTATTGAAATGAATGCGGCGCCGCTTTTGATTGCACATTGAAAAGAACCGACCGAGCCGAGATTGTTTATTCTGCAGGGATAGTTGCTGGATTCCATCTCGGCGCTATTTGAATTTGGTCGAGGATTATATGTATTATAGAACATGGTTTTGAAGACATCAGCCTAAAACTCCGTGGCCCAGTTGCCAAGGTGTTGGTTTCGGCGTCGCTGGTCGTGGGTTCGATTCCCACACGGGACAACTATTTGAGTGACCCACAGATAGTTGTTTCGCATCTGGGTGTTTGTCCGCGTGAAATTTCTGTTTGTAAAATGTCCTTACAAAACAGGATAATGTTATCCTAAAGTAAGGCCAATATTAAAAAAAAAGAAACGACCACATAGCAAGTTATGACAGAAGAAAAAGCCGTGGTAAAATTTTGTTAACAGTAGTACAAACCGTCCATACAAAAGACAGATGGCGGTTATTCTAGGACTGATACTGCCTAGGTTGTTATAGAAATTGTTTTTTTTATTATATTACTACAACAAACCAAATACTTTTTGTATACAAGTACTTAAATCAGCCTCCAATTGAAATATAATTAAAAAAATAAAATTGCGTTCTACTTGATGTAGACATAGCATGTACTTAACACTAAAAACATATATTATTTTTTTCTCTGTTAAGTCCATGCTTTTTTTAAACACTGACAGCATTGCCGCTAACTTTTTAGTTTACTGAGTTAAAACTATTTGACATCCGTACAAAAATGCTTTGAACCAGTGTTGCTCAAACTTTTTGGTGTATCGCCCACTTCAGGAAATATCGAATGCCCCCTAGAAATTCTTTACAGAAATATGTAGCGAAAAAAATAACAGCCTTTTTTCATCGTTCATCTTCTCCTTGAATTAGTGAAATGTCTGGTTAGTGTGGACCCCACTGATTTTCAACGGATACTTTCCACCACCCAACGAATTTATTTAGCGTTCTCAATATTATTTAAAGTTTCAATCTGCTCCTCTGATAGCTTCAGGGCACACTGGGAAGCGGTACCGCCCACTTCGAGAACCATTGTTTAAACTATTGTAGATATGAATAAGCATATGCCTATTGAAAAGTTTATGTGTGTTCTATAGATCGGATAGAGTATTTGTACATGTTGCAAGATCGGATGACTTAATTGACGACTTTTCAAGTACATTATTGTGAAGGCAAACCGATTTGAGTGCGGCGCATTATCTGACTAGCGGTAAACACTAGCAATAAACTATAAATTGTTATTTATAAATTAATAAAACAGTAGACATTGGCACGAAGTGGCAGATAGAGCATTATTTTTTACTCACCATTATTTTTGAAGTTATACTTCTTTTGGCGCGTTTGGATGAAAATATGAGAGTAATTTTTTTACGATGCGCGCGCGCTCTTACAGCCAAAAAGCGATATGTTGAAGTTGGTTGCAGATCTAACAACTTCGACCAACTCACGGTATTACCAATGCGACCAATAACACCTTCTTGACATTTACCTTTAATTCCAAGTTCATTAAACCGTTATCAATTGCATTTGATGTCTTTTTCAAAACCAAGAGTAAAACCAAGAGTTAAACCGTTATCAATTGCATTTGATGTCTTTTTCAAAACCAAGAGTAATGGCATGGGTGGTAAAATTTTTAGTTATTTTATTTTGTAAGAAGTATATCTTCTTACGTGCATACATAAGAACACATTTGCTTCTTTATATATATATATATAAACTTATGAAGCGAGCAGGCGCGGCGGTTCACCTTATATTGATTACAGCCGCTCATATGAGTAGTCTATGCGTTGACAACCTGCAATCGATCTTTAGTCGATCTCTCAAATTAATATTTTATATGAAATAACAGCGTTCAAATCTATTATAAGATATTTATCAACTTTCCTTAGTTATTCCTTACGTCATAGTAACGCCCACGAAATAAACTTAGAGTAAGGTTGTAAATGTGCTGCAGCACCAAAAACTTCACAAGGCCACAAACAATCACTTTGAAATAATAAAACATCGGACCTCATGGATTTTTCCCCAGTATCATCGAATTTAATTCACACATGATTCTAGAGCTTTCTGTTTTTTTATGATTTTTGACGTGCCAAAATCAATGCCCAGCAATTATGTCCTAGCGAACTTGTCGCTTGTCAAGGGACAAAATAAACTTGGAACTTTGATGGCATTAGCCGTCTCTACTAACACATTACAGTTAACTAACGTGATGCTAAATTTAAATTTTTCATAAAGGCTTTATTTACACAAGATCTATCACAAAATATATCTTGTTATTCATCAGCAAGCTACTTTAACTCCGCAACATATTATTTATAGAAAGGTCTTTTACTACAGCCTCATAAGGAAAATTCCGATAAGTCGGATGTGAAATAGAGTAGTTTACTGCATCGAAACATCTAACGAGTTTCTGTGTAGGTAAACGATAAACAACAAAGTATACATGTATCTGGAGCTTAAAATAACTTCTTTTTTATACCAATAATGAAATTCATTCATCATTCTGTGATTACACGTAAATGCCAAAAATGAAATATGAGATATTTTAATATAATTAAATAATAAGTAACTACCTATATACAGCATGTCTTTACAATCGCGACAATAAATGAACAGATATATAGAGGATAACTTTTTAAAATTGTATTAAACATTTAAATTCTATAATCATCAATATTTACAGTTATTAAATTTTCCAAAACAAAGAATTTTAGAACACCCTTATGTATAAAACTGTAACGTAAAGTTCATTTGTAAAGGTCACAAAGCATATGAATGGGTGAATGAATTTAAAACTTAATACTTTAACTTTCTTAACTTAATTGTAAAATGGGAATATGTGTATCAAGTTTGTCCATCTTTCCAATTTCAAAGTGTATGAAAAGATTTTTTTGCTGCTGCGGAAAATATACCTACGCTTTCTGGATTCGCGCCCAATCGACTACCCAAACCATCAAAGAAACTAGAACTTCGTTTCCACTCGCTCATAAAATATATTAACATGCGTTTTATATTATTTGACTTTTTTTTTCTATCATATTTCTATCTAAAATGTATTTTATAAAACCCGCTCTTAAACCCCAACAAATCTTCCGGCTTAAAAAAATAACAAACCCCAAAAACTTAACCAGGCCGTTTATAGTATAGTCAAAAGCTGTAGTCTGCCCGTCAGCAAAAGGCGCTAATCAAAATACGTCTCAAAACAAACCTTCCAAATTTGAAAAACAAAAGATACAGAAGAACAATAATATAAAACTACCCACCTGATATACGGTTGTTGCTCAGATCCAAATACACCAAGCGCTGTACGTTTCTGAACGCGTCATCCTCTATTTCGATTATGGCGTTGGACTTGAAGCTGATCGCGACCCTATTGCCCGGGATCCGAGGCAGCTGCGTCACGTTCGTTATGCTGTTGTTGAAGAATGTCAGCAGCACGTGGCCGTCTGTAATGCAAATTCAAATTCAAGTCCAAAATATCTTTATTCAAATACACGATTGCGAGTTCTACGTTTCAAACTTTGAATTTTACATAAAAATTGATAAATAGGTTGGTTCGTTAGTTACCGCCGGTTCGGAGAGCACTCTCTGTTGAGAAGAGACTGGCAAGAAACAAGACAGTTGCTTTTTTTTAAAATAATGCACCCCATTGAGTGAAAGCACCGAGATACATGCACATTGATACGTCAGATCGCGTTCCTTACTCGTTGATATCGTGTCTTCGGCATTCATTTACTGTAGTTAAGCTACGCTGCATGAGTTGAAGCGATTAGACGCTTTCGAAGTGTACGGATCTCACGGAAAATTGTCAGTAAAGTATATAAAAAAGTATGTATGCGGGGCGGTAGCCCTACCCTAAGATGAAAGCACGTTCATCGCATCGTGAATTGACGAACGCCTTCGCAAGAAGCCTTCCAAGAATTCTCCTTCAACCTTTATAATTACTTTATATATAATTTTTGTACATATACATTTAATGAAGATTGAAGAATCCGCGGTATCTATCTTAGTTAAAAACATATTCAGTCTGGTTTAACACGAAAATTATGTCTCAACAAAATTAAATCAATTTTTTTTTTCACATTGATATGTTTTTAACATTGCCTTTACGGTAAGATGACGTTATCCTGAGTTATAAGGACCAAACACCTAGATCCGAAGCAATTGTATGTGGGTCACACAAGTAGTTGTCCTATATGAGAATCAAAGTGACGATCCTTGCGCCGAAGCCAATACTTCGGCAACTGCGCCACGGAGTCCTCAATGTCTTCACTTATGTCCCTGTTTTATTACATTTTTTTGCATTTTGTTACATACATAGGACCTTGCGACTACCTATTACAGACGTCGTGGTATGTAACATGAAAATTTTTTTTACACAATATATGTTCGAATATTTATAGAAATTCAGCTTTATTTAGCTATTATTAAAATGATTTGTTTGTGAACTGGAGAAGTGTCTGCTTATTATTTATTTTTATAGGTAGATAAACTAATAGATTATACATTCGCCGCAATGAATCGTTAAATTAAATTTTTATAACGTAATGTATAAAAAAATTCACAGCAGACAGTTAAATTTAGTCTTTTTGCAATCACTGATAGCGATGTTATCAACGACGAACGTAGTTGAAAATGTCTACCATTGTTGAACTTGTATTATTGTCCTCTTACTTTTTCCGATGCAACAATGGTATTTAAGGATTGGTAGATACAAAAGGATTACCTTTATCCGGCACCGCGTCGATTTTCTCGGGCCAGTCTTGAGGCACACTTTCGATACCGCGACGGGAGCAGTTCAGCGTAAGGTTATTCACGTCCTGAACGGTGACTTCGCACGGTGCCTTCTTCGTTTCGCTGTCCGCCCCGCCCGCCGCGGCAAGGACACACAATAACACTAACACCTACAACAAAGAAATACCATAAGCGCTAATTGACAACGCACATAATCACTACACAGAATCATCGCAGTGGCGTTAGTTCCTCAAACTCACTTGCTCAAAGCCTCTCGAATAAAACATTTTCATTGAAAACTATAAAGGATACTGACTCGGCACCCTCCGATAGAAATGTGCACTATCTTATCAGTTAAGAGGCGAGCGGTATCACGAAATGACATAGAATGAACGGACGCGTCATTGGTCCATGTTTATTTGTGTTATCGCGCCACTAATGTGGAGCGTTCAAACAGATCGGTTTTTATTTTTAGGAGGTCCTCAGCATAGCGGCGGACAAGCTCGAGGAGATTATAAAGCCGTTGAACGAGACTGACTACGAGGACGCGATCAAACACAAGTACACGGAGATCGGCTCGCCCGACTCCACGGAGGAGATGAAGAACCTGGAGAGCCGGCAGGCGGCGGTGACGCTGCTGCAGATAAAGAACTACGACCCGTCGAAGTACGTCGTGAAGAGTGAGGACGGCCCGCACATAATGTTCAACAGCGCGCCCGGTCTGCCCTCGGACAGGGCGAGGGAGGTGATGCACTGCAACGCGGTGATAGACATTATAAGCAAGGCGGTGGCGGTGGCGCAGCGTGACAACGAAGAGGCGCAGAGCTTCCCGCCGAACTACGCGAGCGTGATAGACAGGACGCGCCCCGCCACCGCCACAGAGGGCGGCTACTCGCTCGAGTACGCGGATGAGCAGTACGCGTACGGCGCCGCCCAGCCGGCGGCGAGCCCCGGCAGCGACGGCCACGACCACGACCACAAGGAGATGGACCTCTCGCTGTACGGCACGCTCAAGACCGAACCCGTCGACCAAAGCGAGCAGCGGGACGCGAGCACCTTGAAGGTGTTCTCGCATCGGACAGTCGCGAACAACAAGCCCGAGATGAGCGAGGAGCAGAAACAGCCGTTCGGCAGGGCCGGCGGCAAAGCGAGGCCGTTGAGGGACAGCGTCATGTACGACGAGTGCAGCCAGAGCAGCAGCGGCTCCGACCCCGACCGGCTGCAGATGGACATATCTGAGATGTCGCAGGTCGGTTGTTAACACGGTACACCATTATCGATCCCAGTTTTCTGAATTCCTTGTTGTATTTCCCGAAGACGTCCACTGTTGAACAAAGGCACACTTCTTAGCATGCACATCGGAGAGCATTTTACCAGTTGCATTTAATAAAAATTGTACCTATATAGCTCAACAATTCGTAACCGAAATGTATATTAACATCCGCGTTTATGTTTACGCGTATATTCTAGCTTCATTAGCCCAACACACACGTTTTTTGATTCACCTCATTCGAACAGCTTCTATTAGTTAAAGTTGATTCTTTTTGTTTTTCGAAGCTCTATATGAAAAAGACCATGAACATTTGACCTTGAACTTAGAATTTCCCCGTTTCTTAAAGGTGTTTTATGTTTTGTAATTACAGGACGATCCGGAGGAGACTCAATCGGTGCCCTCCGCCCAGTCGTCGCCGAAACCGCCGCACGAAGGTGAAAACGACAAAGAATCCTTGTGGCAGGCGCTTCATAGACAAAACGGTAGTAATATCGCACAAAGCATCAAGCGTAAATACGCTATAGAGATTGCTGGAAACCGTAGCGAGACTGTGCGAAGTACTGTCGATATCATGTGACATCGTCTTCTTGATCTTCTTCTCTCTTGACCTGTTCTCATTCACTGGATGTTGGTCTTTCGCATTTGACACTATCTAGTGTAACGTCTTTGGCAAAATGTTTTTCTTTCACGTCGTTTATCGCCGTCATTTTGTCGTGTGACTTTATCATGATGAATTGATGCTGTTGAAGAATTTTAAGAAAAGTTTTTGCCCTATTTGCTTTGATGCCGGGGATACTCGGCTTGCAATGGATTATTTTAATTATCTTTCCATATAGTAACTGAGCATCCCTGACTTTTATATATAAAAGGGTGAACAATGTGTAGCTTCGTGTGATAAAAATAAGATCGATTTGTGAGTTAAAATGCACCCTGCATTAATAACTCAAGAAATCGAATGACAATGTAAAGGGCTATAGGAAATTACTCACAGCTGTCTCCGATAGACAATTTTGATTGTAACTAAACTTGTATGCATTCATTATTATTATGTTTTTGACATATAAAGTAATTAGTATCCCAATGAAACGTCTCTGTTTATGAAAATGATTTCTATAATTATCATAATTTCACTTGTCAGGCACTAACTTCTTTATGCATAACTAATGGTCTTAGTTTCTCTTATTCAATTATTTTTATGATTCTTGGAGGACAGAATATTAAATTTTAAAATTTATAACGGAACTTAATTCTCGTGTCACGGTGTTTGCAATTGAACTCCTTCGAAACGGCTCGACCGATTTTCGTGAAATTTCCCGTGCATATCGGCCAGGATGGAGAATCGAACAACATCTATTTTTCATCCCCCTAAATGTTAAGGGTGGTCCAGCCCAAACATTTTTTCTACCCTACAAATTATTTATATGGCAAAACAACGTTTGCCGGGTCAGCTAGTAGTTATACAGCGTGTCGTTATCATCGCGACAATAAATGAACACACGTCTAACGCTAGTTGCCAATAATCATAAAAAATATTAACGTTAAACAAAATTCATAATTAAAAAAAATATTTTTCAAACAAATTAATGAATTAAAAAAGAAACAAAATTTGTAACATCCTATACAACTCGCGCCACAGCGCCGCATTAGAAGCCTCTCCTTCTAACAGTATGTTTTGTCTCCTTTAAATTCATTCAACCCATTCATATGCTTTGTGACCTTTACAAATGAACTTTACGTTACAAGTTTTATACGTAAGGAAGTTTTAAAATTGTTTGTTTTGTAAAATTTAACAACTCGGTAAATATTGATGTTTGAAGAATGTAAATGTTTAATAAAATTTTAAAAAGTTATCCTCTATATGTGTGTTCATTTATTGTCGCGGTGGTAACGACACGCTGTATAATGATGTAGTTTCCGAGCGATTGTGCTATTTCTGTTATATTTTTTTAATGTGCGAAAGTGACTAACCAGCTGGCTGTTCACCTTATGTTAAGAGATAACCGCCATTAACATTTGTAACACCCTTAGGATTGCACATGCGTTGCCACCTTGCAATAAAGTTACCTCAGTCACCAGACAAAACACAGAAGTGATAACACTTCTACTTTACGCTGGTCTTCTGTGAGGTCGTGGTACTTACCCGGACGGACCTGCACATTCGTGCAACAGTGAACACGGTTGCGTGGCCCTGGCACAGTTAATGAGAATCATTGTTTGACGACTCCGTGGCGCAGTTTCCCAGATATTGGCTTCGGAGTCGGGGGTGGTGGGTTCGATTCTTCACGGGATACTTGACATACAAACTTGAACATAAAAGAGGTGCAGGTTTTTGTTACACATCAACTGTTTACTATATTTTTAGGGTTGTAAAGCATAAATCGTTCAGAATCTATGTGGCCATAATTGCATTTTTTATCTGTCGGTGTTACTTTAATAACCCTCTAATTGTTGGACCAAATAGAGGTTGGATTTCTTTTATTTTAGAATGTGAAAAGCGAGCTGGCGATTCGCCTGATGCCGCCGCACATTTGCAACACCCGTAGGGTTGCAGATGCGTTACCTTTTAATAATGTGGGCCCCGGCAACCTCACTCACCAGACGAAACGCAGATGTGTAACACTTCTACTTTACGCCGGTCTTCTGTGAGGTTGTGGTGCGAGTACTTCCCCGGACGGACCTGCCCATTCGTGCAACTTGCGCTGCCGTACCACAGTTAATTTCGGATTTATACAGTTTTTTTTTTGTTAGTACGTCTAGAAGAAGAAGAAGATTTTTATTTTCAAACTTTCGATGTTCCAATTGTTAGTCTATGGATCTATGGTCGCGGAATGAATGAAGTGCTATTCTTATTAGAGCAAATGTTATCAGTTATAGACTTCTGACTCGATTTCATAGGTTTTTTTTAACTACGCTTAGCCTCGCAAACTATATCACGAACGAATGTGTTTTGTTACGAGGATTTGATTTTTTCCAAATGTTATTAATTTCGTGCGCAATCAATCAATAATGTATTCATAAATTGCATACTTCTTAAACTATCGTAATTTTTAATCAAACACTAAATGTTATTTATTATATTACACTTCATTTACGAATACAGGTTCGTGTACATTTGTTAGTTTCGTATATTTAAATATAATGTATATTTATATATATATATACATTAATTATACAGCGTGTCGTTACCACCGCGACAATAAATGAACACACATATAGAGGATAACTTTTTAAAATTGTATGAAACATTTACATTCTTTAAACATCAATATTTACCGAGTTATAAAATTTTCCAAAACAAACAATTTTAGAACACCCTTACGTATAAAACTATAACGTAAAGTTCCTTTGTAAAGGTCACAAAGCATATGAATGGGTTGAATGAATTTAAAAGAGACAAAACATACTGTTAGAAGGAGAGGCTTGTAATGCGACACCGTGGCGCGAGTTGTATAGGATGTTACAATTTTTTTTTTCTTTTTTTACTTAATTAGTTTGTGTGAAAAATATATTTTTTTAATTATGGATTTTGTTTAACGTTAGTATTTTTTTATGATTATTGGCAAGTAGCATTAGACGTGTGTTCATTTATTGTCGCCATGGTAACGACACGCTGTATATATATATATACATTAATTATTTGGGCTTTTGTGGCTTTCAGGTCTTCTGGACTATAATCCATTCCGCCTGTATTCTGTATTGGTAAAAGCGATATCGAATAGTAGTCGTAGGATATGATTACGACACGGGACAACTATTTGTGTAATCCACTGATAATGTTGAAAATAAAATAAATATATTAAAACACGGGTTAATGTTACCCTACAGTAAGGGAAATGTATTTTTTTTTTTTAGTAAAAAAGCGCATACTTCCTGTTGAATACAAATAAAGAATAGCTCTAGAATATTTGTATGACGCAAGTAACGTGATAATTATTTGTTGATTGATTGTTTTTATGATTCGATACCGGTCTTTTCCCTGAATTTATCTAACACACCAAGAATTACATCATAATTCCATGTAGATATATAGTCCTGTTTATTTCACTTTTAAATTATAGTGAATATTGCATGTCTAGTCTTACAATTCATTACAAATAAAAACAAAATACGGCCGAAAGTACACGCGTCTTTGGTAATTTATCATAAAATCTTTATTTTTTTATGCGAAAAGTTGTCGAACGAGCAGACGGTTCACCTGATGTTAAGTGAATACCGCCGCCCATGGACATCTGCCACACCCGAGGGTTACAGATGTGTTGACAACCTTTTGAAAATTAGGCTCCGGATACCTCACTCACCAGACGAAACGCGAAAGTATTTGTCATACTTCCACTTTACGCTGGTCATCTGTGAGGTCGTGGTACTTACCCGGACGGGCCTGCCCATTCGTGCAACAGCCGAGGCTGCTGCATGGCCCTACCACCGTAACTTATAGAATACCAATAATATATATAATTCTCCTTTACGTGCGTATGTCACTGGACTCCTCCTAAAGGGCTGGACCGATTTTAATGAAATTTTTTATGTGTCTTCAGGCCGATTCGAGAATGGTTTAGATTCACAATTCGGTCCATCGTTTCGTTCGTTTTTTATTTCTAAGTTGTTGAATTTAAGAGACGAGTGTACAGGACAACTTCTGTCCGGTTCGCTAGTATTCATATAAAATCTTTATCAAACGTTCTTTGACAATAACTTGCTTGTTATAAAGAATGTTCTCTACTAACCTTCGTAACGCGAATGACAACTGATGATTTTCGGCGCAATTGCTTAGCTATTGACTTCGACGCCGCGTGGGTTCGTTTCCTACACGGGACAAGAATTTGTTTGACTCACAGATAACTGTTTCGGATCTGGTTGTTTGTTCCCTAGGAGGCGGGCGGCCGGTCGTAAAAAACCTAGCCAAGACCACTTACAACATTATTTACGTGTTGCGGTGATAAGGGCAGGTGGATGATGATCCGATACGGCACCAATTGCACATATTCAAACTTGCAAATTCACAGTATATTCTGCTGTTGAACTGCAGGCTCCTGAGAAGTACTACGGTCTCGTAGGTGGAAGGAAAAGTAGAAGCATTTATTCACTCGCATTTTGTCGCATAAGAAGATCTGACCCCCACTCTTTAACTCTCGGTAGTGGTTTGAATTTTAATCATTTATTTCCCATCTAAGTGTAAAATCTATAAATAGGGGTTACAATAAAGAAGTGCACAGAAACTTATATGCCATTTCCAGGCACCGCAAACTTTTTAAATGGACACTGCACACTTAAAATTAATTAAATTAAACGCATTATCATAATTTTCCTCAATACAAATACGTTATTAAAAATTTTATACGCGTTAATACAGGGTACTTTATTACTCATTTTATTACATCATCAGATGAAACGCTAAAGTTACACTTCTACAGCGCGACGGTCTTCTGTTACATCGCGGTACTTCCCCTACGGAGCCCGCTCATTCGTGCAATAGCCGGATCTGCTGCGTGGCCCTACTTTCAAGCGATATCGCCATACTTGACTTAATTGACTAGGTTTCGTTATAAATTTCAAAATTAAATATTGCGCCCTTCAAGATATCAACAGCAATTGAATAAGAGAAATCTACAAAGGGTGTATTTTTTACAGAAACCTACAAAGACTGAATAATTAGTGCTTGACAAACGCATTAAAAATATGAATGAAACTCTTTAGTACGATACTTCCAATTCGCGCGCGGTGGTTCTACGCGGCGGGCTTAGGAAGTGGGCCAAGTTTAGCGGCGTGCTAATTGTGTATTGATCACGATTTCAACGACGTATGTCACTTACAGGGCGCGGCGGCGAAGCGACGCAGCTCCTTCGCAGGTTGATCAACAGCAAACACCTCGGCATGACCGTGTCGCCACTCAGGGCGGCCACCTCACCACTGCCGACCAGTCTACTGCAGCCGCCCAACGGCGCCGTCTCCCCGGTCAGTAGACAGCAGATTTTTAACAAATTCCCTCGCAGCGTTGCGCGTGTTCGCATGACAACACTAATACGCTTCAGTTTTCCGTTTGGACCACACACGATATTTATTATGTATTAATTTTCTTGAATTAAAACACCCGTGCTAGCACCAGAATTGTTTGTCCATCAATAGACAGTGAAAGAAGTAGTTATTTTATTGTCTATAATTCATTAAATGCCGTCCTAAAATGTTAATTCGAATTTAATTAACTAGACATTTAATTGCTCATATCAATGGTCATTTGTGTTATTGATTTCTTTTGTTTTCGCGAATACTAAATCGCGATAGAATCCTTAAAAAAGTCAATCGTATTGTTTATATTATGTTTAATATGTAATTCATAAACGCATTAAAATCAAATTACCGGTAAAGCACTAATGGATAATTAGTAAACGATTTATGATTCAATAACAAATTTATATTACTACACGAAGGTCTGTGACAAAAAGGCGGTATCTTAATTATTCACGCGGCGCAGAGCGTGTAGAGGATTTAAACAATTGCCTACGCGTACACCTCGTGAACGGTCTGCAGTTGGCCGAGCACGAGATAACACTGACGCTGCAGACATTAAATCGTGTTCCTCGGTGCACACAAAACTTTGCGATGCTAATGTATTGAGGTAAATAGAGTTTTCCTTGAGGCCGTAGACGCGCATGAACAGCGATGTTGGCATATCGCACTGATTGCGCGTGATGTTCCTCTTCTCTTATAATTACGAAGGCATTCGTATGCTCACGGTGGCCATTTGTTTCGGGTCGCGGGCGTTCCATCGCCATTTTACCTTTAGTAGGTACCGGCATACATTTGACACAGTTTGCCGTTATTAGTTGTTGTCCTCCGCGCTCATCTCTCTAAATATCCATGCGTTACTATAATTTATTCACCGGTCTACTTGTCGCTTTGTTCTGAGTGAACATTGAATCGTAAGTTGTACGCGCCTTATGTTAAATGTGACCTTACTGCGACCTCGGAAGGTTGAGGTGTTTCGTGCAGCGTTTCCTGCTGGGATATTAACATATAATTATGTTAAATATTACTCGTTGTACCACTGACGCCTATAAACTTTTCATAAGCCAACGTCATGGCACTAAAAGGCGCAAAATACTAATGCATATGATTATAGCTCTAATGCATCGTGATAAAAATATTTTGGGATACAATTTTACTATCTGTATGAATGGTATTTAGCGAATTTCGGGCAAATAACTCGCAGTCATATTGCCGAAACGGATTCCGAACGACTTTCTTATTTCTCTTACACTTGTATAAACATCTTAGTCGTGCAGACTAAAGTCAACTCATAGAATATCAATAATAAATATAATTTGACGCGTTGAAAATTGTTGGTACATTTCCTGGCATGTCGGTACTTTTCGCTTGGCTGAATAAATGCATTTATATTTCCTGCGAAAAAAAATTACTCTGCGATTCAAAATAGCGACGGCAAAACAAACACAAAAACATAGGAAATTTCGTTGTGACCTTGTTTTTATTCAAGATATTCAATAGCTTCAGTGCACAATTCCAGGTTTTGAGTAAGCCAACAAAAATTGTATTTTATACTTCTCAGTTTAAGGTATTATGTTTACAAAATAATTTAAACAAATATGGTTATTGGCCTTTGTCATTGTCACGAATGTTTTTTGCACAAGTTGTGTAGTTTTTTTTTTTATGATATCGCACTTATACCTCTTGTTAGATTGACAACTTAACAAGTTATTTAAATACAAGTTTTAAGTGTTTTGTGTCATACCAGAAAAGGCGCTCATGCACGTATACATTCCTGTTTATGATCAATTAGCAACTTGGTTTGTTAACATACTTTAATTCACATGAAAATATTTCTATTCATATATTTAAATAAATATAATATAAGATCTCGACTGCCAGGTTTCCCTAGTTTTAAAATTAAAGATAAATAATTAAAAAAAAATTAATACATTACAGGCCCATGTTCAGCAGTGAACTCAAATAGGCTGAAATGATGATAATGATGATTAATACATTAAAAGCAAAATAGATGGATGATTCGGTGGCGCCGTTGCCAAGCTATTGCCTTTGGCGTTGGAGGTCGTGGGTTCGATTCCCACACGGGACGGACAAGTAATTGTGTGACCCACAGATAATTGTTTCGGATTAGATTCACCCAGGTGGGATGAGGACTGGAGGATGATGATGATGACATTAAAAGCAAAACGGTTTTTTTATATCGGGTGTAGGTTATTTTGGTGTGTTTCTTAAAAACGGTTATAATAAATTTATAAAAAGAATGTATTTTCTTCTAAACCAACAGAAAATAAATCGTAATGTGTATTTGAATTTTGTTGTGTTCATTCGTAACATCTCATTTTCCGGTGAGTTCCATTCGGACTAATTTATATATATGTCACTTGGTTTACAAAAAATAATGGTTTACAGCCTGTTTTGTGAAACAATCTGTCGATTTAAACTGCTTTATTTTAAAGTTTTTATTTTGATACGTAAAACTTCGTTTTTTATTCTCAGCCAAAAATTAATTGTTCTAACAATCGAAATATTCATAAAACTTTGAACTGATGCATTTACTTTCTCACAGAAGACATTAGGACAGCATTATGACTGGTAATCGAGTGTTCTACATCTTGTTGAAGACTTGCACGGAACTATAATCACAAGAGCATAACGGTGGTCCAAAAATTTTTTGAGAAAAAACATCTCACCATTTACCACCACTTCATTTTAATTTAATATTTAAAGTTCAAATAGTCAACATTCAGAATATGCAATGGTTGTTTGCGAAGAAATTTTAGTTGGCAAGAAAGTACTCTCAATTATTATACGATAACAAAGTTTTATGCATAAATTTTGACAGAATGGTGAATGGGCAAATTCCGGGCGCACGGGGGGCAATACGGGCGTGGCGGGTGGCACCGCGCGCAGGAAGCAGAGCTTCCCCGCTCGAGCGCAACCCGCTTGTGACCCTCCGCCCGCTGCATGGCCACACCCGGCTTCAGAGAACGTGAGCTATCACATTTGTCCCTATATAAACTTAGTACGAAAAGATCTAGTTCTAATGGGTTTGCAAGAAATAACTACACGTTCAATATATGATTTAGTCTTCATTCTTCAGTTCATTTACAGTGCGATTCAGGGGCCTTCGTAAGTTCCTATATGTATGTATAATCTGAGAACAGTTCATCGATCACGTGCGGACATAAAATATTTAAAAATAAATTATAAAAACTTTACTGTCTTATAAGTCATAGGTTATGACAATAGATATAGATATAAAATATGCAAAAATAATGCGAAAGCGTGTGCATCTTTCATCACTTTGCATGTACTAAACGGATTGTCATATGATGAGCACGTGACCATTAGATATTATCGTTGATAATTTCACCTCATTAATGTATAATATATGTATTGAGAGCGCGAAGGGAGGTACGGATAACACTCGATTATCACATTCGCCCCCTTTTTTGGTCCATGCAGCAGGAGCCGGCGGAGGCGTGCGCGGGGAACACGGCGGGCGGTGGGGCGGGCGCGCGGGGCGTGGCGCGCGTCGAGCTCTCGTGCAGCAACTGCGGCACGCACACCACCACGATATGGCGTCGCGACGCGCGCGGCGAGATGGTGTGCAACGCGTGCGGCCTCTACTACAAGCTGCACGGTGTTCCGCGGCCGACGGCGATGCGCCGCGACACGATACACACGCGCCGCCGCCGGCCCCGCCACGAGGGGAAACACGCGCGCAACAGTCAGTACCGAACACTCAATACCGCTCTTTTCTGTTTATTTACGCCCCTAGCTCTTCCTCTTCCGTCTCTCCACTCGAGTTTTGTGCCTACGCCGTCCGCAAGCCGTACTGAATCCAGCCCGAAGGACCAACTTTTAGGTTGTGCTTAAATTTTTTATGAAGTTTGCAATAAAAATTTATATTGTTCTGCATGAATGCAATAAAATAGAACATATTATTTAGATGCGCAATAAAAATATTAACTTCTAATTTGTTACTTAGCGGAATTTTTACACGCATGAATTAAGGTAAAATTATGTTAACTAGTTCATTCGTGTAAATAATTTAAGTATACCCATATAAAAAACAAATACTTGACTTTTTACATCTCTAAATAAACTCCATGAAATATAAGCGTCAAGGCACTAAATTAGCTTTTGAAATATTTAAAAACTGAAATATTTAATTAGTTGAAGCAGTTGCTGAACGAATGACTATGGCACCGCGAGACACGATTTTGATTCTACTTATAGTTGTTCCCGATCTGGCTCTTTGTTCTTGACTAATTTGTTTGCGTAAAATACCTGTATTGCGGTAGCTCTATGGTATGGTATGGCCGGTTTTAAATAAACCAAAAGTTACTTAAAAGTCAAACAGGGGACTTGTTAGCCTATAAGAATTGTTCATTTACTAATACTAAATTTAATATTTTTATTTAAATCTTCTTTCTGGTCGTTTTCATCATGTCTGATGATCGTGGTTGGCGGTCGTCGTTCTAGCACGAATGAGATTTCTCCATCGATTCCGGTCCATTGCGGTCCTAACCATATCGCAGAAATTCGGAGACGGTTCTGTGTCCTTGAGCTGGTCAGTCCATCGTGCTGGAGATCGGCCACGTGATCTTTTGCCTTCAGTGTTTCCAACAACGATCAAGCTTTCGTCTCCTCTTCTCATTATGTGGCCAAAGTAACTAAGGAACCGTTGCTCGCAGATTGTGGACAGTCGCGTCTTGATGTTGAGCTCCGACAGTATGGACTGATTGGTGCGTCTGGCTGCCCATGGTATTCGCAGCATACGCCTCCAACACCACATCTCAAAGGCATCAATCCGCTGTCTCTCTCTACTCTTGACAGTCCACGTTTCGGCTCCATATATAAAAATCGAAAACACAAGGGCTCGTACTAAACGCATTTTGGTGATTTTGGAGATTTCGCGATTTTGTCATATTTAAATTAATGAGTTTTCTGTATTTTTTGCTGCTGACGTACTTCGTATATAAACAAACAAAGATCTTATTGGGGTTGAACAATGGTAGAGCTGGGTGCCAACAGTGTCTATGGCATTAGACTGAACGTGAGTTGCCTCTCAGAGTCGCGACGGGGTGGCGCTGCGTGCGCAGAGGTGACGGAGGGCGTCGCGGGGGGAGGGGGCGGCGCGGGGGGCGCGGCGGCGGCGAGCGACGCCGGCGAGGAGGCGGTGCTCGCCGCGCTGCGCAGGCAGCTGCAGCCGCACCTGCTCGCCGCTCTACACGCGCACAATCCGCAGCCGCACCGCACCGCGCAGGTACGTAAATGCGAGCGCGCACCCACCCACCCACGCTCATATAGACAGTAGAAAAGATGGACGTTTTTATTGTGAAAAGTTGTGCGAGCGAGCAGGCTGTTCAACTGATGTTATGTGGATACCGCCGCCCGTAGGCATTGACCGATGGCTTTTATATGCTTTGCCCCGGATGTGCCCTCACTCACCAAAAACGCAACAGTTTATTACTTCCACTTCACACCTCTCTTTTGTCAGGCCGTGATACTTCCCCGGACGCACCTTTACCCATTTGTGCAACAGCAGTTGTTGCGAAGCCGTACCACAATATTTGAGTCAGTCATGCAATCGGATAACTTCCCGAGCTTCTGTAAGCATCATTAGAACAACGTTTTAAATGAACATAATCCGTGTAGTCATGGTATTAGTTAAAACGTTGACGTTCACGCCCCCAGGTGGGCCCCAGCATGGCCGAGTACGACGAGGCGCCGCTGAACCTCGCGAGCCACGTGGCCGAGGAGACGCACTGACCGCCGCGCCGTGACGCCGACGGCCGCGTGACCAACCGTCGCCTTCCCACTTTGATCTTTCCGCGTAGTGTCGCCAGCCGAGCACGTGCCTAGTGCGTGCCAGTACGCGCCGGGTCACGTGACGCGTGTCAGTGGGTGCACACGTCACGAGACGCCACGTGACACCCGTTCAAGCGATTTCGGATTCCGTAACCGTATTCGATGCCAGTTAAACTATCAAACGTATTACTATTGAGTATTAATGATTATTACCTGATATATTAATAGATATGTTGCGTACGTATGTATCGGAGAAAACCACAGTCTCACTAAATAATATATACATATATTATACTCTTAAAATTTTTAATTAGCAGTAATGAAACAACTGTTCGCATAGAATATATATTAGATTCGCAACAAGACATATATTTATATATATTAGTACTTATAGTTATGGAAACATTCATGCTATAAAATCATCCGCCAGTAGTAATAATAAGGCCAGTGTCTAAAAGACAATAGTTTATGGGAATTTTAAAGTTTTCTTCAAAGTTTATCCAGTATTGTGCATTGAAACCTCTGATATCAGTTACGTTATCAGTATTCTTTATAATAAAAATGGAAAGTTTTTGAATTTTCTCTAAACTCAAAGGTATTAAATATATATATTATTAATCTCAAAAACACTCCTACACTAGATACGTTAATAAAAACTTTAAAAGATTCGACTACCAAATATCATTGCGACAGATTTAATAAACCATCGGTTGTTCTAATTTAAGACGGTTCAGCTACAAAATCACGGGCGAATATTTTGAAGGAGTATTAATTTCTATGATAAAAAATCGATCGATTTCATTTTTATGTCGACAGTAACAGTAATTTATTGAGTGATGTATTTACCATTTTAGATCAGTATACAACTTGTGCGTAAATTAGTTTTACTCCAATTTTATATTAATTATTATGATATTCAACACCACAAGGCCTTTAGGTACTGAGCCTACCAAATGTAGAGTAGTTTTTTGTACATGTTATAAATTTTGAATGGTACTGGCATGATTCCATTAGTGCTTCCTTTCATGGATACATTATCGCATTCAATACTAGAATTATATTGTTACGAATAAACAAATATTTCGAAAATTGAAAACGTTTTTAAAAGTAATGTACAATGGATCGCTCGATTTTTTGCGCATAGCCCTCTAGCTGTTTAGCTGTTCGGGGTAAGTGTTAAGAATTTAAGGAAGTGGTATTTATAATTGTTGCGTTTGGTGCATACAATCGCAATACAAAGAGATCATTGTTTGTGCGGTTTCTTAAGAGAATTCGGGGGCCGTCGTTTGTTCGTCACGATCATGTCACGGCCACGTCACGCTTGCCTTAAAATGCTCTCTCGATATCGATGAAATTATATTTAACGGTTACCTATTGCGGGAAGCAAGTATTCATTTAGCTGTAGTCTCGTTAGTAAGGTATTGTAAATTTTATTACGCATTAAGTACGTAGCGACGGTCCAGTTGGGCCCAGTTGGAGAGAAATGAAAAATTATTAACGTGTAATTTATTTCCCATTTCGGTCAGTATTTGAAATGTAAGTATTTTTCTTTTTTTTCTCTCTAGTATTTTAGCTGTTAAGAGTTTGGTCTGTAACGAAGCAATAATGACAAGTGAGTCTCTCTACATATTATATGATATTTTTTGCGAATCTTAAAAGTACGATATTAAAGTAAGTATGATATTATTGATGAGCAATAAAGAATAAATTCTCTCTTATTTGTATTGTGCTTACCACAAGTTGGGTGGTATAAGATTTCTTTTTGTTTATTTTTTTTTTTTTTACTTATATTTATCGCCGCACGTTTCGGCTTTATGTGTACTAATGGTAATGTCTTAGGTTAAATATCGAAGTAGGAGCGAACTCTACTCAGTTTTGGATAAGCATCCCGTACCAAAACCTCGTGGCATTATTTTTTTTGTGTAACCTCCAACATGGAGTCCACCTCAGCGCGGTCAACGTCGCGTACTAGTTTTCGGCGCGGGGCATTTACGTTGTATGTAATGAAAAACAGGCTGTTTTTTGTTTTGTTGTCGCTTCCGAAACTAATTCACCGTCCTTTACTTAACGTCTTTACTTAATTTAGTGGTAATTTATTTATTATTGTATCCCCTATCCACGGGCCAGTAAATACACAGTCTATGAGACATTGTGATAATACTTACCTAGAACTTGCTCACTCACAACGCTCGGCTCCGACGAGCAAGCGCGTCCGCGGCAGCTAACTCTTGTATTTCGCGTCAAGATTATCGTATTCTGAAAGCTTTAAGAAAATTGAGATTATTTATACTTTATTATCGGGAACACTGTAGAGTTGTCGATGTGTTTGTATCTCTTATTAACGGCACGTATCTCCTCGTTGTGGAATGGCATTACGCATAGACAATAATCTCGTTCTAGTGTTGTACTGCTCTCTAGTTTTTGTCTCTCTTCGAATTTAAAATTCTCAGATCTGATGTATGATGCATTAGAATTATAATTATTAACCTTTTTGTCTTGATGATATTTTTTGTATTGTTGTTTTATATGTGTTGTGATTGAATTTGAACGCAGTGAAATTTCTAGATATTAGTTCATTTCTCATTGTCGAGCAACTTAATAATATAGTCTGATCATGTGATCGTGCAATTAGTTTCCATTCTCCATTAACATTGCTGCTTGCAGTAGTGATACAGTATTATTTTTATTCATTTTTACTCTGTACATTATTATACTTAGTTACGTGTATTTTTTTACTTTTAACTAGTTGACGTTGAAATGTAATGCCTATCTTTTAGTTATTAATTTACGTTCAAATTAGAATGACACTTTAGTATGGTTGCCTTGGCCTTCTCTCCCGTTGTTAGAATTCTATCAGACCAACCGTTACAATAAGAAATATGAAATTCGCACGGGCGCTCTTCGATCTTCCATTTCGGTTATTTATTATGTGTAGGTTAATTTACTGATATATCGGTATAAATAAACAGTTGGTGAACAATGTGTATTATCGTTATTAAGTTACTAACAAACCGGTTGTGTTGTGTGTGCTTACGCCCTAACAAAAGCATGTGTTTGTGACTTTTTTTTCTCCACAGTCTCGCCAGTTTGGCGCAGGTGATAATAAAACCTTTCTGTTATATGTTAATTAATAATTTATGCTGAAATATTGGCTTTGTATGAATCATAGACATTTATTGTCCTCCTGACAATACTGAGGACTAAAGACTGACAAGCAAGCCCTTCTGTTTATTACGTACCTAACGGTCGTTATCTCTATTTCTCTATATGTGGTTAATGTAATTTAGTCCAAATGTGATATGCTGAAGAAAGGAGCTGTGTTTTCGAGAAGCAATAACATTGTGATAAGTAGTGTCGAGGGTTGTACGCATGTTTAACAGAAGAAGTAAAAATGGTTAATGTTAAATTAATGTGTCAATTATAGAAGAACCGTGTGGCTGACCTCACAACCGCTAGAGATGCTAGCAGAAATATTGTCGTGGCTTTAGATGTTTTCGTACATCTGAATTATAACAGAGTAACCTAGAAGTTGTGAGTATAATCCCATGGTGATCGGAGAATTTCATTTAACTCACAAAATTCTGTCAGACTCATCAAATTCCAACCCGAAGCATAAAATTATTGTAGACAGATTTCGTGTATTTTGTGTAACGTAAGTTTCATTTTTGCATAGAAATATCCAAATACATATAGTGTAATGTCTACTTTCCAGTAAGCTTGAAGGACCATTAAATTTATTGATTGTTGTCGTCAAATTATGTGACTGTGTTTAAATGTAAGTTTCAGCATAAATTATCCGAATGGTATAGTTACGAGAGAAGTTGCCGGAATACTCATTGTGAAAAAACATTAATTATTGTTGTATAGATGATAAATAATGTGACTTACGCAGGGATGGAAACTTAAATTATTAAAATTTTAACTGATATATTGGCTATGTAGTGAGTAGAATATTTTTTTACAAATAAATTATAGCAGCTATTCTTGTTTATTTAATTTTATTCAAACCCTGCCCGAAGTAAAACGTAGTGATTATAATTATACTCTTCGATCTGCCCAGTGCTTTGTGGATATTGGAATTTTACTTTGCTCTCTTTCTAAAGTAATGATGCTCAGAAAAATCGTATATATAAAGATTTTGCATGAGATTTCAGTGTTAGAAAATATTAGAACCATAATAAATACGAAGGAACAATAAAGGGGTCTTTTCAAATATTAAATAAAAGGAAATATTTTAGCAACGTGATTTATTTAGGTCCTAAGTTACAGTCACTATGGGCCGTTTGATGGCCTGTCTCGCCCGTCGACGCGAGTCCTTCGCTTTCTTCTCTCCGACGGCGACCTTGAACAGCTGCTCACTTTCGGACTGCTCGATATCACGTCGCATCCATTGGAGCGCGTGCAGGTTGAACCCCACCATGTCCTGTCGATTCAGGAAAGTCAATTTAAATGTTCGCCGTCGTCAACTCGACTCAAACGTGAGGTCTATATGTCGATTTGAGGACGGGACTCTCCGATTCATAAAAGGTTTGATCCACTGCTAAATGCGGCCCGGCCCTCCTTCGTTAGGTGGTGAAACATGACCGTAGGCCCTTATGAAGACCAGTTCACATGCCACAATGGTTTAAAAGATATATTGGAATTGTTAAACATCGGATATACTTTTATAATCAGTTGCCTCGTTATATTGTTATGTAGGAAAACTGCAATGCTAGGGTAGTTAGCATGATCCAGTGGTGTATGTTGCATATGACTGTCACTTACCATCAGATGACCTGCTTACTCGCTTGTTTCCTTTTCCATAAAAAAAGTACATTTTTATCAACAAAAAGACAAAACCTACTTCAAATACCTCATTCGAAGTACATTTCTATTTGATATATTTAGCCTATAGTCCAAAGTCCAATGAGTTAATATGGGAGTTAAACCGAACCCAATCCAAGAAGAATCGGAAGAATTTTTAAAATCGGTTCATAAATGTCGGAAGTCTGAGGTAACAAAGATAAAAATAATACCAAATCGACTTATTTGAAGTCGGCTGAGAAAAATCGTCGTTCACCAATGACATTATCCACTAATACTAGGTGGAAGTGACACTAGCGCACCGAAACTGAGGCACATAGGTTACGCCAATTGGTGTAATTAGATTGCAACTCTATAGACTGTCTCATTCCGGATCATACGTCGTACATCATCCGTCACATTCACTTATATACGTCATATAATTTAAAGCGGAACAATTTGCTAACGCCACGCATATAAAGATGCGTCATCTTAAATTTGTAGAAAAAGTACGCAAAGAGTATCGCCGCTGTATCTACAAATTTAATGTTCAATCTTAAGTGCAGAGATTAGCACTATAAAAAATGTAAATGCGTCATCTTGATTAAAAAATCATTTGCCAAGTAGCAACTCAGTTGCAAAGGTATTGGCTTCCGCGTCGGGGGTCGTGGGTTCGATTCCCACACGGGACATCTATTTGTGTGACCCACAGATATTTGTTTCGCATCTGGATGTTATTGCAAAGCGTCTTTACAACACAGGATGATACTATCCTAAAGTAAGGAAAATGTTTTAAAAAAAGCAACAAAATATTGTCGTTCACGGGCTCACCCTCAGCTCGGCGAGGCGCATGGCCGCCTTGGCCTGTATCTGGATGAGGTGCTTGAGCAGCCGCCGGTCGGCGAGCAGCGGCGCTCGGTGAACTCGCAGCAGGAAAAGCGCGGCGCGGCACAGCAGCTCGGTGCGCTCGCCGCGCTCGAGCAACGCCGCCAGCGAGCGCACCATCTCGCCCGCAGCGCTCAGCGGCAGCAGCAGCAGCGCCTCCTCCAGTTCGCTGCAAAAACACTTCCGCTGAGGAAGGGCTGGCAACGCCGCATTGCGAGCGAACCGCTTTGCTTAACGCTGACGCTTTTTTTAATACTTTTTTACCTTAAAGGCATCAGAGAAATTAAATCGGCCAGACTATTTATATTAAATAAACTACATAAGCCGATGCTTGGGCTGTATGATGAGCGGGTAGAAGTTACAGGTTGAAAACTATAAACCTGGTATACGACATAATAAATTAATTAAAACATGTAGAAAAAGTACGAAAAGATTGTCGTCGCTGTGGGAATCGAACCCACGTCTTCGGCATTCGCGGCCTGACGTGTAGGTTTCCTCACGATGTTTTTCTTCTCCGCTGAGCTCGCGATAAAACAGCAATTAACAATTTCATCGGTGAAGGCACTCAAGTATATTAAATTAAAAGCGATCACCGGTACACTGAGCTCTAACTACTAAACGGTTACAAAATACAAAGTAAAAAGTAAAAGCCTATACATGTCCCACTGCTGGGCAAAGGCCTTTTCTATACAGAGGGTATCAGGGCATAGTCCACCACGCGGCCCCACTGCGGATTGGCGGACTTCACATATCTTCGAAAATATATTTTTTTGTTATTATTTCGAAAATATGCTGGTTTCCTCACGATGTTTTCCTTCACCGCGGAGCACGTGATAAGTCAGCACTTAAAGTAAAAAACTTCATTGGTGCCGGCACCGGGGATCGAACTCAGGTTGCTCGAGTATATTGAATTAAGGGCCCGGACACTGAACTATCACGGCTCGATGGAAAATACAAACTAACCTGGACCGAATTTTCTTAAGAACCTCAAGTAGAAAGTCCTCCGCCGTGTTACAGTTGTAAGCCGCCATGAGCATCGGAGGCTGAACGAATTGGCCTCTCGCCTCCGCCACTTGCTTTTGGTACTCCGCCCCCACGGAGAGGCATTCTAGCAGCGAATCAGCCTGAAAAGATATAGGTTAAGATAAAATGTATTAAGTTTCAATCAAACCAATAATATGTAATAATAATGTACTAAAGCCATGGCCTTGGTCGGTGTTTATAGGAATGTTTTTTTTTTAATTTTGTAGTCCTTATTATATAGTCAATAGTATGTTCCTACCATTACTTCCATACAATCGTTTGATAAAATTTCAGTACTTACAGCTTTCTCGGCGCCTATAGTTTTCTTCGTTGGCATATTTAATCCAGGCAAACCGGGAACTGGTGCCTGTTGAATGAAAAGGAATTTAAAATAACAGTAATTATAAATCAAATAATCAATCAATTATCATATCAAAATAAAAAAATGTCTGTGTATGCTTCTTTAGCGTAACAAAAGAAACATAACTAAAAATTCATAACATATATTTGGCATCCGCTGTAGAACTAAGATAACCGACATAGCTCAGAGGATTAGCAAGCTGAAGTGGCGATGGGCTGGCCATATAGCTCGTAGAACCGATAACCGTTGGGGAAGAAAGGTTCTCGAGTGGCAGCCTCGTACTGGCCATCGCAGTGTGGGACGACCCCCCACTAGATGGAGTGACGACCTGTGCAAATGTGCGGGAAGTCGATGGATGCAGGTGGCTCAGGATCGTACTTCGTGGCAGTCCATGGGGGAGGCCTATGTTCAGCAGTGGACTCAAAGAGGCTGAAATGATGATGATGATGAGTGCACAAATCTGTGTGAGGAGTGTAACAGACCGAAGTAAAAGTTATGTAGCTTTCTACGCCAAAATCGGCCTTTGTTTTAATTTGGATCGAAAAAGGTAGTCGTTTTGGGTAGTTTCCTGACATAAAGTCAAAATCACGATTTTCTTAATTAGGACCCTTTAAATCTAAAGGCTGGCAAAGAATTTCAACCGTCATAACTATCACGGGTCATGAGATACAGCCTGGTGACAGAAGTTCAAACAGACAGACGGACAGCGGAGTCTTAGTAACAGGGTCCCGTTTTAACCTTTGGGTATGGAACTGTAAAAAAAAGTGAACGAATGAGTGAATGAAAAAAACGTGTAAAGGTGAACGAATGAGTGAATGGCGCTCACGTGCTGCTCCCCGGTGGCGAGCCCCTCCTCCGCCTCGTCCGCGTCGCCTAGCACTAGGGGCTCGTCGGTGCGCGAGAACAGCCTCAGCGCGCCGTCAGCGCCGCACGACGCCACGTGCAGCCCCCCCGCCCCCACGCTCATGCCCCAACAGGCCCCCGCGTGGCCCTAGCGTCGACAATAACAAATAAAAACAGGGTGGCTTTTCTAAATGTATCCACTTTTTTTATTAGATTCTAGACATAAAAAATGATAAATATTTAAAATCACTCGTAAGTAATTAATTACATTCATTTGAACTTATCTCAAAAATTGCGTGATTTATACGCAACTTATTTATACATCACGCGATCATCATCAACTCATTTATACATTTATCAACACACACAAGTTCGTGCACAATAAAATTTAGATATTTATGAATGACTACCGCATTGTCAACACGTTCCTTTTTTTTAGGGAATAGAATGGCATTTTTTTGGAAAAAACGTTGTTTCTTATTGCAATAAACGATTATACTACCGAGTCTGAACCTCCGGTGTAAATTTGGGCACTTCTCAAAAAATCTCCCTGTATTTCGGTATTACACAGTTAGCTGTGCAGTTACCTAGTACCCATAGTACAGAGCTTGTACTACGGGTACTGGGTAAATGATAAGCATACATTTCTTTTGTAAATAAATACATATTATCTATCTATCTAATACCTTTAAACGAGCAATTCTTGTGTGTATATATATATATATATATATGGTCCTCCAGGTACTGGCTATGTAAACCGGAAAATAGGTGCACAAGTGCGGGTAACTTTGATAAGTGCGAACGTTTAGAAGTTAGGGCGTGTGTTATGTGTGTGCGTGTACGAGTGTGTGTGTGTGTGTGCTTTAATAAGTACATTTTAGAAACGTATAAATACAAATCAACTATAAAAACACTATGTTTATTCATCACACAATATTTATCCAGTAGTTGGGATCGAACCCACACCGTCTGGCGTAAGAGACAGGGTCACTATTCACTACACCATATGGGTCGTCAATAAAATCGTTGTCAATATCTCATTACATATATAAAAGTCTACAGCACTAGTGACCCTAGCGTCGATAATCATCATTGTCGATATCGATAACGACGTATCAACACAATCCAGTGTTTTTATTGAATTTTATTCCTCCCCGTTATTTAGTGGCAGTTGATTTCAGGGACATTTTTAGCAGTCTTCTACACTGGTGGGGCGGGTTTTTTTATGTGATAATGTGGCACGCACCTGATGTTAAGTGATAGCCGCCGCCTATGGACATTTGCAAACACCCGCAGGGTGGGGTTGCAGATGTGTTGCCAGCTTTTAATAAAGACAAAACCGCCACTCACGTTAAGGGTGATGATGTTGTCGTACGTGTCGGCGTCCCACTGCTTCACGCGGCCGTCCTTCGAGGCGGTGAAGAAGTAATGGGTGGTGGGGACGAACTGGAGCGCTGTGACGGAGTCGTTGTGAGCGAACAGCGAGCGGTGGCAGTCGCCGAAGTCGGCGCCCCACACCTTTACGTTGCGGTCCGAGGAGCCGGTCGCGACCAGCGCCGAGTCGTAGCTGATGTCCAAGCAGAGCACGGGCAGCTTGTGCCCGTACAGCGACAGGAAGAACTGAGGAATATTATATAAATGAATATGTAGTGTACCCGTGTAATTATTATTTTATTGTCAATTAGAATAATTCTACAATCATAATTATAATTTAATAAAGAATGGGGCACACTACACGGGTACACTACAAGTACATTAATGACAATAACCCCGGGGAATGAGTTGATCGCTCCCAAGCTATTTCTAAAGGAAATAAGAAAAAAAAAGTTGTATATTTTAATTTTTTTCTTAAGAGAAAAAAATGACAAGAAAGAAGATACCTGCGGAGTTTCATTCGCCTGTTTACTCTCCGTTAGAGGAACCTCATTAGGAACCGTTTTAGATTAAAAAAAATGACTTATCGTTAGATGAAATGTACGTTTCTTATGACGATGAATAAATGTTTTTGATTTTTTTTCCGGATGGCGGCAGCATCGTAATAGCAATGCTCATAGATAATAGGCACCAACATTTAGGGTTACACAAAATCGCAGTAGGAAAATAAATAAAGAAATTTTTCAGGACAGAGGACATTTGCCACGCAACGTTCTGTAGTCCTGAGGGATATACAATATCGCAGCAGTGCACATTAACACCGTAACGCGGATAGTAATAGCAACGCTCATAGATAATAGGCAACAACATTTGATAATACACAATATCGCAGCAGTGTACTGTCGGAAAATAAATAAATTATTTTTTAGGGAACACATTTGCACGCAACGTTCTCTAGTCCTGAACTAAATAACGCTGAAAATTAAAGAGTACACCGGAAATATAGCTACCATTACTAATTTAAATTACTTCACTTTTATGTTATGGAACAAGAACAACCCGTAAATCCCGGAACGTTTCACAATGATGACATCACGCACACAAAGCCACATTTGGAACAACTCTTCGCGTAAGTTCGTCATATAAGCTTCCACATAAAGAAGTAATGAAGCAATTGAAGAATGAAATATATTATTACTATATCACAGTGTTACTATTAAGTTTGAGTTAGTTTCCTGACAGAGGGGAAAATTTTTACGACAGTCTTATCTACACATTAAAAATTTTCACCTGAAGTGGTTAGATCGACGAAGAATAATCTTAACGTACCTTAAACGTGTCCAAGAAGAATATCTTCACAGTTGAATCCATCAAGGCCACCGCAATGAACTTGTTGTTCGGGCTGACTTTGACCGCGGTAACTGCCTCCTCTAATTCTAGTGTCCTCGTGTGAAGTATCGATAGTACCTAATAATAAAGATATATTTTTAAGATTTTACAGAATATATGTAATGTAATATTTATATCTGATAATCTCACCTTTGCCTTGGATTCACCGGTAGGATCGGGAATGAGCTCGAATTGCCATATCTTCACGGTTTTGTCGGCGCTACCACTGTAACAGCCTCGCTAAAATTGATGATGTTGGATAATTAATTTATAGAATTTATTATACAATATGACACAAGTAAACAGTAGGTTTAAACAAATCAATTAGTATGTATTTACAGCTCTTTTTTTTTTTTTATGTGAAAAGTTGCCAAAAGAGCAGACGGTTCACCTGATGTTAAGTGAATACCGCCGCCCATAGACATCTGCTACACCCGAGGGTTTGCAGATGCGTTGACAACCTTTTTGGAAATTGGGCTCCGGCTACCTCACTCACCAGACGAAACGCGAAAGTATTTGTCATACTTACTTTACGCCGGTCTTCTGTGAGGTCGTGGTACTTACCCGGACGAGCCTGCCCATTCGTGCAACAGCCGAGGCTGCTGCGTGGCTCTACCACCGATCCAGAAATTACTTAAACTACATTTAAATAGGTTTATATGTCTTAAATGAGGAGGCCTATGTTCAGCAGTGGACTCAAACAGGCTGAAATGATGATGATAATGATATATCTTAAATTATATTAAGTATAATTACTTAGACAAGAAATGTATTGAACATGAAAAAGTATCTGCAAAGAGAATAGAATTTTGTCGAGAAACATCAGTACACCGAGAAACATAATAAATCCTATCACAAGTAACACTCCGTCAACAGCATCACCTCTTACAAAGTAACACTTCGAAGAGAGAAGTTTCACTTCGCGGAGACATGTCTACACGGAGAAATGTAATCTCGCCGAGAGGTGTAACTTCGAGAAGTGCGACTTCGTGAAGTGTGATTTCGAGAAGTGCGACTTCGTGAAGTGTGACTTCGAGAAGTGCAACTTCGCAGCGACTCACGAGATCGGGCAGCAGGCCGACCGCGGAGCAGGCGTCGGCGTGCGCGGACACCCGCTCGGAGACGTGCGCGGCCGCCACGTCGAGCAGCAGCAGCGCACCGTCCGCGCAGCCGACCAGAGCGTGGCGGTCGCCGGGCGCGAAACAGGCGCAGCACGGCCTCCCGCCCGACAGCGGAACGGTGCGCACGCACGCCTGGCTCGTCCTGCGGGCCGGGCTCAACGTTACCGCCAGCGGCGGATGCGAGAAAGGGACGGAGCGATGCAGCGTGGACTGCTGTCGCACACCGCCGCGCGCGTGATACGAACCGGACACGAATGCGGCCGCAATTCACAAAAAACATCACTTACGTTAGTCAGAGGTAAAACACCTCCCTCATAAAACATTCCCTACATAACCACGAGATAAATGTCGGTTTTTTGTATTCGGAGAATTCAAATTTTGCAATGCATACAAGATAAGAGAGACAATATGTTTTTTTATTTATTATTTTTTCAGCTCTGTTTCCTGAAAATTGCTGTTACTGCTCACTGTCTGGTGGAATAGTACTATTCATTTCTAATTATAAAAATTACAAAAGCTGAAGAGTGTAGCAGAGGATATATGAATCCGAGGAAGTCAGGGACTATTTGGTCACGTCTACGGATTGCCGTTGAAGTAGTAAACCACAATGAAATGGTATTATAGTGTATTATAGGCAAGATAGGAAGTATTTTTCTATGTACGGCATGAAATCTCACCGATTCCAAAGCTTCACCGAGTCCGCGGCGGCAGAGAGCACGGCCAGGTTGTCGGAGCTGATCGCGACGCACCGCGGCTCCTTCTGGTGCCCGTGTTGTGTGATTTGTTTCAAACATTTCACTGCAACGGAGACGGTTAGCTATTATCACATGCCTTGCATCTCGTAATTACAACGCAGACTTCTCTGCGCCATGCCGTTAACATAACAGAGCTTTGACAGCGCCATCTGAATTCTCCTTTAATAGTTCGGTACCTACTATAGGAATATACTGAATTGCTTTATATTGCAGTGACTACGAACCTTGTCGCTACGAGATGGGTGTTTTTGATTCAAGATCATAAGTACTTTACTAACTGTATACATAGTTTAATTCATTAAAATTGAACTTCACATTCAACAAGAGAGCTTATTCCTCACTCAAATAGCAACGTATCTCTGACTTGTCTGGTGTTGCGAATGTTCATGGGCGGCGGTAAACACTTACCATCGAGTGGGGCGCCCACTTTATCAATAGAAAAAAAAACTGAATCTTATCAAATATTATCGGTCAATGAAAAAAAAAAAACAATCTTATAAAATATAACAGCTTAACCTTCCCCCTCCTCTCCCAGCTTCAAGCTGTGCAACTCTACGGTGTTGTTAGCGAGCGTGACGCCGACCCGCAACTCTCCCGTGGTGCCCAACAGAAGGGACGCCGACTTGATTTTGGACGACAACTTGACAGACGTCAACCGTCGCACCTCGTCCGAGAGCGTCAGCAACTCGCTCACTTCCGTCGCGTCGGCGTCCGCTTGGCCGCTCTCTTTAAGCTTCCTGTGAACAGTTTGTGCAAACTGTACACGAAATCCCGAAACAACGTTGCTTCCGACTGATTATAATATTGTGCTAACGATAGATTTTTTTTTACTGCAATTTAAAATGTTATAATGACTGCTTACTTTAAGTTTCAATATTCAATAGCGTGAAACATTATATAATGAAATATGTTTAAGTAATAACAACAAATAAGAAATTGTAAAACACGAAAAGATATTAAAATAACCCTAAAAAAAAACTTTTTCTCTGTTTAAATCAGATTGTTTCTTGATGGCACAGTTTTTATTCTATAGAGCAGCATTTTTACGATCCCTGCAGCATCGACTTCCCGCTCATTTGTACAGGTCGTCACTCCATCTACTGGGGGGTGATTTATTGTTCTAAGCAACAAGTGACAACTAACGCTAATTTCTTCCTCAGTTTCTTAACCCGTTTCGACATTCTCGCCTTGGCCTCGTCATCAGTGCAAAAGGAGAACACTTCGAGAAGCGAGTCAGTCCCGAAACAAGCGAGCACCGTCTGACCAGGATCCGAGCATAGACCTACAACACGACCTCTGCCACCGCGTATCAACGTGCCCACTTGATGGCATTGTAAGATCTGAAATATTAGAAGGCAGTTCTTAATTTACATAACAAAATTTAGAATGACACATTACTTCGTGCATATGTGTCTGTGATAAAGAACAACTATGACATACAAAATGTAAGTTAACATTAAATGTAAATTTGAACTATTATGATCAGCATCATAGATGGCAAGTTAATTGGCTTATGGTTAACAATAAAAATAAATCAAAAAATAAAATATCTCAGTTCACTCATGTAACACGTAAAGAAGACGTAACAAATTAATTTTACATAATGATATCTATAATTTTAAATAAAATTTTTATTGCTAATTGCACTTGAGATTAACATTTGCATATGATATATAAACATTAAAATTTGTAGAAAAAATTGAAAAGTTTTCGCCGTTGCGCATGCATTGCTTCATATGCGAAAAATTAATGTAGATAAAATACGTTGAGATTTACGTCGGTGTGGCAATTAGTCAGCCATCAAGCGTCAGGGCGCGAATCCGGAAGACGTACGAGATCCGGCTGCATCATATTTTATGTAAACAGGAAAAACAAGTGAATAAAGTTTTTTTTGAAAAATCAATTAACAATATTTTAATTAAGATAATTAGCAGCTACATTTTGATAGACAACCTGGTAGATATATATTCTCCTACTCAAAGATATGCGTAAAAATTTGGTTTGTAGCAACTACTCAATGAGTGCACTTATTCTGCAGCTGGATCTTAGATCAGTGGGTTTGATTCCCACAGCGGAGAAAACTATTTCTACAAACTTTAAGAGATATATAAGTTTTAACATTACATCTTCTATTTTAGTGAAAATAATTGTTTGACAATTTTCGTAATGCATGTAATGTAATGTTTGTAAAAACATATGGTTAACAAAGATAAAGATTTTGTTAGATCTTTGCTAACCCCATATAACAAAACTTATATACACCAAATAAAAGTGTATTTTATTTTCTATCAAAAGAAGTGTAAACATATTGAGATGACTTACAGAGTTGTCTTCGGTGGTTTCAGCTTCCTCAATTTTTGCAATTTCCAATTGATGTAATACTTTATCTTCTTCCTTCATCTTATCTGTCCAATTTAATTTCCACACCCTTAATTCTTGATCCATGCTGCCCGTAACCAAATACCTTTCTTCTTTTAAAAGTACTGATGACCATACCTGAAAAATTTTAATCGCAAATTTTAAAATACATCACCAACAACTGTTTTAAAAGATACACTTGGTAACACAAATATTTAATTAGGCTTATAAAAACATTCACACCTCCATTTGATGTCCACCTAAAGTCTTGAAGCAATGTTTTGTCTCAATATCCCAGAATTTAACAAAAGTATCCTTAGAAGCGCTGATAACACAGTTTTTGCTATTTATAAAAATAACACTTGTAATTGCACCTTTGTGGCCACTGAACCTTGCCACGCCAGTTTCAGACACAACATCCCAAAGAATGACTTCAGTATCCTGTTGAATAATTGGAATATTATATAATGACTAGAAACAAGTGACAATTTTGACTGTGTTGATCTTATAAAAAAAAAAATGTTTTGTATAACTAACTTATAAATACTGAAATATAAACTTTGCAGTAAGTTTACTATTTTCAAAATTGTTAATAGGCAATGTAAAGAAACACAAAAAAGATTGTGATAATATGTTTAGGAAGGTTAACAGTAACACAACAAAATATGAAGGAAGTGAAGTATAAAAAAAATATTCAATTTATAAAATTTTAGGATTTTGTACTTAACAGAAACTCAAACTAACATAAAATTATTTCTATCAGAAAATATTGAAGTAAATTGTAACTATAACTATAATACCTTTGAACCAGAAACTATTCTGTGACCCTGTTCATCATATTGTAAGCTTGTAACTGCAGACTTATGTCCAGCAAAAACACAAACTATTTCATTATTTGTTAATTCAAAAACATTTACATTGCCATCAACATAGCCAACAGCCATGTGATTTCCTGTAGGACTTGCTGCTATCTGTGAGACAACCACATTCTCACCAGGTACGACTTGAGCCTTGAATGAAGAATAAATAACAATATTACAATTCACTGCGTAGTTAACCACATATTACACACTTAACATATGGCTGGAATTATAAATATTATTACAATTATAATTTGTATTCAAAGAAAGCATAAAAAAAATAACTCAACTTCATTCGTACCTTTTCTCCTAGTCTCATATCCCAAATAATAACATGTTCACAAGCTCCAACTGCTATATATCTTCCACTTATACCATTTAATGAGACATGTGTACTATTGCAATCTTGACTTGCAATTATATTAAAAGTGCCGCTTGGTGCGTACCGTAAATATTGTTTTGTAAGACCCATTATCAATTTAAACCGAACTAACCAAAAATGTTTTCATGCCCTAAGATAAAAGATTGCATTGCAGTTTTTTGCACATTGTTTTGACTTTTGAAATTTGATTGATACAATTTCAGTGTTGCAAAAGTGTATAATTTAAAAAACGTTTTGCTAGTTTAGAATTGGAACAAATCAAGAGATTTTACTCCGAATAAAAGAAGAGTATTTTATGGTGAAGGTTTCAATTAAAATAAAAATCTTCAATATCGTAAAAGACTGTCTGTCTCAAAAATCACAACACTATCTCCACTAAAAAACACAAAAGCATTCACTTCGCAGTTGTCTTATTCCCAGCGTGACCAGATTTCATTTGACGAATCTACTGCTTGTCGAGGTTAAAAACTACTGAATTTTACCAAAAGAGAACGAGAAAACAATAAAATCATAAATCTAGTATATTTTTTGCTGTCGTGTAACCTATAAACATGATTTTTCTTGATTAAACGATAAAGTAATAAAAATAACAAAGAAAACAATGTTTTTTTTTTAAGTTAAATTCTAAACGAAAATATAATTAAAAAAATAAAATTAAACCTAAAGTTAAGATTTTTCGCCTTTATGTTGGGTAGCATTGTCATAAAGCTGTTTTGAGTCCATATGATCATACTTCTGTTACGATCAAATCTCCTACATCCTCCTTCCAACTGACCCCTCGTAACCCTTCTTTTCCATACATTATTGCATGCAAAATTTTTATTATTACATCGGTTTGGATCTTAATTTTTAATCCTATTAATATCGGAAAATATTCTTTCTACTTTGGCGTTTGCCAAAGGTACTATCGTCATTTGCTTCACAAATCGGGACAAATTGCCATACTTTGGTTTGCTATTAACATCACAGATTTGGCTGACATCACTACAAAATGTATCCACCAAAAACTTCAGACATCTAACTAGCAGTTGACAGTGATTGTTTTTTAACATAATGCAGGTTCACGCTACTGCATAAGTCGAAAGTATTAAAAAAAAAGTCTTAACAAGAATAATTAACTAAGAATTACATTCCACATATTAACGTTAGTAACTTGCATACCTGAGAAATGCCGGAATATCCTTTCATATTTTTTATATGCTTTGATGTAGCCATGTGTTCCTTCAACGACGCCAGTCTACTTAGTACTTCACAGTTGCATGCTTTACAATGAACACTCGTAGTGTTTACCTTAGATTTACATAACCAACTTTTAAATGAGGGATATTGCTCTCATTCATCGCGATATCCTTGTGTATATTTAAGTTTCATTTAAAACTCGATTATAAAAATTCTCAATAAAGGAATTCCCACTAGTCTATCACACTCTATGCTCACGGCACGAATCTAACGACCAACAGAATGAACATTATGTAGTAAAAATCCATTCTATGAAAGGGGGAATACCCCGCATTTATCCTCTAAGCCAAAAAAGTACTAGAATAACTGAAAAGCGTGAATTCTACTAAAACATACCAAATAATTTTTACATATTAAATTCTGTTGCCAGTACCTCAAAATCTACCATAAAAGTTGAAATCTACTAAATCTGGTCACGCTGCTTATTCCGCAATGAATACCCCAAATATCAGTAAATTCGTTAATTCCCTAAAAATATTTACCTAGAAATATATTCCAGCAAATAGGAGGGAAACCATACCATTTCTTTCCGATACATATTACTCTGTGGAGCAGATTTCACTGATTATATATATATATATATATAGTTATTATATATATATATATATATATATATATATATATATTATAAGAAAGTACTCTTTGCTGACTGTGAAGTGTGGACAAAACCAGACAAAACACTTTCATTTGTTGCCACTGTACTAAATTTAATAATGTGTTATAATAAAAATAATTATTTTTACTCATAGTTAAAGAAGTTATTATTCTCCTATATAAGTAATGTAATTATGTACTCTAAATTGAAAGTGTTAGATCTATTTTTGGAATTGCTGCAAGTGTTCTGTCTGAATCGAAACATTGCTATGTTATTATTATCTGCTGTAACCAAGTTAACCCTGTTTTCTGATTTTGTGACTGTTAAGTGTTAATAAAACATTTCGATCACTTATTCATTGCTGATTGCGTTAAAATTCAGATCTTTCTTTTTATGAATTAAACGTTGAGAACATTCCTATTTGTTTGCATTTTATTTGATCATAGTTTTGTACCATTCAATATTAAAATTTCTGTAGTTCAAGACTGCCATCAGGTTATTATGTTACTCAACAAAACCAGGTTTATTGTTTTTCTTCACCTAACGCGTTAGTCTGATCCTGAATTAACCACTTACGTTAAATGATGGTTACGGCAACTACATAACATTTGTTAAATTCTACCCTTAGGCTAGTTGGATTCACTAATCATCGAATGAGCAAAATGGAGAGCAATTCCACGTCGGACATTATTATTTTGAGCGGAAACTCACATCCAGAGCTTGCAGATCTGATAGCTGAGTAATTGAAGTTATTTAACATAATATAAAGATGTTAATTAGTTACATTATTACATACTTACATTATTTTCTGCAGCCGTCTTGGTGTGCGAAAGGGAGGATGTTCAGTATACCATAAAACTAACCGTGAAACTATGGTGGAAATCGCTGATTCTATCAGAGGCAAAAATATTTACATTGTTCAAACTGGTACAAAGTAAGTTATTTTCTAAATTTTTTTTCATATTACTCACAGATTTAAATCAAATTGTTTGTATTTCCTTAAATTACATTCCACTAAAAAGGAAATAGGTTATGAATATTCTATTGATATTATTCCTGAAATGTTATGGTCCTGCAAAACTTAATTTATTAAAATATTTTATTTACAAAGATGTAAGTAAAATTATAACTTCTTTTAAGTGTAAAGATGTGACTTTAAAGAGAATAATTAAGATTGCAAGTTCTTATTATGTTTAGTTTTAGACTGGCTTTTCATGACTACCGCCTGATGTAAAGATGGAAGACACTTTAGCGCAGTAAAGATTGTATGTAGGGATGTTCCTATACCCACAAAGTATACACACCAAAAAGTACCTACTTATATTAGTAGTAATCATATCATTTTTTGATACTACTGTAAGTGCTGATACCTATAAAGTATTGATACTTACTCAAATCAATACTTTTGAGATTTGTTTTATGCGACTGATGTAATTTAATGATACAATGACTGATTCCTTCTTGTTATGGTTCCAAACTATATGATTGGATTGCCACTCAATCATATAGTATAAGAATCTTAAGTTAGTAGATCATTCAGCTGAGATGATCAATCAAATGGGATTTGCATAAAAGCCTTTAATATTTGCAAATATTTTTATTTTTCCACCAATGTGGTTTGAACACTGTCTTTAATAACCTTCCAAATTAACTATTATATGCCACCCTGAATAAAGATATAAATACCCCCCTGATAACAGGATTTTTAATGTTTTTTTTTTTATTAAACTTTTTTTTGTTGTCTTATTGCTTAATTTCTGCTAAACTCATTTGAGTTGGTATTGGTTCAATACTGAATGCTCAAGGTCCATACCCTAAACCATGGACTGGCAGCCTGCCGTACAAGTGCCACTAATAAAGTATGTTGCAATAAGTAATTGTATTTTCATTTTGGTCAGTCCGATTAGATTCAGTCTAATTAATACCTGCTGTAATTTTAATAGTAGGTAATCCCTTATTAAAAAAGAAAGAGCATCAACATAAAACATTTATGATATGAATTTTCATGGATTTCCATTCCCTATTGTTTTATGAATTTTAGTGAAATTGAAAATATGAAACTTAACAATTGAATGGTGAATTTATCAACTTAATAAAACTTTCAGGGATGTTAACAACAACATAATGGAGTTACTGATCTTGGCTTATGCATGCAAAACATCATCCGCGCGATCCATTGTGGGAGTTATTCCCTACTTACCATATAGCAAACAGTGTAAAATGAGGAAACGTGGTTGCATTGTTACAAAGCTTCTGGCTCAAATGATGTGTAAATCTGGGTTAACACACATTATCACTATGGACCTGCATCAGAAAGAGATACAGGGATTTTATGATTGCCCAGTTGATAATTTGAGGGCTTCACCATTTTTGTTGCAATACATTCAAGAAAGTGTGAGTATTTTCTACAAGTTCATCTTTGCACATGTCAGCCATGTTTACTTTTCTTTGTGGAATCCACTATACTAGCTTGGTTTCCTCGAGCCACGGAATTAGCGCCAGTGAGTTGTTAGCGCGTCTTGCCGAGCTTAGAAGCCTGGCTAAGTGCACCGGGGTATGCGCACGTCACCTTTCGAGTGACGCAGGTACTCACCGACTACAGATGCTTCGGTGAGTTAGGTACTCACCGAATACTGCATAGAATTGCATAGAACTGCATAGAATTGAACGCGAAACAACGCCACAATGCCACTACTGTGGAGACCCGGGACTTCGCGCAACAACCAACTTAAGATGAAGATGCCGGGCCAGCATAAACGGAGGCCCTGTAGTCCCCTGACTTTCGTAAAAGCGATTTTGCAGGGACGTTGGGTTCTCGGACTAGCAACAGTGCGAAGTGCTCTCGTTCTGCTGCAAGATGATGAGGGAATCTGGGAAGGTTTATCTTTCTCCTAGGTGTGCTCTTGCGCAGTACATAGGTGCGTTCCGTAGGAGATCCCGGAGTCTCTCTGATTCAAGCGTTCACTTTAGCATCAATTGCTATGATTTACATTTATGTCTATCAGAAAATAGTGTACAATTTGTGTAAGTAAAATGTCAACAACGCTGAGCTAAATAAGGCGCATTTAAGCTATTAGTGGTCCATATAGCATGAGCAAAAAAGCCTTTGTTAAAGCAACAGTTACATAAAGTACTTAAAGTAGTAAAAGTACCTACATACCTACAAAATATATACCTCAGTGGGAAGATGAATTGATGAATAAAATGGAGAGCATTATTTATTGAACATTTCTATTAAGTTGACAACAATAAATTTAAATTTGACAATTACCTTAAATTATAAAGGCAGAATTATTGATGTAACAAATTTATTTCATTTAGATTCCTGACTATCGTAACTCTGTAATAGTGGCACGTAACCCAGGATCAGCAAAAAAAGCCACATCATATGCAGAGCGACTTCGTCTTGGAATTGCTGTAATACATGGAGAACAAAAAGAAGCAGAAAGTGATGAAGTGGATGGACGATACTCCCCACCATGCATTCCGAGGTAAACAAAATACATTAATATCTCTCAACTTAGTGAACACATAGTTACACATTTTAATATTTCGTTGATTCGACTTTTGTTCATTGTTGCTTGGCTCTCACAATGAGAAGTTGAATTGATGACGATTGATGAGACTGATGAGATAGAAATGCATTATTACTGAATGGACTTTTGTATGCTGTATTGCTTTTGTATTTTGTGTTTTGTATAACTTTAAATGAATGTTTTACTGCCGGTTCTATCAGTAGAAGGAACGATGGTTGAGGATTTCGAAAAAAGACCTCTGTTAGATTGAATGGGGTTTATTTCTTCAACAAAGGAATGAAAAATCATCAGTTATGTTAAGTTTATGCTATGACGACAATATGTCCTTTTTTCTTAATTACTCTGTATTGTCGTTTTCTATAAAGATCTCTGCTCTCTGTCACTGGCCCTAACTAAAAACATTATTTAATACATATTACACCCCACAAAATATGCAAACTTATACCACAACTTAATTGAATTCGACACACGGTTATCACTAAGTGCAATAGGTGATCTATTACTATTGACCTACCTTACCTAATGCGTTACCCTACTCACCAAATATTTCCAGTTTTTCTGATTGAAAAAAAAACTAGCAACCATTCATAATACTTCAAAATAAACATACAATGTGATTATCATGATTCACCTTAATATGTTACCCATTTATGAAACAAGTTCTGAATTTATTTTTATAAAATTCAAGCATTGATTCATAGTAATTATTAATGTAACCAGAGATGAATTATAGCAATGATACCAGGATTTGTATTTAAATCATACATAAAATTGTGATAGTGTGTGATAAAACTAATGTAATGATTTAGTGTTGACAGATCCCGTACAATGGATGTTTCCGTTGGTGTGCCTGTACATCCAGCTAAAGAGAAGCCACCCATAAATGTTGTTGGTGATGTAGGAGGAAGAATAGCTATCATGGTGGTAAGGATATAAAATTTTTCTCTTTTTTGGTGTAACTGGAATGCATATGAAAATGAAGAAAATGTGAAAGGTGCAATGTTGTGATTTTTCTTTTTTACAATCTTAAAATATTCAATTATCTTCTTCTTCTACATATACTGCGTGTCGTTACCATCGCGACAATAAATGAACACACGTCTAACGCTACTTGCCAATAATCATAAAAAATATTAACGTTAAAAAAAATCCATAAATATTTTTTTTTTTCAAACAAACTAATTAAGTAAAAAAGAAACAAAATTTGTAACATCCTATACAACTCGCGCCACAGCGTCGCATTACAAGCCTCTCCTTCTTGTTAGAAGAAGAACATACTGTTGTATGTTTTGTCTCATTTAAATTCATTCAACCCATTCATATGCTTTGTGACCTTTGCAAATGAACTTTACGTTACAGTTTTATACGCAAGGTTGTTCTAAAATTCTTTGTTATGGAAAATTTAATAACTCTGTAAATATTGATGTTTAAAGAATGTAAATGTTTAATACAATTTTAAAAAGTTATCCTCTATGTGTGTTCATTTATTGTCGCGATGGTAACGACACGCTGTATATACATATACAGCGTGTCTTTACCATCGCGACAATAAGTTATCCCCTATATGTGTGTTCATTAGAGAAACGAGAATGGGTTGAATGAATTTAAAAGAGACAAGACATACTGTTAGGAGAGGCTTGTAATACGACGCTGTGGCGCGAGTTGTATAGGTGTTACAAATTTTTTTTCTTTTTTACTTAATTAGTTTGTTTGAAAAATTTTTTTTAATTATGGATTTTCTTTAACGTTAATATTTTTTTATGATTATTGGCAAGTAGCGTTAGACGTGTGTTCATTTATTGTAGCGATGGTAACGACACGCTGTATATAAATGAATTGCTGTTCGTTGGTCTTACTAAAACTCGAAAACGGCTGGACCTATTTGGCTAATTTTGGTATTGAAATATATGTGGGCAGTCCAGGGAAGGTTTAAATGCTGGGAAATTATGGAAAAATTGCATGGAAAATGGAAATAGCAACAATTTTATTTTCCCATACAAACTGCTTTTACCTGTCAAATATTTTATACGTGCATTTCGAAAATGTTTAGATCTTTTAGTGTTTCAAGAATTTATGTTAAACAAGCTTTTCGCTCGTGTTGAAGCCCTTAAATAAATATCTTTCAACCCTTTACTACACCTTTTTTCCAAATTAAAAAATAGCCTATGTCCTTTCTCAGGCTCTAGACTATCTGTGTACAAAATTTCATTTAAATCGGTTCAATAGTTTTGGAGTGAAAGCGAGACAGACAGACAGACAGAGTTACTTTCGCTTTTATAATATTGGTATGGATAACTTAAATAATTGCTTTTTAGGATGACATGATTGACGATGTTCAGTCATTTGTTGCTGCAGCTGAAGTGCTAAAGGAATGTGGTGCATATAAAATATATGTTCTGGCAACACATGGCTTACTCTCATCAGATGCACCACGTCTCATTGAAGATTCTCCTATTGATGAAGTTGTTGTAACCAATACTGTTCCACATGAGCTCCAGAAAATGCAGTGTAATAAAATAAAAACAATTGATATTTCTGTACTGCTTAGTGAAGCAATCAGACGCATACACAACAAGGAATCAATGTCTTACCTATTTAAAAATGTTACACTTGAAGATTAGATCTTGAGTATTAGCATATTTAATAGTTATCCTCTAAATTCATATAAACAATCCATATTCTGAGCTACATTCAGAATACAAGAGTATTTTTGAAAGAAATTTTTTTATAGTATATGCAAAAAGTTGATTCCTAGCAAAAGTTTAATCAAATTGTTTCAGGAAAATGATATCAAAAATGTTTATATATTGCATGTTGGTTCTTATTTATTAACTTTAGTAGGTATTATATTTTACTACAGTTAAAAATAAGGTTGACCAGTATTCATAAGATTTATCCAATTAATTTCATATAAACTCCCTGTAGTGCATATAAGTTGTTATTTTTAATAAAAACTGCTTTAGCTACTGCAACTAATTTTGTGAATAAACATAACTACAAAATTCATTGTTTATCCTGATTTTTCTGTAAACTTACTTGTCAGTGACCACACATTGTGATTGATCAATCACATTGACTGTCTGTTTATTATTATTATATTGTGTTATGTTAGTTTTCAAATTTTGTCAATAAAAGTGTACTATACTTACCGTAAATAAAAATTTAGAGAATAGAATTAAATGCTTTAAAAGTATTTCCTTTCTTTAATTCTTGAATGGTAGATGTGGCTAATGGGATCACTTTCAAACCAAAAAGACACGTAAGGACTGATAAGAAAACTATTTATTTCAACTTAATCATTTTGAACTTATTTTTAACGAAAAGAATGACAAAGACGTAATCATTGTAGAATTTATGTAAAATACAAGAGTTATGTCTGATAGGCACGTTACTTCTTTAAGCATTTTTCGGAATCCATCAAATATGACACAATTCAGTCTGAACAAATAAAACTAACATTCCAAATTTAAAGTAAGGGTAAAATTTAAAAACGAGTCGCCTTCGTTAGGGGGGGTGATGTGGTGAGTCACGCCCCCCCACTTGCCCCCCCCCCCCCAACCCCGCCCGAGATGCAGTTTTTTTATTATACAATTTTCAATTTTATTTATTTAATAGAATCTAATAAGAATGCCAAGAAATCTAATAAGAATGGGAGGGTTCTCCTACCTGTTGTTCTTAACCAAGGTTAACAAAAGAAGGGCTATTGGGTGGATATAAGAAAATAACCACGAAGCTTCTAACCTAATCTATCCGAGTCGGATTGCAGATTGCTGTGGAGGCTCAGCAACATTTAATTAAAAAAAAAATTGATCGAACAAATGGCACGAGTATGAAGGAGACTTCATACTCGTGCCATTTGTTCGATCAATTTTTAGCAGTACTGTGTAGGTATGCACTTTTATTAAAATTAATAAATGGTGCGTAATTTCTTAGTGAAAATAACAAGATTTAAATTTTTTTTCTTGTAAACTGAATGCGACCGGAGACTTCTGCTTGTTAATTAATTCATTAGTGATTTTCTCTATCGTTTAATATTTTTTATTATTCGCATCTTCGAAAATACTCTGAAATTTATCAAAATTGCGTTCCATTTCACGTTTCGTAAGACTTAAATTTTAAAAACTAGCTACTTAAGTGTTTGGTACGAACCTCCTTAACCCCCCCCCCCCCAAACTTACAGTGTACTTGAATTCGGGCGACTCGATTCAAAACCCAACCCTAAAGTAATTCAAACATAATACATAAACCAAACAGACATCAAGAGAGTATATATAATCTGAGATTACTAATCAACATTAATAGATAGTGTTATCCTTTAATATATGTATGACCAGATGATATGATAATTGCCCAATACTTACTTAGGCATATTCAAAACAAATATACTGTGTCTTGCCTTATCAAGAGTTTGGCGGGATTTACTTATTATATCAGTATGTGGAAAACCAGCTGTCGGTTCACTCTATGTAAATTGATACCCGCGATGGCAGATGCGTCGCCACCTTTTAATAAAGTGGGCCCCAGCTTAAAATTAAATTTGTAAAGCCATTTGACAGCCGATTACTTGACATCTACGATGATCACGATCAGTGTTTCAGGAACCAGGCGTTGGTGTTACTGACTAACTGTGATCAAATTATAACATTTAAATAAACGATAACTTACTATTGGCTAAAAAGAAATGGACACAGTTTCATAGTGACAACAGCAGAATGAAATCCTCAATAACGACTAACGTGTTGTAGATTGAGCAAGAATAATGAATCTCATCATCTGTTGTAGTAACTACTAACGACCATAGAGTAAAGTAATACTAAAGAAACGCTAACGAAACTATTGAAATGCTAACGACTATGCTACTCATAGAAATGTTGGGATTCCGCCGTTAATATATAATATCAATATTTACAACGTGTTTGATAGAATGAGCGATGATTCATCGACTGAGAAATCAAGTGATAAACATTATAAAATAACTAGCACGTAAACGTAGTGGTTATATTCTCTTTGTTAGCAATGTTTTTTTATTGGTGTGCTGCGCTGTAGTTTTTTATAGGGATGCCGAAAGCTGAAAAAAATATCGACATATCGATATTTATAAAAATATTAATGTCAGCCTCGACATATCGAAAGAAAAATATCGATATACCGGTCAAATTTTCGGTTTTAAAAAAATAATGTATTTAGTTCAGTCATTTTTATATTAAATTCACATTATTTTAATGAATGAGAAATTTTAATAGAACGTTAATTATTTATTAACTTTAATCAAATTTCTTTTATTAATCTAAATTTCTACTTATATTATTTATCAAGACCTTCATTGGAAAAAAACCAAACAGCTTATTTAGTAAGATAAATCAGTTTTCTTTAGCCCTGAATCAAATCAAAAAATAACTAATAAAAAAAATGCAAGTATGTAAAAAAATTATAGAATTATTTAAAGTTAATAATGGGTCAAAAAGAAATCCGCAGAGGCTAGTGCTAAAAGACAGGCCTAGATCAGCAGTTATGTGATATATAATAGTTGTTTGATTGACATGAAAATGCTGAACGACAATTTAAAAAAGTTACTTATGTGTTTAAATGAAAATAATTTTTATGACGTCAAATTATTCTTTTATGAAAGCTGGATTTTACATTACATTTATGCATTTAATTATTGAGAATTTCATTTTAATTAAATTTTGTTCTTCTTTATTTACATATTAAATTAAAGTAACTTTAGTTGATGCCATTAATATTTTGCTGTTTATAAATGAGCTTAACATGTAGTTCAATATTAATGATTTGTAACACCTCTATACCATGTTGTACTTTATATATGGATAGTATAAATTACGAAACATGAAATTGTAGTTTGAATACCATAATTATAATAAAAAAATGCAACACAGCATCTCCGATAATACTAGTCATAGACAATAGTTTTTTTTTTCGTTCATTTTTATGTTTTACGACTTTAAATCAATTTGAATAATAATATCATTTTTGATACGATTTCGATATTTAATTTTTAATATTGATATATCGGATCAAAGTATATCGGCCAAAAATATCGATATTGATATTTTTTCGGCATCCCTAGTTTTTAAGTTTCTTGGGATTGTCAGCTCTGCTTGTCAGCTTGTCACTGTCAAATATACATTTATAGTATAAATATATGCATTTAAGCGTATAAATTTTATACGCTTAATGCTATTTTGCTGCAAACACCAAACCGAGTTGAGAGTACATTTATGGTTTGGTTGGTGTACTTGTACCGCACCCGCACTTTTAAACTTCTGGCTGAGATATGTAAATAAAATACCAATTTGTATGGAGGGAATTATATTACAAAATTTTAGAGAACTCTGTAATTGACAAAGAGTTATTTAAAAAAGTATCTTTCAAAACAGAAAAAATATCTCATCCTTATTTTTATTATAACCTTTGTACTGGAGACTGAGCATAATGATATTTATTAAACGGTTGGATAGTTTATATAACAAATACAGAAGTTACTTATGTATGTACGCTCGTTTACACAGTAGCCGTAACATACTTAAACTAAATGAGCGAGGCATGTATCAAGACATGTTTCCAAACACAGCTGCGTAAGTGGACAATGTTTGTAGCATAATGAGTAAATAAAATATATGTCCAAAATATTTTTTCTATATGTTTTATTACTATTTCAGATTAGACATAAAAAAATTATTAAATAAATGCCCACAATGTGTATATGCTGGATTTGATCCAACAGCTGATAGTTTACATGTTGGTAATCTCTTAGTAATTATTAACTTATTACACTGGCAAAGAGGTGGGCATAATGTTATTGCACTGGTAAGTCTTTAAAATTATTTAAATCTTTTATATGTAAAATGCAGTAAAATTTAATTGCATGTGACCCTAGTTAAAATGACATGGGTGTAATTCTACTTAAAATATTTTTTACAATGTATTATTTTTATAGTTGGGTGGAGCTACTGGATATATTGGGGATCCAAGTGGAAGAAGTTCTGACCGCATTGCAATATCAAGTGATGTAATAGCAAATAATGTTCACTCAATCAGAAGCAACCTTGAAACTGTTTTTGAAAATCATAAGAAATATGTTTGTTCAGAAGGTGAAGATAAACTGAAACCAGTTAGGTAACTTTATGAAATATATGTCAATATATGTTTTTATGCCTAGTTATATTATTGTTTTAAATATTGCAGAATTGTCAACAATGACGATTGGTATAGAAATATAAATTCTATACAGTTTGTCAGTGAGATTGGGCGAAATTTTAGAATGGGAACAATGTTATTGAAACAAAGTGTCCAAAGCAGAATAAGTTCAGAAGTAGGCATGAGTTTTACGGAATTTGCCTATCAAATATTTCAATCATATGATTGGTTACACTTGTTAAAACAATACGATTGCAGGTTTCAGGTAATACTGTCTCTATACAGCATGTCGTTACCATCGCGACAATAAATGAACACACATATAGGGGATAACTTTTTAAAGTTTTATTAAATATTTAAATTCTTTAAACATCAATATTTACAGAGTTATAAAATTTTACAAAACAAAGAATTTTACCCCCTTACCTATAAAAGTGTAACGTAAAGTTCATTTGTAAAGGTCACAAAGCATATGAAGTGATTGAATGAATTTAAAAGAGACAAAACATACTGTTAGAAGGAGAGGCTTTTAATACGACGCTGTGGCGCAAGTTGTACAGGATGTTACAAATTTTGTTTCTTTTTTACTTAATTAGTTTGTTTGAAAAATATTTTTTTTAATTATGGATTTTGTTTAACGTTAATATTTTTTATGATTATTGGCAAGTAGTGTTAGACGTGTGTTCATTTATTGTCGCGATGGTAACGACACGCTGTATATTTTTTCTCAAATTTTTTGCCTGCCATGCCCATAGCATACAGGCAAAAAAACATGAGTTTTATAAATTTTATGTCAAATTTAATGATTCTAACACCATTTGTTTATTATGCTATTGACTAAAAGAAGTAGAATAAATTTTACTAGAAAACTGTCATTTAAAAATGCATTGCCTTATCATAATTGTTATTTGGTAAAAACCGGGCCTGTATCTTAAATTTATTGAAAAGGAATTTTGGGAGCAATTGTTTACTCTTTTATGTACACTTCTGATGTAATATTTGTATTTTTGGTTTTATTTAACAGATTGGTGGCAGTGATCAGATGGGAAACATTTCAGCAGGGCATGAATTGATAAGCAGAACCGTAAAAAAGGATGTTTATGGTAATGTCTAAAAAATAAAACTAAATAAAAAAAGTTTATTATAAATATCAGGTTTCCATCTGTTACTTCCTATTAGGTATGTTAAATGTAAGGAATTGTTCTTTAGTGGTGTAATTGAGGAAAATAAGGATTAATTTCCTATACCATTAACAGAGTTGTAAACACCAAAAAAAATTGAGTTGAGGTAAATATAGGATGCATAGGCGACTCAAATCAAAATCTTAATTACAAGCCCACAGCACATTGCATGTCATAGTCAAGGCATTGTAATCATCATACATCATGATTCACATTAACTTTGTCTCAAAAAGATTTTTACTAGGTTATGATTGCATAATATATTGTTTTTATTTTTTTATGTAGGTTTGACCCTCCCATTAGTTACGACAGAAGAAGGTGATAAGTTTGGCAAGTCAGCTGGTAATGCCCTGTGGTTGGATGCCAAAAAGACAAGTCCTTACAGCTTGTACCAATATTTTATAAGGACTAAGGATTCAGATGTAGAGAGGCTACTGAAGCTGTTCACATTCTATAGTTTAGGTGAAATAAAGGATATTATGTTCAAGCACAAACAGCATCCTGAAGAAAGATATCCACAGATGTGTTTAGCTGAACAGTTGACAACATTAGTCCATGGAGGTAAAGCAAAATAGAAAAGAAATATCCCATATGTATATTCCATTTTGTTAATATTTATTATACAGTGTCGTTACCACTGCGACAATAAATGAATACACGTATTACCCCGACTTGCAAAGAATCATAAAAAAAGTTAATGTTAAAAAAATCCATAATAAAAAATTTTTTTTTCAAACAAACTAATTAAGTAAAAAAGAAACAAAATTTGTATCATCCTATACAACTACAACTGACTGATTCATACATTCAGAGACTTTCATTCGTTGCCACAGTGTCGCATTACTAGTACTCTCCTTCTAACAGTATGTTTTGTCTATTTCAAATTAATTAAACCCAGAAATTTAAATTGTTTATAGTGCTAATCTTTGCACTTAAGATTGAACATTAAAATATGTTGAAAATGGCTAGAGCGTCAGGCTCGAATGCCGAAGACGTGGGTTCGATTCCCACAGCGGCGACAATCTTTTCTTAATAAGTCTGTTAATATTGATGTTTAAAGAATGTAAATGTTTAATACAATTTTAAAAAGTTATCCTCCATATGTGTGTTTATTTATTGTCGCGATTGTAAAGACACGCTGTATATTACTGTCTATGTATTTACAGAAGAAGGTTTGGCAAAAGCAAGACAGGCTACAGGGGCGATATACAGTAAAGATGTAAAATCTCTTATATCCCTCAGTTCAACGGACTTGGAACAAGTGTTTGAAGGTGCACCTGTTGTGAATTTACTTTTGTCGCCTGGAATTACAGTGTTGAAGCTTGGAATGTTAGCAAAGTGTTTTCCAACAGAAAGTAAGTGCGTTAATGGTTGTTGCAATTAATTAATTTTGTTGTAATTAATAAAAAATGAAGTGATTGAAATAGAATGTACAGTTGCCAATATATTTCTACTATTTTATTTTTTTTGCAATATGAATTTATAATAATGCTGTCATATGGAAATTAGTTGCTGAATGAATGCGAGAAAGAATAGCACATTAGGTATGCATCCTTTTAGAGCACACACAAAGAACATTCAATGATGAATATTGTAATGAGAGATGTCACCATTGCTCTTAAAATTTTATTTTTCATGCTAGTCTCTGCACTCAAAATTTAACTTTTAATTGTAAATTTTATTGTGGACAAAAACTTTGTGCTGCGGGATTCAATCCTGCGTCTTCTGGTTTTGCGCCCAGACGCTTTACCAACTAAGCAAGTGGCCGATCACCTCACGGCGCTGAATGTTCATCCAATTTTTATAACAAATAATAAGTTGAATTACTTTACATGTACATTTTGGTTTCAGATGATGCAATGAGAATTATTGAGGCTGGCGGCTTCTACATAAATCACCAAAGAATAAAAAATATTAACGAAGTTGTAACAGAGTCCGCTCATATTCTGCCGAATCTAATATCGCTTTTGAGAGTTGGCAAAAGGAATTATTATATTATAAAGTGGCAAACGTGAATTTTGAACATAATGAATTTCTTTAGTTCGTGTTAATAAAGGTCGAAATAAAAAACATTTATTTGATTATAATCGTTATTATTACTTACAACAGAAGCTTGTATACTTGTAGTATATAATTAATAAAATGCGTATCACATAAATGTCGTACATACTACATAACATACTTTAGCTTAGAGTAATGTTCACTGAAATAGCGCAGCTAAAATACAACTAATTAATGCACTGTCAAGTCGTAAATATCATAAAAATATGGCTACTCATAATACAACTCGCAACGTTTTTGTGCATCGCCCGATGGACTTATGTAATCAATCTCCCTAATATCACAAGGAATAATTATCGTAACATTTCTATATTGTACAAAAATCTCCTGCGTTAAGAACATTGTTGGATAATAATAAGCTTAGTTTGTGGCGTGCGATATGTCTCTTTTGGAATTATCTCATGCTATTGCAATGAATACGTACGATCGTCATCGAAAATACCTAGTTTATGAAAAAGTATCTATGATAAATACATGATTATAAAAATAATTGACCAATGCGCAAAATATATACTGCATTATGGTTCCTATTTGCACTATTAATACTTGAAAATCAGCCGATTCCTATATTTTATATGTAAATAGAGGGCATCAGTCTGCGATTTTAAAAATCGTTTACTTATCTTAGCTTTAGAAAGGTAGCACAATGCAATTTGTGATTTCCATCTGCTCCAACATTACAACAGTCCCTATGCATATAAGTTAATAATGCGCGTACACTTTTCATAGTGTTCTAGATTTTATTGGCCGTATAAATATTATATTTTAAACAAAAAAATCACAATTGCATAATAAATTGCATTGATATTTTCACCTACTTTATGCATTGGGGTCCTCCGTTTGAGAGCTTGCTAATTGGACTATAAACAGTCGTATGATGCGTATCAATTCCTTTTATATGCACAATCCCGTATCCTCGGACGGATCGCAGACTAGAGGTCGGTGCTCTCGTGCTGCGGCGGCGAGACGGGGGGCGGGGGCGCCGGTACCATCGGCCGGGGGGGGCGGGCGCGCGGCGACAGCGGGCCCTCCGTTATGCTGCCCTCGCTCTGCGAGAGCTGGCGGCTGGCGCTGCTCAGGCCCTTGGGCTCCTCGAGGTCGGCGTCCTTGCCGCCGGAGCTGTGCGTGCGCTGCACCGCATTCCGGGGCGGCTCCTCCGCGTCCGCGTGGCCGCCCACCTGGATCACGGTGGGGTGCTGCTTGTCCACCGTGTACACGTGGGCGCGCTCGAGCACGGTGGGCGCCGGGTCCGCGCCGTCCGCGGAGGTGCGCGCGCGGAAGCTCTGCGGGCGCAGCGTGGCCGGCCGCTCGGGCACGGCCGGCTTGTGGCGCAGCTGCACGTCGCCGGGCTCGGCGTCCGCCGGCGCCGGCACGATGGTCCTGGGCGCGGCGACAGGCCGCGGCGGCGGCTGCCCGCCCGGCTTGCCGCCCACCTGCGCCCTGGACGGCGGCGCTTTCGCCTCGGCGCCGAGCGAGGCGGGCCCGCTGCACCCGTCGCCGATCACCTTCATCCTGCCCACCACGCCGGCGGTGGCGGTCACGTTGCGCACGACCAGCGTCGACGGCTCCCTCTCCGCGCGGCCCTCGATCGCTTTCAGGCTCTCCACCTTCTCCTTGTCCATGTCGAGGCTCTGGCGACGCGCGTCCGCAAGGTTCTCGCGGCTGCCGCTCTTCGCCGCCTCCTCTTTGAGCGCCTTGCTCTGGCGGTACGTGGATCTGTTGATCGTCTGCACGCCGGTGATGATTTTGCCCGTGTCGGAGATGACCGGTCGCGGGGGCTTGGCCGGCTTCTCGTTCTCTACTTTGGTAGGTGGCTGCTGCTCTTTCGCCTCCGTCTTCTGCTTGCCCTTGTCCGGGGTGAAGTTGGGCGGCACGGGCGCCTTGTTTTTCCGCCTCATGGTAGGCTTGGGGCTCCCGTGCGGTGGACTAGATTGGTCGGACAGGGAACTGTTTGATTGGGCTTTCTTTATATCACCATCTAATAGTATTAAACTAGTGTCATGGCTGTTGCTTCGGGAATGACGGCCGGGGGCGTCCGCGAGAACCTTTTGCTGCACCGCGTGGTGGTTATAATCGAACATGGACTTGCTCATAGAGTGGTAGTCCCCGTTCGCCTGATCCTGGCTCAGCGCCGCAGTTTGGTTGTAGCCGTGGACGAAGTTGGGTGAGAAGCCGTACTCGCACTGGTCGGGCAGCAGGTCCTCCTTAGTGAACGTAACAAAGAAGTTGATCTCGTCTTTGAAAAACCAGTCAGCGTGCTTCACTAGCAGTTCCACGACGCAGTTGACAGCGCTGGTGATGTACATGTCTAGGGTGCTTTCATCGGCAGCCCACAGGAGGTTCGGAGCGATCACGATAGCAAGGTTGGACGGCGTCATCTTGTTTGTGCTTTGGTTCTGAGTTAAAGCGGACAAGAACTTGATGAGATACCTGAGGTTCTGGTAGTTGGCAGGCGGCAACAGGTGTATGGCATCCCATACGGCGTTAAGGCGGGCTTGCTCAGTGCTTTGACGCGACGCGTTTATAAAGTTCTCGTAGAGGCGATAGGTGAGGAGAGGCTCTGGTAATTCGCGCAGGTAAGACTTGAGCACGGAAGCGACGACGTGCACGTCGCGGTAGTCGCGCGGCAGCGGTACGGTAAACAGCCCCGCGTCCAACGACAACTTCATCCTTCTCACCTTCGACAGACCTGTAAAACAATTGACCAATATAGCAAAATAAATAAATAAAAGTGTGTGTGTGTGTGTATCGTGCTTGAATTAAAGTTAAATCGACATAACAAATTTTAGTCCTCACCGCCGGCAATCCTGAATAAGCCTTCCTCATTAAGGGCAAGCTCGTGAAGTGTGCAAATGCACAGCTCTAATGGAAATGCTATGGTTCGTCCAGTAACTCTTAGATGTTCCTCGAGAGGATAACCAAATACAGGCTTCACGGAACTATCATCTGAAATTATTCAAATAACACAAAATTAGTAGGCTAATCAAAGGCAAACTAAAGATATGATTCCAATGTAGTATCAAAATCTCATTGCATACAAATATGTCACTACATTATTCATGTCTATATTGTTATCATTATATTGCTTGAGGTATAGTATATATCTATATGTATATATATATATATATATATATATATATATATACGTATAAGTATGTATTCATGTATGTATGTATGTATGTATTTATGTGTGTGTATGTGTATACATATTTGTATTTGATTTAGTTAAATATTATGTATGTTAACATTGCACCAACTACGTCCTTTACGCCATTGGTTGCCTGGAAGAGATCGCTATGAAGCGATAAGGCCGCCAAATTGTCCATTCTATTAATTTGTTTGTCTATTGTTAATTTTGTGTATACTTTTATGTGTGGGGGACAATAAAGTATGTATTCATTCATTCATTCATTCATTCATGTCACCTAGACTATAAGCACCACACGGACGCTCGTACTTACACACACAAACATAGAATAAGTACAAGAAATAATTTACATACTGAGATTCTTAGGTAACATGAAAAGTGAAAATAAAATACTACAGCCAATAGACTGTTCCAAGCCAGGCATTAAATAGAATTTAGAATCCTAATAATGGTTAAATGGAAACTATTTTAATTACGGATTTAATTACGAAATTTGAACACTTTCCAGCATTCATGGTCAGAACCAAAACAGTGATTAAGCTAAATATTTTCAAATTTTTAGTATTTATATGTTTACTATTAATCCCAATAGTTAGGAATGGACAAAATATTGAAGCAAATAAGGTCAGTACAGTGAAATAAATATACAAATATATAATTGCAGAAATAAACAAACAGCCGCCCTGGAATAAGGATAGATAAAACATTGAGTATTAACCTTATCAATAATGGAAATGCAAGACAGACAATGTTGTTAGAATATCGTCAGCAATTTTCGATTACAATTAATTTGTATAGATGCATTGAATCAAAAAAGTAAATAAATTTATTCCAGAGTTTAAACCTTGTTATTCTAGACAAAATTCTGAGACTATTTAATATTATTTCAAGCTACATAAATTGCTTTTATGAAGCGAAACATGATCTTAATAGATGTAGGAGGAAATATTGTTACATCAATTAGGCCCATCAAGTGGGCCTATTAATTACTTGTTTGCCTGCTATATTGTAGACATATCTCAGGACTTCTTTGAAACTTCTTTGTATCCTTTGTCTTGGGTTTGGTTGTTTGACATATTAGGAAATAAGTAAACAATTTTAATTGTAAACAAATTTCTTCCTAAATATCTTTGCTTATTGATAACAAACAAAGAGGCATTATACACTTATGTAGATATACATTATTTTTTTTTGTTATGGATATAATAACTACACAAAAATATTTCATTTAATAAATATAATTAATAAAGGTAATTTATATACTCTGTAACTAGGGATTATCAAAATACTTAAAAAAAAATCTTACAATAAGTAACAATGCAATACATTTGCAAGTTATTTTTTTATAATGAGGTAGACATTATTATTTTATAAACAAACCAAACCTTGCCATCTTAGACCTGGAGCAAATGTTCAAATACTGAATAGAAGTAAATGTTATTTATGTCGATAAGAGATAGTTATTTAGTAAGAGAAATTTAATCAATAAGCTTCAAATTAATTTTAGAATATCTTGAACATAAATAATATGTTTTTGACTTACTGATGAACCTTTCAAGTTCAGGTACGGTATCTTGCAGTGAATTGCAAAGCAGATTCATGATAGGCTCTCTGTAGTTTCACATATTGCAACAATGTGTGAGCAAGTTGAGCTTCTTTGGCGACAAGTGCGAACATATCTGCTGCAAGAGCATCGCGAGCAGCCTCCACCCGCGTTCCCGCCTCTTCCAACTCTTCACGTGCTGCATTCAATTTCGCTGGATTCTCTTCTTTTTGGCGTTCTAAATTCTTTAAAGAAAAAAAAATTGTTTATATATGGGCAGCATTTTTTGTAGTTTGCATGTGAAGATATCCAGTAAATTTGTTTATATTTCAGGTAAAACAAGAATTATGTACATACTAGCTGCCGCCCGCGACTACGTCTGCGTAGAATAGGCTGAAAGCGTTACATTCAGACAGAAAGACAGATATACATTAAAATATTTATATAAATTATAGGCTATGTCTTATTATGATGTATAAGTTATATGATTATAAAGTTTCATTAAAATCCATTCAGTAGTATTTGCGAGAAAGAGTAACAAACATCCATCCTTGCAAATAGTACAAAATAAGTTCATCCGCCGCGCAACCGGTGCGCAGTGGTATCAACGCAACGTCGACCTGCACAGCGATTGCAGACTCCCGACGATTCGCGAATATTTTAAAGACCTGACCAAACGGTTCTTCGATAGAGCCGAACATCATCCCAACCCTCTGGTGGTAAGCGCAGCAAATTACCAACCCGACCAAAACGCGAACGTCAACAAGCGTCGCCCGCGAAACGTCTTAATCGACCCGGTCGAGGAAGGGGACTTAGACACACCGGACCCACTGCCGGGGGTCCCGCCGGACAACACTACACCCACAGTTAGTGCAACAACAAACACACTAGTTCGCCCTCGCCTCCGAGCACGGCGAGACCAACACAACGCGTACACAAGGTACACCCGCGTTCCAGGGCGGTTCTCACCACCCCCAGCCACCGATTAGCTAATTGCACAGTCGACGGCCATCGGGGTTTCGGTCCGAACCACGACCTCGATGGCCCTTAGATGACACACCATAGTTAAACGCACGCATGAGCACATGCGTGGCCCTACCCACAGCGGAGGGCCCAAACCCGTGGGTTCTGGCTAGCCAACCGGTTCTGCGTCAGATGAAGCTTTAATAGTCTAGGGACTGAAAGCAAAAACATCAGTTAATACAAGATACAAGATACAACATCCATCCATACATATAAACTTTCGCCTTTACAATATTAGTAAGGATTTTATGTGATAGATTACTTACGAGAATATAAGGAGTATGTGTAGATTTATTTTAAGTATACACACAATTTATTTTCTCAATATATATATGTATTATTGGACATTTATTTTGTAAAAGCAAGAAGTTATAACCCAGATTAGAGCTATACATCCTTACTAATATTATAAACGCGAAAGTTTAATGAAACTTTACAATAATATAGCTTATACGTCAGAATAAGACAAGCTATAATTTATATACATATTTTATGTATATCAATATATATGTATATCTGTCTTTCTATCTGAATGCGCCTTCAGCCTATTCTACGCAGACGTAGTCGCGGGCAGCAGCTAGTTAAATAATATATTAAGATATAGATTACAAGAACAGCAAGGAGCAAATGATAGGACAATTGTGTTTTATCTATCACATTTTGGATGTTGTAATACATATATTGATAAATCTGGCTGATAAGTAATTTGTTGCTCTTTCAGTTGTTTGTGGCAGTACCAAAAGATAATGCTTCAAGATATAGGCGGACTCACATGATATTTGCTAGTAGCAGACTCTTTTTCACTTATTAATCGGCTGAGCTGTTTCTTTGCCTTCATTATGGCTGGAAGGTCTTGATCACTAATTGCTGACAGCGGTGCACACACCAGCTGTTCTACTTTTAATTCATGCTCAGCTATTTCATTAGCTAGAAATTTTTCTGTTTTACCTATAAGAAATGAATAACAAATTTAGGGGTTGGTTTATGAAAATGTTTTTCAATGTAGATAAAATATGTTGAGATTTTCATCAGTTTGGTATCAGCCAATTAGCTTAGTGGTTAAATCGTCTGAATGCAAATCTGAAAGACATGGGTTTGATTTTTTGCCAAAACCTTTTGTTATTTTTCTATAAATTTTAAAATTTGAATAGAATACGAGTATAATGATATTAAATTATTGAGGGAAGAAAACTTGTATTCCAACCCACAAAACGAGGATCTTTCATCAAAGCTCAAACTGTTTATTTATAAATAATAACTTAAGTTTATTTATAGATGTTTCTGAATTTTTCTTTTTTTACATGTAGGTCATAACATATTACATCATAAATAATTTATTGTCCTTTCGTGATAAATATTCTTGCATCAATATATGATAATATTAATGTCAAAAACAAGAACTGTTATTAAACATAGGTACTTATAGAAACAACATTAATTAATTAAAGCTTATTATAATACGGAACATAATGACACTTCCAATTGAAATAGTATAGGAAAATAAGGAAATATATACTTGAAACAAACCAAAATTTAATAACAAAATTTTGTGTCACTAGGCTCTTAGCCACCAAAATAAGGTTCTTGCACGAATTAAAATTACATTTATTTTGTAACATTTTTCCTTTCTCAACATTTAAAATTAGTTTTAATAAACATCTCTTCTCTTCATTAGAATTGGAAAAATGTTACATATATGTAGATTGTTAGTTTATATACTAATTAAAATTAAAAAAATGTATAACCAATATTTGAAGTGAATCAATTGTGAGAAAATTTAAATTCAAACTTACCACACTCATATAATATATATTTTAAAATGCTGTCATCATCATCAAAGTTACTGGCTTCACACATTGACAGCCCCAGCATATATTCAGGTAGTTTCTTGAGCCTTTTCTCACGGGCAGCAGGGTCTTGCCCTTGTGTGTTACCAGCACATGTTGCTAATTTCTTGCTGATCAAGTGTAGTGCATTTCGTAGATGTTCCACTTTACGGTCAGCTGTTTGAAGTTCATCTGTCAAAGCTTCACCTTTACCTGATCTACAAAATTAAAAAATATATAAATGTTATTTACAGATGGTATTCAAATTTACAACTGATACAATACTGGCCATTTGCCATAAATGTAAATATTTTTTTAAAATTATTCTTTTGAATGTTCTTTATTACTGTGGCAATTGATCTTACATATGTATATATTTTCTCCTTAATAAAACCTAATATCTAGGTGTTGTATTATTAATCAACAACATATGTTTAGACTTATTAATTGCTATTACATTTTAATATTTAAAAATTCTTGGTTTACTATTGAATGTATAAAATTTATATTCGGTTGATAACATGTTAGGTACAAATCTTATCTTGTGATTGATAAAAAAATACCTGGAGAATGTTTGATCAGCAAGTTGTTTCACCCTGTAGAATTGTTTCTTCATTTTGATTCTTTTTGATGGTTTAGCTAAAGCTACAAGGTCATTGGACTTAGTCAATAATAAAACGATCAAGAATCGCCGAAAAGAACGTCCCTAATGTCAGCACATCAATGAGATCATCCTCATTTACTTATGTTAGGGCGAGTGGAGAGCACAACAAAAGGTCCTTTTGAAAAGCTTCCCAATAAGGCACTACATTTCCATATTTCATTTAGGAAAACAAGAAACACTTATTTCTGCGTTCAATATTTGGTACAAGCTTCTAGTAAATCTAATGATATAAAAATACGATGAACAAGAAAATAAAATGCACAGATGATAGACATTATATGATATCCCACAGAGAATAATTCATACTGTCAAGTTAATGTTCGTTGTAGACTTAATGGTAGATGGATATACCATTTAAAATAGCATAAGCGTACCAATCACCATTAAAACAAGTAATTTCATTTATTCTTTTTATTAATGAAAAACAAAACCGACTTCAAATATCTCGATCTGTATTATTTTTATAATTGATTTTCAGGACTTCCCTAGGTATCTCCGGAACCCAACATCCAATAACTATGAAAATGATATGGGGCCACATGGGAAGCACCAGCTTTGAAGTAAAAAAATAATCATCATAATCGGTTCACTCAGTCCAAAGTTCTGAGGTAAGAAACATTAAAAAAATACAGTCGAATTGAGAACCTCCTCCTTTTTCAAGTCCGGTTGATTAAAAAAAACTATGAATTATTCCACAAGTTATGGAAAATATTTTAATTGTTTCTTTTGCTTCATGCCTAGTTAACATCAAAAACCAAAATGTTAAAGTTTACGAACCTTATGGTTTGGTTTGCCGTCAATGTCAATCTCTAATGTCAACTTACTTTCTTATTTATTTACATGCCATTAAATAATAATAATAGTGGGTCGTTGATAGTGATAGATATAAGTTTGTACCTAATAAATAACAAAAAATCATTCAATTTTTTACCGGCCAAATGTCTTAGATAGTTAATATAGTACACATAGGATAATAAAATTGTTAAGTAAATTACGAAAATGAAAGATAATCTGTAAGAGTGAAGAAATTTGCTTTGAGTGGAGGGAGATTGAAACTTAGAGAATGGAAATGGAATATATTATTTAACAACATTGCAAAGCCAGTTGTGACTGAAAGACAATAGTCGATTGAAGTCTCTGATTTTAAGTTTTACATTAAATGTTCCGCGAGTCGTAGAAATAGATATTTTTATTTTATTTGTGCTTTTGTAAATTATAAAATAAAAATGGAACGACGATTTTTCAATGTAATTTTACTTGGCTTTGGATTTATGTTTGTTTTTACTGCCTTCCAAACTATGGGAAACATAGAGGTAAGTTGATAGCCATCTATTTTAAAATTTTTTAGATTTATAAATTCATAAATTTCTTTCTTTTGTAACATTTAGATTTAGAAAATGCACACGTAAATGAAAAGAAATCTGAAGCTCATGCTTTTTAAATACTAAGGTGTTTGTGAACTCTAGTTTTCCCTTAAATTTATTATTAATCATAGTGAATGTATAATATATATTTTAAAAAATGTTAATTTATACATTATAGTTTGACATTCTTTCATAATGGATATTAGATATACGTTTTTAGTAGTATAGTAATTAATTTTACTAAATGTCCATAGAAAAACCAGAGTTTATTTTTACGTAATAATTGTTAAATTATAAAAGTTTATGTAAATAATGTGATAGCTCAGTGTCCAGGCGCTCGCCTTTTATTAAATTGACTTATGCAACCTGGGTTTGATCCAAGAAATTGTGTATTTTAAGTGCTGACATATCACATGCTCAGTGGTGAACTATGGTAGACTATGACCTATACCTTCTTTACAGGGGAGGCCTCTTCCCAGCAGTGGGGCTTTTATAGGCTTTTACTTTGTTTTAAGTAATGTAATGGTATTAGTTAAAATAATAATTTGCATAATATAATTATTGGATGTTTAATTATCATTTATTTTATAAAAATAATTACAACACTAAAACATTTAATGATCTAATGTAGACCAAAAGGTTTGAAAATAAACAAGGATTTTTCATTAAATGAAAAAACAATAACTGCAATAACACTCAAAATGTGTCCAGTCTGTTTTTGCATAGATTTTATTTATTCATTATACAGGGTGGCATTTCTAAAGATGCCCAAATTCACACAGGATGTTCAGACTCTGTAGTAAAATCGTTTATTGAAATAAAAACAATCTTTTTTCAAAATGCTATTCCATTCCCAAAAAACAGAACTTGTTGACAATGCGGTAGTCATTCATAAATGTGTTGTATACTTTTGAAACAAACTTGTGTGCATGTTAGTCATGAATAATCGCATGTTAATCAGGTACTTTTTGAGATAAGTTCAAATGAATGTATTTAATTAATTACAAGTGATTTTAAATATTTATCATTTTTTCTATGACATTATTTATGTCTAGAATTTAATTAAAAAAAGGGATACTCATAGAAAAGCCTCCCTGTATTCTGATAATGCTCTCATCTAATATGGAACAGCAATGATAGAATGTAAAACGTCTGTACTATTTTATTTATTTTCTATTTATTTATGCTTTCTTGCTTACCTTAAAAAAAGGTAACAGGGGGTGGAATTAATGACCACAATCATTCTCCACCAGTCCACCCAGGTTACTAAATATCATCATATTCAATTGTTCAGAGACATTTAACATATCCCCAAATAGCAAAATCCTCTTCACACGCGTCATTCATATCCACTACATAACCATAATGATTGCTTATGTAATGGTACGGAATGAGATTATGAGAGCATTGTCCAACATTCACAACTTGGCTGCCATGCTTGTTTGTGTAATGGTGGCATTATGCTGTAGGTATTTTTATGGAAGTGCCATTTTAGAATGTCTATAATGTTTTAAATTTTATGCTCTGGTGGACCGATGGTCGCTGGCGGATGCGTCTCGAAGAGTATCGAAAATAAGCAGTGGCAGGCGAACGTTGGACGAGTTGCTTACGTACGCCTACCTAAAATTCGTTTTAAAAGGAAATTGAACCGTAAAACTGGTCGTTTTAAGGTTTATCTTTGAATTGGCGGTTATATTTCAATTATCACCAACATTACACAGTATAGTTTTGAGCAACGCGCGAGTTGTTACGGCGCGCAGACAATTTCATCATGCAAATGGGAAAGTAGAATTTAGCGATGGAAAAGTGAATGACCACAACTGTGTTATATTCATGCGTTAAGTCGTCACATAATTTAATATATTAGGTACTTAATTAATCTGCATTTAGCAAGTGTGACAATATCACTATTAAATTTCAAGGGCGTTTTATTACTATTGACAAAACAGAGTAATTTAGAGAGATGTGTGATCCAAATGATTCAAAATTAAATAGATTCTTATGCAGGTTACAGCCAATTACAAAATTGTAAATAGGAAAGTCTGTCAATCGGATAAGCTTTAAGGTTATACTGTATGCAAAACTACATAAATGTCATAAAACTTGAATTAACTGATGTTTATGTAAACGAGTATTTGACCCGTCCCCGTTTAATCTGTAATGTCGCAGTCGGTGTTATGAAGGTCGAGTGCTGTAGCGAAATTTCTATTAGCATGTATTTATTATCTTTGAGCATTCAAAAGTTGATTTTTTATTCCAAAAAACTACGCGAAAGAAATTCAAAAGAAAAAATAGTTCTGCACAAAATTCTATTATTCGCAATCATCCATAAAATGGTTATTTAAGATGGTTCTTTGCCACTGGCCTTACTTCGATTTTTAAAACTGATAATTCTCTCTCGGTCCCTCGCGATTGTAAATGTCACTTGACGTTTTATTCTAGGTTTAAAAGTTGCTCTTTTGAAATGAAATGATTCGTTTTAAGAGTATTAAGCAGCAAGATGTTAATAGAATTTATATTAAATGTTGTTGATAAGTAAGGAAACAGGTAATATTAACTTGATGAATATGAAATAATTCACTATGTACCTGTTTATGAAAATGCCACACATTTAAAGACACAGGGGAATTCACTTTCAATTTCTGAATTCACGGGTTCGAATTCTTTCGACAATTCTTACAGCTGCTTTCGTTCATACCATTACGTCCTGTTAATAAAATAATTTCTGACTAAATTACGCCATTTAAGTAATCTGATGTCAGTTCAGTGAATATGGACCAATCATAGCCTGCGACTTTGAAACAAAGTTACGTGATCCATTTAGTTCTATGGTAATTATTAGGGTTATAATAGTTTCATTTGAAGATACCCGACGTCCTATGTAAGCACTGTTTACTTGATCTAATTTACTTCTGTAATCATCAATACGAGTACAATATGTACATGTGGTGAATTTCGCCATAGCGATTTAATCCGGAACAAATTTATAACATTTTAAGTATCAGTGTGAAAATATTTTGAGTTCATTGAAACTAGTAACTTTTACTCGCTTCAGGTTTAATACCGTTTGACAGACAGCAAAATACACTTTGATACTTTGCTATAGCATCAAAGTAGTGTAGGTAGATAGAAATATGTCAGACGCCACATTTATTACATGACTATTGTCGCCATTGGGTTTAATCAATTCCCATTCGAGCTATTACATTAAAAATTAAAACGCAACCCATGCCCATTTTAATTTTTTCATAATTTTTTTCAATAGCGTAACCGCCATAGGAATAGCGTAGTTACCATGTAATTACTACATACTAAGTCTTAGATTGTATGAAAGCGATTTATCAGCAAAGTATCTAGTAATTTTTGCGTAGTATGTAATTTTTATTGTATGACATATAATATTTTTTATTTATTTATCGCCCATTAATTAAAAACTCTTTTTTCAATACTTTACAGAATTCATCAGGGACGGACTGAGATGTTTTGATTAAGTATTGACATTTTTATACTTTTGATAACTTCTATACGTCTCAGTCCCGACACGTTAATTAGACCGGAATACGCTTGAATAAATGATGCACTTGGCAGTAGAAATCTAAATAATTTTGCCGCCCTTGTCCGTTAGACGCAGCACTTCTAGATTTTATCATTGTTTGTGTATAGTCGATAAACTCAAGGATTCGTCTGCACCGAATTTAGGTCAAGCAGATTTATTGGTGGAGATATTTACATTTCAAGGGTCTTTTTCAATAACATGTCAATTGGAGATAACAATCGTTATCGGTTGCGCGTAATTTGCTAGATTCCCCGATTGACCGAAGTCCGTCATTATATATGAATAGAGATTTGGCGTAATTGATTAAGTAAATGTTTATTATTCATCTATTTGGTTTCCTTATATTCCTTAGTTCCATTTCTCTTAGTATTTGAATCATTTCACAAAAGACGTTGTAAAATGTACAATGATGTTTAAATAAGGATGACGCATTTCCATACTGCGCGGCGTTTAAAAATTGTTCTGCTTTACATTATATGACATACGAGTATATAGGAATGAGACAGATGATATAGAAAGTATTATCCAGAAAGAGTTAGTAGTCTATAGAGTTGCAATCTAATTACACAAATTAGCATAATTTAATTGTCTCAGCTTCAGCGCTCTGGTGTAGTATCTACCTCCTATTTGTAGATATAATATCATTGCCTATGTTAATGACTATAAGAAAACTGTTTTGGTATCCTTGAGCTTTGTGCTAATTTCATACCTTGAACAGGAATTTTACCTTCTCATTGCTGCCCTGATTGATTGATAGAAGAAAATTTGTTCCTTTAGTTTTCTGCAATATGGCGAGGTTTTTTATTTTATAGATCCTGACTTATATAGATCCTGATTTATAGAGCCTTAAGCGAAATTTATGTAAAAGTTTTGTTTTGCATTTATTGAAGTGCAATATAGTCTCTGCAGTTTTTCAGTTGCAATTTTATAATGGTATTTAAATATTAAATACCGTGATAAAATTGCAAATGCCCGAAAAGTTTGGTGGCATTTCACTAACTAAAACTATTAGTAAAGTAAGTACAAATGAAGTCATCGGGTGCATTACTCTTTCGAGTTCTGATAACAATTACGTGTCCTTTAATAACGAGACCACTTCTAACATAATACTTGAATCTATCCTAAACACTTGAAAATTTTAGATTCACTTGACACACTTCACATCCAACTCACACAAAACGCATGATTTCAGTAGGTACATAGATATAAAAATTGTGTCATTTTAAAAATCGTATCACCATTCACAGTTGATCTTTAATATATGTATATTAAAGAATATGTCATAAATCTTATAAATCCTTAATATATGTAATATTAAGGATTTATAAGATTTATGCAAATGTCAAACATTGTAAATTAAACTTTTTACAGATTTTATAGATATTTAGACTGAAAACATGGACAGTGTAATTTTTTCAAATCAATGGTGATTTTAATTACAAATTATCGTGATAAACCCCCTTTATGTAGTTTTTTGCAAGTATATTCCTTTAAATAATACAAACATTGTAATTTTATTTAATAGTGCGTGTATTGGCCTGTTTGTGAGGGCGAACAGGCGGAGTTGAGAATGTCGCAAAATGGGCGTGTAAACCTGTCGTAATGTCAAGACTCTTTAGCGAGCCTTGAACTATCCAGATTTATCTCAACGGAACGCGTCTTCTTACTGAAATGCAATCCTATTGTTATGATGTTGTCATTAAATTGGTTTATTGTTTCTTTCTTACTGCAATGGGAGCAGATAGCAAGGCCATTGCGTTTCCTGTTAGTAAATTTACGGGTAAAGTTCCTCATTGTGTTGTCACTATTAAAAATTACAATGTAATAATGATTGTTTCTTTAACGTTGCTGATCTATTGGATTCGCCTCCACGGATCCTGGTTTCGATTTAAACACGGGAGAAGTGACTTATACTTAAACAATTATTGCAAATCTGTATATTCCTCCAGTAAATTTACATTTATAATATTACAGTTTTTTATATTTTTTACCCAATCGTTGTTGGCGCATTTGGTGTATATGTAAGATGATACCTATAAAAATAATTTCAAACAATTGTAGCAAATAATTACAAATAAACCAATAACATGAAATATCTAATCTCTCGGGAAAATTACCCGTTTATTTTCTGACAACGTTAAGACAACACTAAGATTTTCTGATTCGATGGATAATATGTTATTTTTTCTTTGTTACTTTTTTTAAAGGTGTCATTATTTTATTTTTATTACCTACTTGACGTAAACAGTACTTATATAGATGCAGTCGTGTATCTAAATGTGTGCTTGAGGCATATACATACAAATGGTCTGGCTTACTTACTTAAGCTTCACTTTTAACATGCGTGGCACGGAGTTCTTTTTACTTGATTCATAGATTAGTTAACTTTATCACCACTAATTATTTATTATCGAATTAATTTTTGGCGTTTGGAATTTAAGTTTACCCGTTAAAAGGTCTTTAAAATAAATTTAACGTTCGTATAACGCAACATGCTATCAGCATTGTTAGAAGACACAGTCGTAAATTATCATAAAGGATAACTTTAATGGCCGCTCAGCGTGTAAACAAATAAATTAAACTTTATTCGTCATCACGATCTACTTGTATGGTAATGGTCATTGGGCAACGAAAGAGGTTTTCACCTTTAAATTACGGTCTCAAAACCATAAATTCGGCGCAGGATCCTATATTGGTGCTTAAATTGTTTCGACACGCGTGCATTCACCTTGACTCGCGGCATGCTTTCGCGCGCTTTTTTCGAATGATAACCGTAAGAGGCGCTACCCACGTCACGCGCTCCTCGTCGATTGTGTAAGATGGCACTTATTAAAACCTTATTGGATTCCGAGGTTGCGGTTTTAAATTTATCGAACTTAAACTGCATAATTTCTTAGCGGATATACATTAATATACTTGAGCGCCTTGTTCTGAATATGCAAGGCGCACCGGTTGCTTGTGCTTAAAGCTGAACCATATGCAAAGAGGTGGTTTATTTGTGATATTTATACAATTATTTTTGTTGGTGATTTTTTTACGGGGAAAAGGGACAAACGGTCAGGAGGTTCACCTGTTTGTAAGTGATTATCGCCGCCCATGAACACCTGCAACACCCGAGGGCTCCCAACGACGTGAAGTATTGTCTCGCCTTGCTGAGCACACCAAGCTTCTCTGAGGCCAATTGGGCCTTGCCTTCCAATTGACCGCGGAACTGGACGTTGCTCGTTATTTCGACGCCAAGTATTCCGATACTAGCTTAGGCAGACAGGGGAGTGTTCTCGATATGAGGAGTTACGAAAAATGGGGACTTTTTAGCGGATAACGCGCAAACTTGTGTCATTTTGGAGTTGAATTGGTCTAAGTTTAGTCGACCCCAGTCTGAGACATTAGTTAAGTCTTAGATTATGGTTTATACGCAACTGTCTTTAAGAAGGAGTTCTATACTCTGCATCTGATTTTACGATACGAACAGACACGTGTCCTCCTCAAGTAGAATATAAATGAATTGAATAATTAATAATAGAATATAGTATAATTGAAATGTCATCTGATTATTCGTTCGACTAAACATACTTCATTTATGTTTTTCACATGTTTCCCTAGATGTAAAATGTTATTCTTAGCTTCTGTGTTATTCTTCGTAGAAAACCATATTGGACAGTATAACGCAAGATGACCCTTCGTTCACCGGCGATGGATACACGTCACTGGCTATCATCTACGCGACCCTGGCAATTTGCAACTGGTTGGCACCATCAGTCATCACCATCACAGGGCCGAGGGGTGCCATGTTGATTGGCGGCTTCACTTACTTGTAAGTTTTTTTTTCTATGATTGTGGCATTTTGTTATCCTTTATGCCAATGACAAGTAAAAGGAAGGAAACAATGGTTTTGTTGAAATAAATTTATTTCAACAGGAGTAGGAAGTGGAATTTGGAAAAAGGAAAATTATTTGTAAGTTATAGTTTTCCCGCTCTCTTTTAATTTTTTAAAGTTTTGTGAACAATCTTGCTGCAATACTTTATTTTTAGATATGAATTTGTTGAAAAAAATTATAGTTGTGAATTAAATTACATTACGTTAGATTAAAATTGAAAATGTACTCCTTTAATTTGTATTAAAGAGGAAATATTTGTTACATCCTGAAAGGTTGCAATTAAGCATTACAGACATTCACGGAAATATAGAATTAATTTGGCAGCAATCTCTATTATTGGAATGTTATTTCCATCATATTAACGATTCAGTTACACGTTTATCGTGGTACCGCAAGTTGATATTTCCGACATTTGTGTGATAAAGAACACTGTTTCTGAAAATATGAAATCAAAAACAATTTAACTGTATTGTGTTAAACCTTAATTGTACTTAAATAAAATACCACATCTCAAGAAGACAGTTATTATTATAGAAATGGAAACATCCAAAAGTAGTTAATTGCGTAAACTTCGTAAATAATTCTGTTTATTCTATTAATATCGTATAAATACTTAAACATAAATTAATGACATTTTTACTCTCCTTGATTGCTGCTATCAGTGATATTATGATAGAATCTCAACCAACTTGATGGCGATTTTTACAACAGAGGTTAAAGTTAAAATTGATTTTATTTAATCGTTGCGATCCTCGCTAACATTACTCGTATGTAGCATTTTTTTTAATTTATTTATTGATTTACCCAAAAATAACAAAATGCAGTATGCAAATAGATGATACCGAATGATAGGAAAATATTGTACGTTAATATCGGTCTTAAACAAGCCAGTGTACAAGCGCGCCGAAATCACTCCTATATTCTTTCTCTTTACTTCGCTTTGATATTTTTGCTTTCAAACCGTGGACTGTTAAAGCCTCATCGAACTCCAAACTCCTAAGATAGCTATATCCCACGAGCTTGATACAGCCCTTCACTTTGGGTAGGGCCATATATTACTTCATTGCTCTGATCGATAAAGCATTACGCTTACATAGTGTTAGGAGTAAATGGCCAGTATTTAAACTTTATTTCGACACTTCCATGCCGAAGCGGCCAAGTCAATGAAATAAATATGCGAATGATCGCGCAAATATCATCCCATTGCTTTGCGATCGATATACATATCACGATCGAAACATGTTTCGTTGTCGCCGACACAAATTGCCATGCTATTTAGCAAAAGCGACAATTGAAAGTTGAAAGAACTATTTGCGGCAAGAGTGAAACTTTATGATCAACAATATCAATATTTTAAAATATATTATGTTATCTTAAAGTCTATACGGCGGATGCATTAACACCTCCCAGCCTATCTATCTTAATTTTGCTGAGTGGCTAAAGATGTGTGAGGTCTCGTGTTATCATGATGAAAAACCACACCCCTTCTGTTGATTAATTCCGGCCTCTTTCTCTCAACTTCTTGCTTTAATGTCATCAGTTGTACGCAGTACAGTTCAGAATCGATGGTCCTGCCTGGCGGTAAGCTCATAATGGATAATGCCCTTCCAATCCCACCATACACACAGCATTACCTTGTTGCGAGATAACCCGGGTTTCGCCAGAGTCTGTGAAGCCTGACCAGCCTTTGACCATGCCACGCCTTTTCGCACGTTCTTATTCAGCTACATCGTAACTAAAGATATGCCAAAGTTGCTCCACTTTTTCAAAAATGGCATCCATTTTCCTAATTTGAATTTGTCTGTATCTTTTTTAAAATTTAAACTTTTTAATAATACCAACACCAGCCAGATACAAATGGTATAGCCATAGAAATTATATTATAAGTTCATACATACTATTTGCGAAAAGAGTTTTCCCCAACCTGATATTATTAAACATCATTGATCTATCTGTGGATTTGTTTAATGGAGATAGAATTTTAACGTAAGTATTATGGGAGCTAATGTCAAATAGCTATCGTTAGTAACCAAATCTACAGTTAGATAGAATATTGAAACTGGCCGAAGATCTTCTGTTTGTCATTGACATACAGCTTGCGTTAATTATAGGGGGAACAAGGAACTGATCTTTTCTCTTGCTCAATAAGTCCGAGCCATTGTATGCGTTTTCCTGTACAACAACCAGTCTTTCGGAACACAAGCAGCCGTCGGTAATCCAAGTTACGCAGATCGTTGCGACACAGATTTTTGCAATTAGATTCACTTTTATTACCGGCTATTTATAAGTACACCTACATTAGATGTGAGTTTTAAATAATAACTCAGCCAGTAAATAGTAAAAATAATGCCGTATTCTATGCGGCGATATTTTATCTAATAACTTTTTCAGATTCAGACACTCATAAAGGTTAAAATGGGAAAGCGTCAAATATTGTTCTCATTTAAATTACATTGTTATTAGTCGTACTATAATGCATTGCTATTTTCTTCTTTGATCAGATCGTCCTCATAAAATTATTGTATTTTGGACAATATCTGAAAAAAGAACATAGGATAGAAGAGCGGCGAATACGAGCGTATAATTCCATTGGGCGTACTCGATAATATTGTCGAGAAACGTTTGTACACAACGCTCCCAGTCGTCTGCATTTGAACAGCGTACCGTATCGCAAACAAGCTATTGTTGCGTCATATAAATTCTGTGCATATTTTCAACGACGTAAACTCTGCCTGCGGCGTACATTGTGATATTGACCGTATAAAAATAAATTATTAGTGAAATACCAAACAAACGAAATTCACTCAAGCGTCTGTTAAAATACAATATTTATTCACTACTCGAAAAAACGTTCCTCCTTAAATGATTTTTTTTCAAATTTATATTTTTGAATTCTTTTAGAAATAACTGGCCGTAAAGAAAAACATAATTAATACAAAAAAAGAATCGATACGTCTAATAACTAACACAAACTATAGATATTATGTATAGTGATTTCACCATTAGTACAGACTGGCGAGGTGAGACTTGCAGTCCTATCTTGCGATCTATGGGGGCGACGTTATACACAACATTGAATAACGTGTAAATGTGATTCACTGACAATTGCGAAAACGTCCGTACACGTGTCCTTTCGACCAGTATGTACCCACATAAAAAAAATGCATAGCAGTTAACATGTTAACCGCCTTTTTATGTCATTCATAAATGATAATGGTCAAAATATTGATGTTTTAATTCAAAGAATGAAAGGAGAAATGTTTATTTTAATTATAAGCAAGTAAAGAAAAGAAAGTATAGAGATTTCAACGACTCTAAACTTGTAATTAATTAAATGAAAAAAAAATTAGACGCTCTACAGTCATGTAATTTTCATTATATATCTAAGAGAGACAGGTGGAGGTTACCCGTGTAGTTAGGAGTAATCTGTTGTTGTTGTTGCTGAAGAGTTGCTATTGTCTTAGCATTTATTTAATAATTTAAAAACAATAGTTGTAAAGTAATTTTAAGCTAAATTAAAGTCACTTCTTAAATTTGAATTACGAATTGCGTGTTCAGGTGCTCTAAAAATCGCCTATCGACAACGCTCTCTCGCCTTGGTTCGGTGACCTCGTATGTATACGATATAGTTTCGAGTGTATCAGATACACTAGTCGCTAACAACAATAAAGAAACTATAATAATAAACTTTCTAAAACAATATACCAATGGTCTTATCACTTATACGTTTCCTCGACAGAGTTAAAGCTACATTTATTATTCAATAAACGTGGGTGTGGTAGTTTTATGAACGTTGAATGTATCGGAGATCTGGACCGAGGAGAATGTGAATGCTTTCTTGTACAAAATTTGCCGTGAACTGTTATAAGATCGAATCGAGGCGATATAAAAGGCGAACGATGGTAAGAGGACAAGTTTTTGTAAATTTTAGGAGTGTCTGGCGACGACAATAAAGCCAAAAGAAACGTCAGAACCGCCGCGCCGGGTTGAGGGGGAAATGAATTCGGTCGTTGCTCTAGCCCCCGGGGCCCGGACTCCGCTCACAAGTTGCCCGTTACGTTGGAGTCGCTGCTTGCATTTTAAGTTTTTTTTTTACCGACTGACTAATCTATGTGACGATAGTATTAAGTAAATCAATGACCTGCATTTAGATTTTAAAAATACCCTGTAGGATTTGTGTTTTATCGAGTTTGATTTGGATTTTAGTAACCCTGAAGTGTTTTATGTTTCTATATACTACCGTCAACTTAAAAATAATTATTTCCCTGTTAAACCTGAGAAGGTAAACCCTGTTACCTTTTTTTATGTGAAAAGTTGCCAAGCGAGCAGGCGGTTCACCTGATGTTAAGTGAATACCGCCGCCCATGGACATCTGCTAAACCTGAGGTTTTAGCAGATGTCCAAGTTTGTCAACTCATCTGCAAGGTGAAAATTTGGGCTCCGGCTTCCTCACTCACCAGACGAAACGCGAAAGTATTATACTTCCACTTGACGCCGGAATTCTGTTATGTCGTGTTACTTACCCGGACGAGCCTGCCCATTTGTGCAATAGCCGAGGTTGCTGCATGGCCTTATCCCGTTAGAACCTGAGAATTAGCACCGCCTTCGGTCATATAATAATACAACAATTGGAAGGTTGGCAATCTTTGAAAGGGAGAACTCTGGTTAAAATGCAGTATGTAAAAGTTGGAGTGACAACCTGGGCAAATGTGCAGGAGGTGACCCGGGATCGTGCTTTGTGGCAATATGTTGGGGAGGCCTATGATCAAAAAATCGTTTAAAAATACATTTCTATAAATCGTACTTATAAATCAATGGAATCCATCAACTTATAATAGCTAGCACTGAAGCAATAGATATGCAATTGATGATATAGTGTTTATATAACTAGCTGATGCACTTGAAATGTGGAAAATATTTTGTTAAATGTTTAAGCGTTTTGGATATAAAAATGTAGGAGAACCTCGGTGGTCAACTATTCTCAAGAATTACGTATTCAATACAGGTATGGAAATACCAGGTAAAGTCTGGTTTGAAATGGCATTTGTAAAGCCGCAAGGCGCTGTTATTGATAAAATCGTCGAATTGGATTTTCTTTGTTTTTGCGATATAGGAGAATATATTGTTTTAAAATTTATTATTTACTTTGAGCATTTGTAAACGTTTATAGAAAGATGGTGTGTCATCTAGGTAATATGCTGTCTACGTGTTCTTACTTTATCGTTTATACGTATGCTAAAGTTTATGTCCCTTTGTTTTAAATTCCTAATGGAATTTCTAAAGCCTTAGGAATAGTCATACTATGTAGTTAGATTTTATATTTTGGCATAAACCATACTAAGAATCTCTCAACCCTTATGGTGTGATACAGTGATTCCAAATTATACATGTTGTTTACTGACAAGACCTGACTCTTCAGAATTATTAAAGTCCTGTATATAAAACTGTTATACCAAAACTGGCCTGGGCTCTCTCAAAACTGACCAAGAGGTATCCATTTAAGAGGGCATGCGGAAATCGAGCATCGTTATAATACGACACAATAAGGCTGGAAAATTAAATTATAAATTGTATAGAATCGGTGAGTTAGAAAGGTATCCAGCAATATTACGCCCGGTCGTTTTGATCTACATACCTCCACATTGGGACCTTCGCTGACTGGGTCGCAATCAAGGCTGACTGGTTTTTGTTAAATTTGATATGTTTATAGTATATTTCATTTCGCCATTTGCTCCGCATTGTTAAGAACTTGCGCGCAATTTGAATTAATTTTATCGGGCTATTTAGTTGAAAAGAACAGTGCAACGGATATTAAGAAACGATATTATAGGACGCGCAGATTATATGAGCCTGAGTAAAGTTGGTTCCTTTAATTTTATGCCTGTATTGTAGAGTGCGATAATATATGCTTTTATAGGGCTACACTATAACACACAAAACCGAATAACAACTTAACTCGCATCTTAGCATCAAGTCAGAGAGGGAGCAAGATAGAATGCGATTTAGTCCTATGCGCAAACGAGAGGTAAATATGGCGGGTATTGCACTCTCGTTTGCTCCGTAGACCCCCTCCGAAATTCGCATGAATCCTGTCCGATACATAAACATTGTCGCTTGCATTGACTCCAAGGAATATCGCGCATCCTATGAGAACCCTTCAAACTAGGAATGGGTTGCCAGCATTCGTTTAAGCATTAGTTATCACTGATGAGTTAAAGCTTGAAGGGGGCTGGCAAACTACTTATTAATAGCATTGTGTCCGTATGGATCTCAAGTAGTTTCTTTAGATGGGCTTTAAGATTTAAGATAATAGTCAATTTTGCTGCTCATCAAATGGGCTGACAGTCTGACGTTGTTTATTCAAATATAAATCAATGTAATGTATTTTAAAACAACGCTATCGAATAAGAAAAGCACGATAAACAAACGAAAAATAAAAGTACAATTGACTTCTATTTTTAACTTTTTTTTTCTTCACCTTTACATTTGAGCGGTGTTTAATCATCCAGCTTTCTCTTCGATGTCTCATAAGCCTTTACCTTTAAAGGGCTGTGTTAAGATTTTACCGAAATAACGAAGTCAGCCTGCCGGTTTAATAAATTTATTTTATAGGGCCTCCGCGTCGGTCAATGTATAACTACCGATATTCAATAATCTCGCTGGACTGTCAGTTATTATCTGCGGAATGGAATTTCTCTCTGCTTGACCCATTTCCTAGCCAACAAACAATTCTGTCGTTTCATTATCGCCACGGTGTCAGAGGGTTGAAACGTAATCGTGCCAATGTAAACTAAATATTCGCAGACGGTTCTTGGTGTTTCAAAGTTTTAAGCCAACATTTACTTCTAGAACTTTTATAGTTTCTAGGCACGAAGTACTACCCATATCACTATATACATATAATTATGTTAAAATCGGTCTGTGACCTATTTTGATGTAATTATCAGACAGTCTTTAGATTAGCCTAACGGAGATCTTGTGCCCAAATTGCTAGTGATCGGATCAACATAAATTTTTCTTGTGTCCGAAGTCTGAGTGTATCGGTAGTACCTACTTATTGATGATTATACATAATTTATTATTAATTAAGCTCCTACATATAAAAAAAAATGTTTGATGGTATCTTTGGAGTTATTTCCTTCGATGCCGCGGAGCGTAGGATGGATTCCCAACCGGAAAAATAATAATTTCGGATCTGATTGTTTGTCCTTTTTAACTTAGTGTTTGTATAACATAAAATGAACACTTACGGTGGTAGGGCCACGCAGCAGCCTCGGCTGTTGCACGAATGGGCAGGCTCGTCCGGGTAAGTAGGTATCTCACACAAGACCGGCGTAAAGTGGAAGTATAATGCTTTCGCGTTTCGTCCGGTAAGAGTTGGCCGGAGCCCAATTTTCAAAAGTTTGTCAACGCATCTGCAACCCTCGGGAGTAGCAGATGTCCATGGGCGGCGGTATTCACTTAACATCAGGTGAACCGTCTGCTCGTTTGGCAATTTTTCACATAAAAAAAAGAAAATGATGAAGTTGTCTTTTAAAGAGTATCGTGGCAAGCGAGACGACAATTAATCTGACGTATAATGATACTCGCAGCCAAATAATCTACACAATACAAAGCGGATGGTAGATGCATCACCGGACCGAAAATGCGGGCCCAAAATTTCTGCTGCACCATCGTCTTTGAAACTGTCACTTCCTTATTCGGGCCAGCCCATTCTTGCAGCAGCAGAATCTGCGAGGCTCCCACGCAGTCGAAAGTGCTATTGTAAAACCCGTCCCATTTCAGGTTCTTCATAGTGACGTTCCTCTTCCCGCGCACGTGGCTTCTGTACGTCGCCAGCGTGCTCATCGGCGCCGGGGCCGCCGCCATATGGACCGGCCAGGGCAACTACCTCACCCTGAACAGCGACGCCGACACCATCTCGCGGAACTCTGGCATCTTCTGGGCAATGCTGCAATGCAGGTAAAGGATGGCAAAACAGCAAGTTGTTACTTATGAAAAGCGATAATGGTCTCTCGGAATATCAGACACATTTCCGTTACGTTACGTTACGTTAGAGAGCATCTAATTCTTCTTCTTCAGCAGTTCGGTCCGAAGAATATCAATTGCCTATGTTGACAAGTCGCGATGATTACATTTTCGGATTCCCACATTATAACCCGATAATTTTCGTGAAATGTTATTTTTTTTTGTGAACGAATTAGCGAAAGATTCGGATCTACGTCTTCCGGGTTACGTGCCTAGACGCTCTAACCAGACCTTAGTCCTAACCTTAGCGGCGCTGCGAAAATCTCACCATTTTAAGGTTCATTTTGAGCGCAGAGACCAACACTAAAAATGAAACATAATCATACTTAACCATTTTGTCTTGACAAGGCCGTTTTGATCCTCTCTACATCTTGCTTTTGCAGCGTGTAATACACTCATGCGTTACCTACTCGGTTACTTAATTGACAGATCATCGGATTGATATAGGAATTTAAGTGTAAATTTTATTCCAGCTTATTCTTCGGCAACCTGTTCGTGTTCATAAAGTTCCAAGGCAAGACCCACATCGACCTGGAGACGCGGAACGTGGTCTTCGGTGCCCTGACTGCCGTGTGCGCGGTGGGAATAGTGTTCCTGTTACTCCTGAGGCCCATCAGGCGGGCGCCCGCATTAGACGATGTTAAGGTGAAATTCCAGGAGGTACTTTCTTCGCACTTGCATTAGCTTACGCCCACGTGCACTACCTACACTCACACACTCAGATCATTATATAAAAACATCGACACACCTTTAACATTGATGTAAGTACGATGCTATTATTTTTCAAAGAAGCAATAAATTAATAGATCAATTCAGATAACAATGTTTTTAATATAACTGGTTTTCTGTTCATAATAATAATTTTACAGGTAGTCACATAGTCACGCGTTTTATTTGAGCCTGCTTAGATTTTCACTTAAACGCATCACTGACACTTGCGCTATCTCACGCTATCTTTCCAATTTCCTCACTATGTGAAGTTACGCAATACATTTTTTTTTTATTTCGTCCCCTTTATTTTATACTAAACCTTGTTTTTTTTATAGACTGACGTCGTGAACCATGAAAACGACGGCCCACTGGAAGCCTTCAAAGGCGCCCTGAAACTGTTCGCCACTAGGGACATGATTTACCTCAGCTGCACCTTCATTTATACTGGTGAGCGTTAGCAATATTTGTACCTATTGAATTTTTTTCAGTTTTTACAAACACTATGTACCGGTTATCTTACTATGGTGAGTCAGTTTAATAATTTATTCAATTTGTTAGACTAGGTGATCCGTGCCACATTTTCTCACTTTCACCGTGATCAGTCACCTAATGGTAAAATGCAAATAAATATTTATCAATGAAATGTGCCCTACTCGTATTTTCAAGTATAACGTTTTTTTTTTTAAATATTTATCGCTATCTTTCATTTAAACGAATTGTCAATAGATGGTATTATCATATATTATTTATAAGAATTTTTTTGAAGTTTTTTATGATGATAACATTAATTTTATACTACTTAATGAAACATTAACATTTGCATAAAAAAGGAAGAAGGTTTTCGCCGTCGCGGGAGTCGAACTTCTTGCTGATACATGGCCAGATTTTGTTGTTTCAATTTCTTTATTAATTACACTGTGGTGATTGTTACAATTCAATGGCAACTTTTAACCATAAACATATAAAAATAAAACAAAGTTGATATATATAAATATGGCGCCCACATTTTATATTTATTAATAACTTGATAGGTAGCAATTTTCGTATATAAATCCTCTTTACTGGCCACAGACACCTGAATACATAAACCGTAAAACGTGCAACACAACCAAATGACATGCATGGAATTTTAGAACCGGATTTTGATTAGGTTTTAAAGACACAGAATTCGAAAAACAATAGGTTTTAGTATTGACTTTGTCGAAGGTCAGAAATTTGTATATTTACCACTTACGTGGTTAGTATATAAATTTGATCATACGAGCGGAACTAAATTACTACATTATTTATAATATAACAGACTTTTTAATAATGATTAAATTGCTGGTTACAATGTTCAAAATAATAAAATCTTCTTTATGTTTCTCTTCTTCACCTATTGTCTAATAAGAAGTTATATCAAGTGTCATAGGACCACGAAAAAGCTTCGGCTGTTGCACGAATGGGCAGGCTAGTCCGGGTAAGTACCACGACCTCACAGTAGACCGGCGTAAAGTGGAAGTATGGCAAATACTTTCGCGTTTCGTCTGGTGAGTGAGCTAGCCGGAGCACAATTTTCAAGTTTGTTAACGCATCGTAACCCTCGGTGTAGCAGATGCCCATGGGCGGCGATATTCACTAACATCAGGTGAACTGCTTGCTCGCTTGTCAACTTTTCACATATAAAAAAAAATTCTCCGGAACGGGTGTTGAAAATTAGAGTAAATTTTGGTACTTTTCGCGAAAATCTAAATTTATCCATATCTTTTTATCGTGTTGACTCAGGGCCTTTTTATACACCTAATAGAGACGGGACTATGGACCTCAGTATCTGGTATAAATTTCAACTTGCTACGTCCACCTGTTACTTAGAAAATAGGTGAAAATCTTTATGTATATTATTTACAAATTTTATTATGGCGGTATAATGGGTAGGTACGGAATCCTCGGCGTACGAGTTGGACTCGCACTTGACCGGTTTATTTAACCCAGTGTTAACAGCATAAAATAATAAATAAGGTTCTTTTACACTAGTAATCGTCTCATGCTTTTATTTTATTATGGGTAAAATAATTTTTAGATTAAAAATTGTTAATTTACTTTTTTGTTATTTATTCTTTCAGGGGTGGAGCTGTCGTTCTTCAGTGGTGTTTACAGCCCTAGCATCGGCTTCACTCTAGCAATGGGGGAGAATGCTAAGCAACTTGTGGGCTTGTCCGGCGTATTCATCGGAATGGGAGAAGTGCTGGGTGAGTGACAACTATAACAAAAATTGAAACATTTCTCCATTCAAATGCGAAGTTTTTTATACGAATCGCTCAGTATTTAATTGTGCTCCGTTAGTTTTACTCATTTTGTATGTGTAATTGATATAAATTCTTGGTCAATACTTAGCATAGTATATCACTTGTAGTTTTTTGTTTATGTTAATGTTTCAACTAATTGATGGAATAATTCACATGATCTTGATATGTATCAAAATTTAAAACGATAAAGCTCGATAGTAGTAGTATAGTAAATTAATATAATGGCTTGGGGCTATTAAATGGAGCATCAAACCCTTATTGGGATTATGATTAAATAGTATTCACCTAATGAAATTATAAATAATACTAATTTGCGCTTTAAACAAACGATTTTGAAACTAAAGATATGATGGTTTAAGTCGCATGCAAATTTTGCGATCTTTTTTTCAAAGATCTTCCTTAACGGCCGTTTGCAAAAATTTTCTAGCGAAGGAAAAAATTCGGTAGACATAATGTTATATTTTCCACTTTTATTTCTTTATATTTTTATAATTTCTTTTTTCTTTATCTATTTGACGAGGACCTGCAAATATATGTTATAACGCGTGTATTAGATAATAAAAAAGTTATCGGCCAGGTGCAAGGTGAAATACCTTCCCAGGCTCAACATATCCAACGATACCGTAATAAATGTTTAAAGTGCTTTATTTTAAGTGGAATCTATATGCAATTATTAAATATTTGTAAGTTGTCAAACAATAGTAAAGAAAATAAAAGATAAGGTTCTTTCGTAGGAAGTCAATCACTTCAATTCGCGTCTAAGGTGAGCCGAAAAGTCAGCCGAAAATACGGCTGCCTTCATGGCGGTTAAGACGTGGGATCATGAGTTCTCTGTAACCAACCTAAAAAGGTTACCAACCTATTCACGGCCATTTTAGTGTTACCATCCTACAATAAATTTCCCCGTAAATCCATGCCACTCGCAGTGCAGTTTTTTAATCATCGGATAATTTTGATCAGGAAAAAAACTTAAGTCTATTTGTACTGTTTTATATTTGTCTAATAATTAGAAATTTTATTGGAATGCGATCAGACGTTGTGTTCGAAAAAACGAATACATAACACTTTCAATTTATACTCGAACAAACTTATTGACTCAAACCTTACGTTTATAATAACCGTGCCACGAATTCTTTGTAAACAATATGTTTAGGCCGTTGTCCACCGACTGGCAAAACTCGCAGTGCCATCTAGATTTTCTTTCAACAGTCAAGTCATCCTATTATTGTAGTCCCTTCTATGGTTTTTAAATCTGTTGAATTGTAAGATGTATTTGTAAGACCTTACCCGAGAAAGTACCGATGTCGCACGGAAGAACTGCGAGAAGTAGAAGTAGTTTTATCTTTGCGATTCGTTCGATTGAGTTAACTGGCTTATCTTCTAGAAAGCACTCGCAACGTAGAATTTCAGATGACCACCGTGCTGATTTCCCACCTCCAAAGCTACGTCACCATTGTTTCGATTTCCGACGTTTCTGTTCAGGCGGAGCGCTGTTCGGTATCCTGGGCTCGAGGACCACCCGCTGGGGCCGCGATCCGATCGTGATAATGGGCTACATCATTCACGTGTGCAGCTTCTTCCTGATCTTCATCAACCTGCCCAACGTGGCGCCGTTCGGCGACACCACGGAGACCTCCTACATGGACCCCTCCCCCTACTTAGCGATGTTCTGCAGCTTCCTACTCGGTTTCGGCGACGCCTGTTTCAACACCCAGATATACTCGATACTGGGCGGCAACTACTCTGACAACAGCACGTCCGCCTTCGCGCTGTTCAAGTTTACCCAGGTATGATTATTTTATTCGTTTAGTACCTACGCTCGATTGTACGTAATTTTTAAGAAGGAAACTGACATTTATTCTTAATCATAGGGTGAACAGAACATATCAATAGTGTTTCTTTTTTTACTTTTACTTGTTTTTGCTAGTCACACTGATATTTTATCACCATTACTATGTCATTAGAATGCGGCACAGAATTAAAAACGATTAAAATCATAACTAATGGATGGACTAATCGTTGGCTATTAGAACGTTACCTAGAATTAAAATCAGTGTGTGTACTTGTGTACGCACAATTTATTCTTCTTTAGCATAACAAAAGAAAAATAACTAATAAATTTTACTTGTATACTAGCATTCTTTGTTTGTGAAAAAAGAGCCTAAATGCAATTGAAAACGGTTTAGTTAAATAACTTTGAATTGTAGGTGAATGACGCAAAGATGTTATTCGTTGCCACGGTAGCACCATGAAGTTGGTATCGCGCATCGTCATCATTTTTCCCAAACGAGCCAAAAGTACCTACTTCAAAAATAAAATCATGTAATGGTCGGATATAAGTTGCTGGCAGCCAGAACGCGGCTTAGAAAAAAAAATAATCATGTATTGTCTGTGGTCGGGCGACAGTCGCTGGCGGCGGCCTCGTGCTTCTTCTACTCGTCGCGGGCGCCGCTCTCGGTGCAGCTGGGCGTGCTGGCGGTGCTCGCTTCCCTGGGCACGGCCGCCTTCTGCCGCGTCGAGTGGGCGGGGCGGGCGAGGGCGCGCGCCGCCGCACTCGACGCGATCGACGACAAGCCCACCCCGGCGACGCACCTCGCCGACAACGCGCTGCACTACGACTGAGCTGCGCTTAACGACATGGTGAACGTTTTATTTCTTTCTTTTCGCGCGCACGCAAACCTGCCAGTGGGGATCCGTGAAAATGTTATTGTTAAAAATAAAAAAAATGTCCAATAAATGACATTTGATAATATTTAATAAATGCTATCGATAACTGATGACGGTATTGAAAATGTATCTGTATATTTGAACTCTAAGTGATTTTTGAAATAGACGTATCTAGTAAGCCATTTTAACTTACTATTTTTTAGGCGTAATCAACTTCTAGACAATCATAGTGAATAAATAGCTTGCCTTTGGGTTAACTTATTTCATATTTCTTCTTTCGTAAACTGTATAATTAATTTTATTATGTTTCATGTTCGTTCTTTGGGTAACATTAATCCTTGACTCCTTTCCAACTTGTGCTCTACTCTTATATACTTCTTATAGTTCTCTAACACGGCTTAGCCCTTGACAATATACTGTTAGGGCTTTAGCTGTGCCATTTACTGGTATGCTTCTGAGTTTTAATGTAAATTATAAAATGCTGTACTTTAAATTTCAAGGGGCACCTTATTAAACATAGAATATTAAGTGATTTAACTGTTTAAGTGTTTGAAGATATTTTTACTAATCAATATATAATACCTTAGTTAAGAGATTATATTTATTGAAATCGATTTTACTGTTATGAATAGTTTATAAGCAATATCCGGCTTATAAAGCATTCCATACATATATTATATTATTTAATTTGTACCGGCTTATCATAAAAACGTAAATGCTATTTCAAAAACCGAGGATGAAAAAACTATGGCACTTGTTACACACAATTCAAAATATAAATACACATTTCAATATAATCATTGTAACTTTAATAATGGCTTTCTAATCGATATTTCAATCATACTAAGTTTTATTTTAATACTTTATTCCAGAATTGAACGTGTTTAAAGTTCAAAATCGTATAAACATATGAGTAATAAGCATATCCAAGATGATTGTTTTTCAAAATATAATTTTTTTTGTTACATATTTACCAAGGATATTGCATTTTTTTATGTGTGAAATAAATTGTAAATAAAAATTTATAATTGTATATGTGTACATAACACGCAAATTGTATAATTTGAGCAAATAAAGTATTTAAATGTATGTGAGGGTCTGAATAGTTAATATTAGATTGGATACTAGAGGAGAATACAGGTAAATGAGAGATTCACTTCATATTCGATTTATGCTATTACTAAGGATTAAAATTTAAAATTATATAAATTCACGTCACAATAAAAATATTTATATAAGTAAATATTTTTATGGTGATGACTGAAGCAAATTTTATACAAGTCGAATATGAAACTAATTATAGGTATGGGAAGAGTTTTATTCAAAGTTTAACAATACTGCATCTGCAAAAGTTGAAAAAAAATATTTTATAAATAATGTTTAATGTAAATACGTATTAAAATTAATTTGATTAATGAAATGAAAATCATGTTTAAAATGAAGATTTAAAAAATGTTTAAATTTTATAAATGCATTATGATTTTGTCAAATATACTCCAGTCATATCAGTTTGGCATTTCTAGTCAACATTCCATTTTATATATTGATAGCCATTTTAGGTGACTAATGATCCATTATTTTTTTATTTTATCTATATTGTATTAATAATAATTTTTTTTTTCCACATGATCAAACATTTAAAATTAGAAACTAATTTTAATAAACAATATTTTAACATATTTGGTGTTTTATATTTTACTTCATTTATATCTTAAAGCCGCGTTGTTGACAATGCAGTAGTCATTCATAATACCAAAATTTTAAGATAAGATTTTTGAGATAAGTTTAAATTAATGTTATTGATTACTTACGAGTGATTTTAAATATTTATTATTTTTTATATAACATTATTTGTCTAAAATCTAATAAAAAAAATGGATATACTTAGAAAAGCCACCCTGTATAGGTATTATATACAGCGTGTCGTTACAACGGCGACAATAAATGAACACAAGTCTAACGCTACTTGCCAATAATCATAAGAAATATTAACGTTAAAAGAAATACATAATTAAAAAAAAATTTTTCAAACAAACTAATTAATTAAAAATAAACAAAATTCGTAACAACCTATACAACTACAACTAACTGATTCATACATTCAGACTTTTTCATTCGTTGCCACAGCGTCGCATTACAAGCCTCTCCTTCTAACAGTATGCTACTCTTTTAAATTCATTCAATCCATTCATATGCTTTGTGACCTTTACAAATAAACTTTAAGTTACAGTTTTATACGTAAGGGTGTTCTAAAAATGTTTGACAATTTAATAATTCGGTAAATATTGATGTTTAAAGAATGTAAGTGCTTAATACAATTTTAAAAAGTTATCCTCTATATGTGTGTTCATTTATTGTCGCGGTTGTAACGACACGCTGTATATAGGTTTGACCATAGATATTTATTAACATTATTATAAAGCTAGTAATATTACTTACTAGTTGCATAAACAAGCACACAACGAAATTTTTTTTCACGATGTCTGTGGTTGAGACTTGAGACATCATATCCCTTTGTACTGTACTTGATAGTTACCAAAGCACCTAAATACAATATGCGGCAGAATTTATCTCAGACACATACCAAGAGTAGTCAGTAGTGTCAGTATATCAAATGTAAATGACTATATCACTAAAGTGTAAAACATATCTTTGATATTTTCCCACAATGTTATTTAATAGTGTAAGTTGAGTATAACAAACAAGTGTTATGAAAAAATTTAAAACAGTAATTTAAATTTCATTCAGAAATTAAATCTTTAACAAAATTTGCTTGAACTCACCATCATTTTAGGTTCTATAACCCCAGTCATTATGCCTATGATATAAAATATCAAGATATAATATCAAGATAACTATTATATCTTGATATAAAATATCAAGATATAATAGTTTCCTACACATGTGATTCATCAAATTTCATGTGCTTAGATAGATATTCTGCTTGATTTAATCTACTTTTCTTAAAAGTTGTGAGTATCTGCATCATATGTTTTCTGATGCATTGGGATAGCGTATAACTAGTGTAAAAAATATAATAAGGTTTTTAATGGAATTATAAAATAAGAATAATAACAAAATTGAATATTCAATAACATTTACTTATCTACTTACTAAAACAATAAACACTTATTCTACCTTCTTTGCATTGCTTTCAGAATCTTCAACATTGCCAAGTTTAAAGTCCATTGGTTTGTCATAGCCCATAATTTTCGCATAATGCAATGGATCATTAAAATGCCTAGCTTCTATAAACAATGGAGTGCCCTTGGCTTTCATTGTTGTGAACATTCCAGGAATATCAGGAACAACTACATCATTTGGTTTAAACTCCAACTGTAAGAAAATCATTGTAAATATAAATAATTTTTCAAATAGTTGAACTGCACTTTCTGTAATAATTAATAAAGAATTGATATGTGATTAATCATATCAAAAGAAAGTAGAGGTAACTAAGGATAATAATCATAATACTATGTAAAAGTAACAGCCTATACATGTTCCACTGCTGGGTAAAGGACTCCTCTATACAGAAGGTATCAGGGCATAGTCCATCATGCGGCCCCACTGCGGATTGGCGGACTTCACATATCTTCGAAATATATATTTTTTGTTATTATTTCGAAAATATGCAGGTTTCCTCATGATGTTTTCACCGCGGAGCATGTGATAAGTCAGCGCTTAAAGTTGAAAACTTCATTGGTGCCAGCACCGGGGATTGAACTCAGGTTGCTCGAGTATATTGAATTAAGGGTGAGCGCCCGGACACTGAGCTATCACGGCTCTAGCACTATATAAATAAAAGAAATATAATGTAACAATTTCATTAAGATTCCATTATTATTATGGAATCTTAATTAAAATTCGGGCACAAAATATTTCATGCGGAAATTAGGATATTTTTAATACAAGATATTCTTTGATATATTAAAAAGGGTGATTGAGTCATACAGAAGCTTTGGCCGTTGTGGTGTCACAACTGAGCAACATTAAAAATAAATGAAAATTGAAGGAATTTTAGGTTAGGAAAAATTCACATTTCATATAAAAAGTTTATAGGTACTAATATGTGGAAAAATTCAGATGACTTAAGCGAAATTAATTTAAAATCAACAACAATGTAACATAAATACCTAAAGTAAATAGACTGATATTTATAGTTACCTTTTTAGGAACTAGAAAAAAGTTATAAGTAACTGCCTTGTAAGTTGAAGTTTCAGGATCATAATGTATGTCTGTCACATATTTTTTAGTTACCAAATGCAGTAACAATGGAGTAACGAAGGTAAAGAATCCAACAACCGAGCAAATTGCTACTAAAAGAGAGGTGCTGCCTATACTCGATGCTTCCTTTAAAATTATAGGTTGAGCTAGTAAACCTGCTACACTTGAAGATAGAGAAAACACTTTTACGGCTTTTATTTGAGGTGTAAGTGGACCGTAATATATTTTTTCTGATTTTGTATCTTCTTTTGGTGTATTAGCATAATGCCTTTCTGTTATTCTTTGGAGAAGCATTGTGTATTTGACGCCTGGTGAAATATTTTTGAATTCTGAGAGAAAAAAATTATGCCGACATGTTATTCGATGACCAATTCGAAGCATGGTTTTGCTTTTAATACAACCTCCTCTTCAGATAATTTTTTAAGGCCAAATATTTAATACACTTCTACTAGATACCAATTGGTAATGATATTGAACAAATGAACAACCGACCGGTAAAATAATAATAATAAAACTAAAACGTCTGACTGACAAGTGACATTTGGCTTTTTTTAGAGTTGAATTTATACAGAAAAAATGGTATGACCATATTCACTTAATTTCGTTTATGACTTTTTAAGAAATTTGAATTGTCTAACACGCTATTATAATTCATGTTGTAATATATGGTTTGCATTGGATAAATTATTTTTGCGCATTAGTGTTATTTTACGCGATGCTCTTGTAAAGTGTGCCAGGTGATTGAGGATTGAATGTAAATTTTTTATCCAGCGTTACGACTAGATATTTAGCCTTGCTTTTTTGCCTTACTTTAATTTAACGGGAGGGAGTTTCTTCTTTTATTTAGTCCGAATGACAATGAAATAATTTAATCCGCTAGTTGTAGGTGCCGTCACCTACAGACCCACGCCGCTAGGTACGTTCCGCTGCAATCACCGTTGACCGCGACACGTTCTCGACTTCCCTGACGATGAAACGACTATCGCCATCGAAAGAATAAAAAAAGTTACGAAAATACACAAGAACACAAAGCACTCGCTGGCGAGTGCGGCAAACATATACTAGGTTCCGCCACGTACCTTTCAGGTTCTCCCCAGTTAACGGTAGAAGCGTTGCTGGAGTTTCTTCCACCACCGCTTTACGAAGTAGTAATAACAATAGATCTAGAAATTCTCCCAGTCAGATAACAGCTACCGATCGAGCTGAGGTCCGGCCCTCTCGGGCACTCTTGAATCGGATGTTAAAACGCTTATTGAGTGACAGCCCAAGCCGTGGTCAACTCTCGGGGACCCTTGAGCCTAGTCACTCCATGGCTCGTCCTCCAAAGCGCCCTAAGAGCTTGGCGACCTCCCAAACCGGTGAAATTTATAAAACCGAGGCTCCCTCGGGAGCCCTCGAGCTTAGTCACCATAACGCGTAATAATAATACGCCGAGGTTCAGGCTAGGCGCAATCGACAGCGTAGATTGTAAACGGATACAGGTTTTGCTGCGATCCGTCGCACATAGGTCGAAAAAGAACTTGATAGCAAACAGTATTATTATCGAATATGTGACACATTTTTAAATTTTGATAAAGGAACTACGGTTAAACTAATCACAGAAGATCTGGATAAAATAAGTCAACGAAGAAGTTTGACTACACAGGTAGGAATTACGTAAACAGTTGGTAAACCTAATACTACAAGTAGGTTAAAAATATTACATACAGAAAGATTTTAATCTACATTTAGAATTATTTTAACATTCACAATTAAGTTCGATTTCTCCATCATAATTATAGTATCCTACATACATTACTACTTGTAGGACCTAGAAAAATATTAAGTCAGTGGTCACTGTTAGAATTTCGGAAAACTATACTTTTAAGAGGTTGATCGAAACTTTCAAAACAACAGCGCTAAGATTGTTTCAGTTCATAAAAGTTTTATTCAATTTGCACTCCGATGAGATTTAGTAGAAATATCTCCAGGCATCTCCAGGTAGGCCGTCAAAAGGAACGTTTAAAACGGCAAAACTGCCTTAAGTCAGCTATTCGTTCATATCTCGAGGACTTACTGCGCTTTTCAATATTCTATTTATCTGTAGATTTGGTTACTAGTGATACAGGTATTTGACATTAGCTTCATAATACTTACGTCAAAATTATATCTCCAGTAACCAAATGTACAGATAGGTCATTGAAAACGGCGTTAGTAATTTAGAGTAAAGTAACAGCCTGTATATGTCCCTCTGTTGGACAAAGGTCTCCTCTGTACAGAGTGCATACTTCATCACGCGATGGCAACTGCGGATGGGCAGCCTTCACAAATCTTCGAAATATTTTTATTTCTTTCTAAGCGAGCACTCGAATTTTGAGCTATCACGATGGACTTAATAATATGTAAAACTCTACAATATATTATAAAAAGTACTTATGAACGTCTTACAAATTAAGATATTTTTAAGTATAACAATAAAGAGAAACTAGGATCTCGTAATAACCTTGGATCACACAGTACGAAAACCTAGGGAACGTTTTAAATTAATTTTCTTTAAGTTAATGTAATACTCGCGAATCACTATTTGCGAATAAATTAAATTATTGGACATGGAAATTAGACACTAATGCACTTCTATTACGAGTCGGGGCCGTGGTGACAGTCTGGAAGTACCGAGGTTTAGACTGTCTAAAACCAGAAAGTAAATTTCTATGTGTTAGCTTACATAATAAAATTCACAAACAACTAAGTGTAAATGAAACCTTTGTTATATGTGATATTTTACCGTGGTAGGGCCAAGCAGCAGCTTGTGTCATTGCATTAATGGGTAGACCTTACAGAAGAACGGCGTGAAGTGGGAGTATTATACATTTGCGTTTCGTCTGGTGAGTGACGTAGCTGGGGCCCACTTTGGCAACGGATTTGCAAAGCTTCAGATTTTATTATTGGCGAAAAACTCTAATGATACTCACACTCTAATGATTTTCACAAACTTCTCTTGATTCCAATTTCTTATCACACAGGAAGTTTGCGGTCAATGCGAAAAAAAGGTGGTAATCGCTTGGTGCCAGGTCCCGACTATATGGTGAATGCATTAAAACTTGCCAACCAAGCTCCAAGAGTTTCTGGCGAGTCACTATAGACGTATGTGGCCTGGCGTTGTGGCTGATGCACAACACCTCTCCGGTTGGCCAATTCTGGCCGTTTCTGGTCAATCGCTAGCTTCAAACGGTCCAGTTGTTAACAGTAGAGATCTGAATTTAGTGTTTTGCCATACGGAAGCAACTCATAATAAATGATTCCTTTCCAGTCCTACGAAATACACAGTAGAACCTTCCTGGCCATTAGTCCTCGTTTGGCCACCGTTTAAGCTGTTTCACCGCGCTTTGACCAAGATAGTTTGTCGCACAATATTGTCCAACATGTTTTTAGTGTTGATTGGTGTGGCACCCAAATATCGAGCTTTGCGCAAATGGTTTAAAACTGTTTTATGGTCGATCTCATGGGCGATGCTACTTCTACTAACATGATCAATTTCGATTATTTTTGTGATTTGGTTGACATTTTCGACGACGGGCCTGCCTGTGCGGGGTCAAGGGTGGATCCGGGGGGTCATGGGGGTCATGACCCCCCCTGGGCTGGGTCCAGGACCTAGGTAGACCACTAATTAAAATTGTTAAACATAATGTTTTTATATATTTTTTGCACACACGTATAGATTTTATATAAGTACCTTAATTAAATTAATACAATATTTTTAATCGACTTCAAAAGAAGGAGTTTATAAATTCGATCGGTATATTTTTTTCGATGTATGTACACCGATTACGTTGAGATTTATGATCCGATTTACGTGAATCTTCTTTAGTTTCATGCAGAATAGTTGCCATTTGGTCCCATAAAAATTTACCAAAGTTTGGCCAAGTAGTTTTCATTTTATGAAGATTTTTACAATAATTTAATGTTAAATCACCAAATAAAATCTTGCAAATTAAATTTGATCTACTTCCCGGTTACCGGTTGAGCTGAAATTTTGTGTACATCGTAAATTGTATAAATCTAAAAATTTGTGTAAATCGCAAGACTATCCAATATTTTTATGACATGGTGCCGATCTGATGATGGAGCTGGAAGGAGGCTAAAGGAACTTCGAAATGAAACGACAGAGCCTCATCGAGTTTGGGTATATTTGAATCGTATTGACGAGTAGTTTGTCTTTCATTGGTAACCACGATCTGATGATGGAGCTCCATCTTCAGCCGTCCATGGACATATGTATAAGGTTGCAGATGCGTTTTCTGCTTATAATAAAGTGGGCTCCGGCTAGGTAGCCAGAGCCCACTTTATTATAAGGAGAAAACACATCTCGTGAGTGAGGTACTCACCAGACAAATCGCAGAAGTACCATACGCCGCTATTCTGTGAGGTCTATGAGGTTATTCTGTGAGGTTCCTATGACTACTCTGTAATGAAACGACTCAACCCCATCGAGTTTCAGCTCGTTTGATTGACCAGGGTCTGATCTGATGATGGAGCTGGATATGAACTCAGTAAAGAAACGAAGCAAACCTATTGCGTCTCGGCTCGCTTGATTCGTCATGACGAGCTCTTTGGTGTTAGATGGTAACCAGGGTCTGATGACAGAGCTGGAATGTGGCCATAGGAACTCAGTAATTAAGGAACACAACTGCGTCGAGTTTGATTCGTCTTAGTGAGTGGACCGTTTTTGTTGGGTGGTGAGATGTGGTGGTTTAGTGGACGTGAGTATGCGAGACCATCTTTGGGAAATAAAGTTTGTTCCTTCCGTTATGAATGTGGATTCTGTCTTTGATTATCTAATGCATCTGGATTAGAAGCGCTGAATTTTATGAATGAATGAATGACTGAATAAATATTTTTTTGTTATTTATGATTTTTTTTAATGTGGACCGTGTAATTTTATTTTGTGTACGGCTATTTTAGAAGTTTTCATTTGGGTTGATTATATATTATTATTAACCCGTGTCCCGATAGTCCCGTCTTAGGCTACTTGTCATTGAAGTGGAGCCAGCGTGCGGAGTGGAGGAATAGAGAATATATTATTACCAATACGACTACATAAAATCTGGTAACCAAGAAATAAATAAGTAAGCCTACCAATAGCTACTTAAAAAAATACTATACAGGGTGGCTTTTCTAACTATATTCATTTTTTTTATTAAATTCTAAACATAAATAAAGTTATGTAAAAAATGATAAATATTGATTATAAAAATTAAATTATAACTTCTTACCACTTGACCACGACTACGTGACCCCCCCCCCCCCCCCCCTGGCACCAAAGCTGGATCCGCCCTTGTGCGGGGTGCATCTTTAACATCACAAATGCCTGTACGGAATAGACGAAACCAAAATTGCACGTAATTTGCTGTTACAGTATCGGCACCATAAACACCATTCAAAATTTCAGCCGCCTGGCTTGCATTTTCGCCTTTCTCAAAGAAAAACTGTAAAATGTACTGAATTTTCTATTTGTTAACATTCATTTTTAACACCCAGACAGATGATTTTTAACATCCAGAAATATGGAAACGGCCGTACAGGCGAACTGTATTAGATGTACACAATATATTAAAAAAAGTTTGTGATCTGTTTGAAAAATCGCAATCTTTTTGTTACAGTAGAGTATTAATGAAATTTCTTTTTGTTTTGCATTTTTTATTTATAAATGTAGAGTTAGGATATAAAACATTACAGGAATTCAACAGTTTTTCTACATTAAAATGAATTCAATCCTGACTTGCGCTCATTCAAATATCTTGCTTATCAGTTTTGCAAGAATTTTAACATTTTTTTTAATGTGAAAAGTTGCCAAGCGAGCAGACGGTTCACCTGATGTTAAGTGAATACCGTCGCCCATTGACGTTTGCAATACCTGAGGGTTCCAGATGCGTTGACAACCTTTTGACAATTGGGCTCCGGAGAAAGTCCTTCTCCTTTCAAATAAAATTGAGAGAAGAAGGACATTCTATCAGAAATATTACACAGATGTGCTGTCTTATATCAATTCTGTTACGTTACAGAGGTAATAAGGCATGGATTATTTAGCTGATCGACCCCGCAGTGTCGCCCAAATCTGACTGCTGCTCGAAAGCGTTATATTAGATTGCTGACAGCCCGTGACCCAACAATCAACGTCACTCAAATTAAAGAACAGGTTGCGGCCTGTCACTGGACTTAAGTTAGCACTCAGACCATTCGGAATTGCTTAAACCAGTCTGGATTACGAGCAAGGGGGTATTGCCGCTGAACACACGGCACCGACGGCGGTTGTAGTGGCTGAAGTTATATACAAAACAGTCAGTTAACATCAGCTGAACCCCCTACTCACATAAAAAAAATTACCATGGAATCGGTGTTACCTATAGGTAGTGAAAGAAAATTTTTCAACAAGCCCGATATTTTATTTGCATCAAATGAAAAAACATAAATCTAGACATTTATCTATATGTCTACACTAAACATCTATTCTACATTGTATATTCCTTTGACTTTTCTCTATGGCTATTTGTGGGACAGTTCTCGATATCGGAGCAGTAGCCAGAGCGTGTGTCTAGTACCATTGGGTCGGGGCAGTCGCAACGGGAGAAACCACAAGATACACCCACCAGCGCCGGCTCGGGATTGTCACACGTCAGCTGCGACATCCAGTACGCGCGCTTACAATCGCTTTTCTTCATTACCATCCATACCGGACATTCCCTGACACCTTTAGACAAATAATGTTATTCATATAAAAAAATATTTATTTGAATTGGACAAATTAGAATATAAAATAAAATATTTTCTAGAACTGTTTTAAGATGAAAATCAATTTCGTTCAAATTCATTTCAATAAATCGTCACTGCATTTCTAAACTGGGGCCAATCGAAGAAGTTAGGTACGTAAATTTAGGTACAAGAATACACATTAAAGAATATAAAAATACAAGAATAAAAAATGTCTCAAAATAGTAAGCGCAATATGAGAAGAACAAGCACAATTTTTTGACATAAAAACTGATATAACTTTTATTTCAAAAGAGGTTTCAAACTTCGTATTAACGAAGGAGCACCTAAGAAGTAAAGCGATTCTTTACGGACTACGATAATTTGGGGGTCAAAAATAATTTTATTGGAAATACAATTTTTTCTGAAAGATAATTTCAAATTCATAATTATTTATGTGAAGACCGATATCTTTTTAAATTTCTAGTAATTTAAATACGGCACCGTATTAATACACGACCGTCTAGGTACAAGTAGTATTAAGATAAGATTTCACTTTTACAATAAGCCGAACAAACTCTGGTCTTAAAGCTACGACATCACAGATGGCGTAAGATGAGCCCTATTCTTATTTGAATCTCATTGTACCAGTCAACCTCAGGGTGGAGTAGATAAAATGAGGTCATAAAGATACAGATGTAAAGTGTATAAAAATAAAAGGTTATTCACGAACTAAATATAAATTTATATTTAAGAGCCAAATAAGCTGAACATCTGCAGCAAAATAGATCTTAGAAAGGATCTGGAAAGAAATGTGTTTATATTTTGGTTTTCGTCTGGAGAGTTGTTATCCGGCGGAACAAACTCTCGGTGGACGGCTCTCTCGTAAGATATCAAATATGTCATGCGTTCCGAGTCTATAATATATTATCTACCCCTATGAAAAAAATAGCATCCCGTACGGTGGATACTTTTAAATGGCAATGCAGAGTTTTTTTTTTGTGTGAGAAAGTGGCAAATGTGTTGGTGGTTCACATGATGTTAAGTGATAACCGCCGCAAAACGACATCTGCAATACCCGTAGGTATGCAGATGCGTTGCTACCTTTTGATAAAGTGAGCTCTGGCTACGAAATGTGGAAGTATACCGATTCCACTTCACGCTGGTCTTCTATGAGGTCGTGTTCAGTATAGACTGCTGCGTGGCTCTACCACAGTGTTTTACATAAGTAATCAAATCAAATCATCAACATTAAAATATGTGTTTTTTAAAGACAAAAAAATAGCATCTTTGAGTGATCTATCAAGGATTACAAACCAAGATTCTTGGACGCCATTTTTATCATTAACTTACCTAATATTATTCTGTTATATACATACCTAATTATTATTTAATTAACCAACATATCTATTCAAATGTATACAAGCTGTAATAAAATATAGAATAAAACAAAAAAAATTGTATAATAATTAGAATTAGAAATTTTTTCCATCAAATTTAACGTACGTAAATACTTACATGTTTTGTTGTGCCATAAACAATTATTAATCTGGTTTTGTTTGTAAGGTAAGACGACCTTTAAGCATAATAATTGATAGATCACTTGCAGCATTCTAAATCTAAACGTCTAATGAATCTAAATTATTCGAACATGTACTTATATATAAGTCGTGTTTCGTTTGTAAAGGGACGTATTTGGAAACATTTACATCTTACAACACCCAATATGAGGAGTTAAGTTTATTAATAAGGATTGAATTCAATAATAAATCAAGTAGTTATTGCTAATAGTGCTGGCTATAGTTATACCACTATTTATTTGCTTTTAAAATACAATTAAAATAGAAAGTTATACTGAAATACGACAGTCTACGAAATTTTTTGCCTTTTTGTGATGCAATTATTACGTAAAAATATTTATAATTTATAGCTTCGCAGAGCTTTTGAAATTTATTTTGGTACAATAAAATACTTGATAACTTTAGACTATTGTTTTCAAAGCTTTTAATTCCCACCGTTTAATTAATACTGTGGTATAATGAGATAATAACAATTAAAAAGGACAGGTATAGGACGACGACTTGCATTGTGTAATCACGGATTCGAATTTCTTGGTTGCCATTATTTAAGCGGTTTCATTCGTCCAACAATCTTTGACTGACATTTATGTATGGTGATCTATGCCAGAGCTGTACGAAATGTGTTAGTGCGAACTTGACACTACATGGAGAAACTAATACGGGTGACACTTGTTAAGTCTGTTGCGTCAAAAACTTGTGAGCTATCAACATTTCGTCCATCTCTGCATGTCCCGTGAAAGCTTCAAAGTATAAGTCGTGATCAAATTTAGAAATTAAGATTTATTATATATGTATTTTAGGACTATTAAGATTTATTATATATGTATTTTAGGACAGAAAACTTACCGGATTTTACATGGATTAATTATTTAATGTAACATTGTTTTATATTACGGAATGTATATGCATCCCGTGAGCCCGTGATAGCTCAGTGTCCAGGACGCTTTGTTTTAATTCAATGTACTCGAGCAACCTGAGTTAAAATACCGGTGCACCAATAAAGTTGTTAACTTTAAGAGCTTATCTTATCTTATCTTATCACGTGCTCAGCGGTGAAGGAAAATATCGTGAGGAAATGTTTTTCGTAATAATAAAAATACTTCGAAGATACTTAAAGCCTGCCAGTCCGCAGTGAGGTGGCTTGGCGGATTTTGACCTAATACCCCCTGTACAGAAAATAATAAATATAAATGTCAAAATAAAAAATAATAAATGTCCCACCGAATAATAAATGTGCTGGGACCATACTACATATATGTATAGGCTTTTGAACTTTACTTTACTATTGGCGGTTATTATAACCAATATATTATTTATCAATGAAATTAACTCCCTTTTCATGTGTAAGGGACTCTAAATGGACACTAAATGGTATATGACTTACTAGATTTCAGAGACATTAAAATCGAAAACTCAATAACCTTTTTCTTTGGCATGTCCTACACAGTTTTAAAAATAGGTTACCCTAACGAGATATGAATTGAGTGTTTTTGTTTCATTGAGAGACAATAGAGGATTCAAACCAAGAGAAGAACCGGCTGAATATTTATAATCATATAATAATCCTTTAATTTGAATAAGCAGTGTATTACTTACGTAACTTTGTTGCAAATTTTTGCTTATTTTAATAAGATGTAGCAGATATGATAACTAATAAAAAACGTGTTTTATAATTGCAATTGATTTGGCAAGATTGGGTTTTCCTGAGAATTCCTTTCATAGAGATTAATTTAGAGCTTTATGAGGATTCTAATGCATTCCAATAAAAAAAAAGTAAAGTAACAGCCTATACATGTCCCACTGCTGGGCAAAGGCCTCTTCTATACAGAGGGTACCAGTGCATAGTCGCGGCCCCGCTGCGGATTGGCGGAATTCACATATCTTCGAAATAATTTTTTTTTGTTATTATTTCGAAAATATGCAGGTTTCCTCACGATGTTTTCCTTCACCGCAGAGCACGTGATAAGTCATCACTTAAATACTTCATTGGTGCCGGCACCGGGGATCGAACGCAGGTTGCTCGAGTATATATTGAATTAAGGCGAGCGCCCGGACACTGAGCTTTCACGGCTCAATTATATAAATCCATTCCTATAAATCTACACATAATTCTATCATGGATCAAATTTGTGTGGATATGAAATTATACTTTAAATAGAAACTGAAACTAACTTTGAACATGTGTTATTTCACTTCCAAATCTGTACATTTTCCAAAGAAAGGCTGTCGCAGAAGTAAATTAGAAACTTAACATGCACAAACCGCGCAGAGATCCATTAATTGCCCGTTGTAAATTTTCCTATTCTGGTCAAACAGCACTAAATGAGTCAAGTTGTCACGATTTGAGATAAGTGGCGGAGTCGGGCCTTGAGCAAGCACGAGCCAGCGGCTTCGGCTATCAGCGAGCAAACACGGCCCTCCGCTATTGATTTAGTTTCATTATATCTGTTCAAACGGCATAGAAGTAAGATAGAGACAATCGTGATGACGAACTTTTGTTCTAACCACAAAAAACTTAACCATGATACGTCCGCAATGAAATATTTCCTTCCCATTGATTTAGGATTTAGGCAAATTGATAAACTTTGAAAAAAAAATGTTTATTGAAGGTATCTATATTTCATTTTAAAATAAATTACGCAGCAATTATATGGATAAAATCAATATTTTGTGTTCTAAATTTACACATGAAATAGGTTTTGCTATATAGAGTGCTTTTCCAAGGTCTCCTGATAACATTAAGCTTGGAAACCAGATAGTTGTATTGTATGTTATAATTATATTGTAGTAAAAAGTAAAGTAAAGTTAAGTTAATGAAAATTAATAATCCATATTTTTTCTATTACACTGAAATAAAAGAAATCTAACAATATTCAATGCAATCATTTTTAGGTTTTAACATTTTAACTGATAAAGTAAACAGTGTATTTACGATTGACTAATTTTGTAAAGTTATTTTTTCAAACATTAGCTATTAATGATAGTCCCTTGTTATAATATTTTCTCCCGTTAACATTTCAAAAATTATTTTAAAACAAATCTTGGTCTGATAAAAAAATTAAACATCATTCATATATAATTACTAACCTTATAAAATGGAACTCGGCATGCCAAAAGCTTACAAATTCATCTATTATGACTTTAGGGATGTGCTAAGTCACGTAGGTAAAAAAAATGCTATGAGGATTGGTAATTATTACTTTCGAAAGACGGTTAAAGGAGTCGGTTCTATTTTAAAATGGGCGAAATTTTTTGTTACCCTTAAAAAAACAATGGAGATTACTTATGTTACTAATAAAGAAGGAATATTTTTACCCTGCATATTTACATACATATTTTCGAATTATGCCGGCTACAACTTGTGTTTTCATTCTTTTCGTACAAAATATTGT